TGCACGTCTTCTTGGCCTACAATCACGTATCTGCTTATAAATCTTAAATCGTTATAAATTGTCATGCTTTGATTTTTGAGTAACAGACTTTTAAAAAATCGACATATAAGCGGTACTGCGTATGCAATTATTTTATTCGTTTAGGATTTTGATTCATCCCAACCTTCTAAGTGAACTTTACAAATGATTATCGAAAGAAAGACTGGTTAGTTAACCTTAATTAAAATTAATTAAAGAAGGGTTTGGTCGTTAAGTAAACTTAAAAATATATGATTATCGAAAGAAAGGAGTAATTGATTAAAATTGATTATCTAAAGATAAATTTAATTAATCATTAGGAGAACAGGGTAAATTGTAACCAAGCTTCGAGTAAGGAAAAACGGAATTGGTTAGTAAATATGATTGATTATCAAAACAAAGGTGCGAATTAGATAGTAAATATGATTGGTTATTTTAAGAATGGTATGATTGGTTAGGAAAGTTAAGATATATGATTGATTATCTAAAGAAGGATTAATTGGTCAGTAAACTTATTTAAAGAAGGATGTGATTGGTTTGTTTATTGTTTAACGTCCCTCTCGAGAATTTTTAACTCACATGGAGACGCCACCACTTTCTGGTTTGAGAGGTGCAAATTTTGTCCTAAGATACTCGGCACGTTGGGCCATTGAGCAGGGAGGGATCTTTTTCTAGCCAGCACCTACTGTGACACGGGACCTCGGTTTATACGGTCTCATCCGAAAGACCGGTCTCCAAGTCCCACAGTGAGATTCGAACCCGCAACGTAAAGATCAACTCCTTACTTCGCGACTCTAGAGCAGACGCTATAACCACTGCATGATGTAATCGGTAACTAAACTTTAAATGTAATTAAATATTTAAAGTGAGACGTGATTGGTTATAGTAGTATGATTGATTATATAAAGAATGATGTGATTGATACTAGTACCTGAAAAGAGGTCTTGTCAAAATGAATAAATCTATGAAATACGAAAGCCATAGCTCTACCCACTCAAACATTATATTCAGGTTAAAGTATTTTGAGGACAAACAGACTGTCAGACAGATGGACAGAGCTAAAGCTATGTACAAGTACCCCCCAAAACGCGGGCATAATAATGAGTTAGGGGCCTGTCCCAACCCGACGATATACATGTACTGCGCGGTGATGAGACAATGGAACTACCCGAAAGAAAAAAGTCGTTTGTGTTTTATTTGTCCGATGGCATACATGTACTTAGGACATCCATATATTTTTTCTTTCTTTTTTATGCTATCGAAGATTCTGGGGTAAATAGTTTTTGCTCTGTCCGTCCGTCTGTTTGTTTGTTTGTCCGCAAAAACTTCAACCTTGCTCATAAATTTTGAACAGTTGGTGTTAGGGTGTTTATATTTCACTTGTATACTTCTTACAGCAAGGGTTCCACTGGAAACAATTAATATTAACCTTTTGACTTTGACCTTGGAAGTTTAATCAATTTTATTTAAAAACTTTAATCTTGGTCATAACTTTTAGGTTAGTACAACTGCTCTCATATTTCAAAAATATATATACCGGTATTCATTAGCACAAATACTTTGTTTCATTGTTTGGATAAAAAAAATCATTTGACTTTGACCTTTTATAAACTTCAACCCTCGCCAAAAGCTGCCATATGAGGGCACCAGTGCTTAACAAACACATCTTGTTTTTCAGTACAACTGTCGCACAATTTATATTCAAGGTCGAGATCTTTCTTCTTTACGTTTATGACGCAAAAGTGTTGCTTTCCAGTTTCAAAGGGCTAGGCTTTTCTTAATTAATAGGATTTTGGTTTCTTACAATAACATGTCAGTTCTTGTATGTCAATGAAATGATACCTTAAGCCGCTCCATTCCTCTGTTTACTTATTTATCAGACTTTTCGACAAATAGATCAAAATTAGTGTGGTGAATGAAACGATACGTCAGGCTTAAAAACTGACAAGAACTGTGGATTGGAGGTGTAGAGTGTATCAACATTAACATCTTTGAAAAGCATTTCGATTCTGATACCATTTAATTACTAACAATAAAAGTAATATAAAGAGTTGTTGGTTTTAAGCAAACAATATTTTTCCACTTGAAATAGAAGGTTCAAATGCTCCATTACTGGAACATTTGACCCCCCCCCCCCCCACACACACACACACCACTATCATCCACCCCTTTAGGACTGAGAGTCTAAATATCTGTAATATATGTAGTAATTGCTAATATTATAATTTCATGTAAATTAGTTGAATCTGATTGGTCGAGAAACATTTGTTAAAAAACACTATCACCCGCTGAATAATGAAGCCACGCCCTCCAGCGTAGCAACAGTCAATATTGCTTGACGATGGGTGTTATTCCAAAAAATAGCGACTGCGCAGAATTTATGCGCGGACGGTTCACTGTTATATGTATTTGTATAAAATATTCAGTATAATATAATAAATATTGCATGTAGTTGAGTGTAACATTAAAAATTTTCACCCCAAGAAAACCATTGCCAACCGGTTGACAATGGTTTTCGAGGGGTGAAAATTTTCAATGTTACACTCAACTACATGCTATATTTATTATATTTTAAACTGATGGGTAGTTTTATACAAATACATATAACCCCCCCCCCCTTTGGATTTGCAAAAAAGAAAGAGAAATAAGAAAGTTCCAATTTTTTTGTTGTGTTTTTACTATAGAAAATGTAAGGTGAAAGGCTAATGTAATATATAAAGAAATTCGGTTGTAAAAACAAAATAAAACCCCATCCCTTTACAAAATAGGATTTTCAGGTTCGGAGATTTATTTTCCTTTCTTTTTCAAAAACTTTCTGGTAATGTATACAAGTACTTTTTCCCAGATTGATCAACGCCCCACTTTCAAAAACCATATTCCACCTGTATCGATATTCTATTGAGTTATTTAACTATATGTATGTGTACAACGTTTTAACTGTTTTCACTCAACTACATGCAATATTTATAATATTTTAAACTGATGCCTGGTATTGTCCAAAGTTATGTTCTGAAAAAATATTAAGATGCATGCACCCATCTATTCCCAGATGTCAGAACTTTTTAAAAGAACATTGATTTCCATGAAATTATATTTGATAAATATTAATTTTGCTATTTTTCAAGAAGTAAAATTATGTCAACAAACCTAAATTTCTCGCCTATGAAATGACAATGGACTTTCGACTCAAGTTCATCACATTACTTGTATCTTACATTGGCGTCGGAAGCAAATTGAAAGTGGGGGAGGGGGGGGGGGGCTAAGTGAAAGAAAAAATGCCAACGTACAAAAAAACTTGACAAGCAAAATTAAAAGAAAGAAAATGTGTCCTTTGGTCAAATCGAAACTTCTTTTAGTACCAAATTTTTTTTTCCAAACACTACCACTTAGCTTTTTTTGGAACTAGAGTGCGACGTGTCTGTTGAAAGTGGGGGGGGGGGGTGTTATAAACCCACGCTTGTATGTTCATTGCCTATTTAATATCTATCTTTGCAAAAAAAAGTCTAAGGATAAAAAAGGATATTTTAATTTTTAATCTCAGCTCTTAGTTTTAAAGAAAATGTTGCGGACATTATAATTAGGGAAATTATATATACAGCAGTGTACTCTTTCTAGTAGCCAGGTACTAGTAGCTAGAAGGTTCAAATGCCCCATTACTGGAACACTTGACACCCACCCCTTTCGAGTTGTCAAAATGAAAAGTCTATCACCCCCACCGTTCCATTCAGCTTAAGCTGGAGCAAGCATGAATGGCTTGAAATGGTGATCATTAATTTCATGTTACAGTATCCCACGAAAATTCTCGTGCTGATTAGAGCTATTTGTCAATATTCAGCTGTATCAGTCTTGTAATTCAGTTTCACAAGCAAACATAGCTTATCAGAGTCTACAGAGCTCACCACCTCAACTGAAAAAAAAACAATTTTAAAATACGAACTCCCTTTTTTCAGAATTTTTTTCTAGGCTTATTACCTGATGGATCAAAACCAAAAACTTTCTAATTCGATCAACGCAGCAGTTGATGCCGCTTTCTGATAAATGCATCGAATGCTGCATATGACCTGCTGTTTGTGTTGCTAATTTCATGATATCTATATATCCAAAGCATATTATACATGTACATACAGCACATATTTAAATATACTGTCAAGTGCAAAACTCTCAGACTCGGAAAAAGATTTGACGGGTGAGTGATTGGCTTAGAACAATGTTGGGCTTTTTTTAGGACCATTACCAGCTTAATTGGACTTTCAGTAAGGCGTGGGATTCTCGACGCGTAATTAGCTTCTGAAATTTACACAGGTTTCCTTCACTGTTGAAATATACATAGGATAGAAATTCGGCCGAATGTCAACTGGTGTAGTAAAAAGCCAACTAAAAGTTCTCTCGCGGCACAGAGGTGGGGCATAAGTCGCCTCATCGTTGTTCACAACAATTTAAAGTTCCTGATGTTATTAATTTCTTAACCAATGAGAATCTACTAGTATTCGCCATTACGAAGCGCCGAGAATGCCACGCCCTACTGAAAGTCCAAACTAAGGTGAAAATCGTCCTAAACTATAGACAACCTAACTTTTTTCTCCGGGAGCTGCACTTGGCCTGTAATTTACTTATAAACACTCGGGATAAAGTCTATAAAGGAATCATCTTTGTACTATTTACACGTCAATCAGTGAAAACTGATTTTACTATGCAAATGTACACTTCCATAAGGAAACTACGTTGCACTATTTAGTTCAACCTTGGCTTAAGACTACTGTTTGAACTTGGTGCTATTCACATTTCCAAAGGTGTCGACATGCGAATTTCAACGCCCTAAGCTTGTCGCATCTCGAATTTTTTGTCATATTCTTTTATACATGTACCATTCCAATTTTGCAACACGGGCTATTGTCAATGTGAATGTCCCTAAAACGTGAGGCATCAAGTTTACCTAAGTCATTTATTAATGACGGCATACTGATTTTTGATTTTTTTTCTAGTCATGAGGTGGATGAGTCCAGTTTTGAGCTAATGGAAGAGGTGACGTTCTTTCTCTACTTCTGTGTTCTCCAAACAATCAATGTATGTACCCATGTTGGCCAAAACCAGCCTCGTGTTGATAACGACTCTTTTCTGTTAAATCATACAAGTCCGTTGGAATTAGGAACAGAGCACCTTCTTCAAATTTTACCATCTGAGCAAGTGTATACTGTCAAGATACTCCCGTCTGTAGCTTCAAGAAAACAAGAAAATAAACGTGTCTTCCTCAGAAAATCTGATTTTACAAATACGCAAACCTTGCAAGATAATTTGAAAACCAGTAAAAGAGAACCCAAAGAGAGCGAGTTTGTATATGGAAGTGACGACCGAAGTTTAGTGGAAAATTATAAACTTGGTCAGTATCCGTATTTCAATGTCGTCAAACTGTCGTCTGGTTGTAGCGGAACGCTTCTGACGCCATCTTTTATCCTCACCGCAGCTCACTGCGTCCACGATGGGACAAAATTTCATGAAAGGATGGAACTGCTCAAAATTCTGATTCCACACAAAATGGGGTATAGGCTTTACTATGCTAAAGAGATTATAGTGCCTTTTGATTGGCAAAAAACCGAGGGCGTGTCTGACGCACGACGCGTTGTGTTTGATTATGCCGTCATACGATTAGATATTAGCGTCTTTGGGCGTCATGACTTTTCGCCATTACGCACTGTCAAGTTCAGTATTTATTCTGAAAAACTTTGTTTCTTTGCATTTCCAAACAACGAAAACTTGATGTGGAAATCGGAGTGCAATGGGTGGAATAGCTTTCCGTTGTTTAATAAAAACGTTCTTCTAAATAAATGTGATTCAGCACGTGGCAACTCGGGAGCCACGATTCTGTCGCAGGACAGTCGCCATGGCAATACGTATAAAATCATCGGCGTTCTGTCCAGTGTGTTACCGGAGAAACATTACACGTCATTTAGTCTGCTAACTAAGGACAAAATCAGCGACATTTGTACCATGATTCACCCGGAAGGGAAAATACACAAGATCTGCTCCCAGAACGAATCTCTATTTCATACATCTAGACTATACAAAGGTTGACGAAATCAGATGTACAGTATTATAAGTATTGTAAATCAAAAATAAATCATCTTGTTTATTCCTGCTTTTATTCTATTTACATGGTAATTTACAAGTAAATAATGATATTACATATGTCTATAAATATGATTCTGGCATTGAAAGCTTGGCTTCTTTGCCATGTACAGTAAAACAAGAGCCTTTGAAATGCGAATTCATTAGAAACCTTAGTCATTATAAGGGTGTGTTCCCGTTTTGCACACATTTGGTAATTAGTATAGAACAATAGGTGTTAAGTGTGTTTTGATAGCAATTATAGTCTGATTTATGGTTTGGATTTACCTAGATTTACCTGTGAATACCTGATTTACCTGATGTATTCTTCAGAGGTTTTATACAAGTTTATAGGCATTTTATTAAATTTCTAAATATATTTATGGGAAAATATTTGATTTTATTGAATAAATTATTAAATTTGTTCAATATTATTTATTATTTAAGACCAATTTCTTCAAGAAAGAAAAATTTTCAATCGTGATAAAATTTTAAATGAATTAAAGATATAACATAAAATAAAGAAGATAGTGAATAAAAATTAATTTGAAAATATGCCCAAGCCAAGAAGATGTTAAGATCATCAGATAATCAAATACATTAACTTTGTATTTATTCTCTTATTTTTTCCACTATAAGTTCACCTTTCACATACTTACTAAGTATGGTATAGACTATAGCAATTAAGTAATTATCTCACCTGGTCAAATTCAAGTTTTTCACACATTTTTTAATTACCTGTAATTTAAATGTGTGCAAAACGGGAACAAACCATTATAAGTCCCTAATACTCTTTGGAATATGAAATTTAAACCCTCCTGCTGTAAGTATGAATTCATCATAGGCATGTTTGGCATAACCAGAATTTACTATATTTTTACCTACTGTATAATTTACCTACTGTATAGTGGACGACTTCAATATAACTTTATAATCCCAGGATCATCATGTTTTATACACGTACATGTATTACTTTCATATTGATCTAAAATATTTAGCTAGCACCAACATCATGCTTTTCCATGTTTAAAAATAAATCAAAAAATCAATATATAAATATATAAAGAAGAAAATAAAAATCTGTACAATTCCTGATATTTGCAAGTTTACAAAAAATGTCTTAAAGTTTGCTTTCCTTCTGATTTTACACTGGGGGGTGTTTCTTATTCCAGTTCTGACATTTTCGAGGCTCTAGATATCCAGATAGACTTTCTGGTTCATTGACCCTAGATAGGCCACCTCATCTCCCAGCAAACTCAGATTCTCGCTGGGCAGCTTAGGGCCTTTCCTCTCCTACAAATATCAAGTTCTAAACTTCAGTCTCCATTAAAAAAAAGTCGTAAATTTGACAAGATTTGTTTTGCCTAGAAGTGAAATCTGACATAAATCTGTCATAAACAGAGTCCCTACCTCCATCATGGCGGTTCTCAGGAAGTTATACTCCCCGCAATCACTGTAAAAAAAGGAGGGATTTAGGTTCACATGAAGTTTAAATCTGATGAGCAGTCTTTTGAATTAAAAGTTTCATTCACAAGAGAATTTTGGAATCAAATAGCTTGCAGCTTCTGAGCAATTATTTTTTGCAAAAACTCAACTAGAGCTGAAGCTCAGATGGTATTACAATGTTACATAACTTGAAGAATATTCTAGTGTTCATTGATTTCATTCATGAAGTTGTAAGCTAAAATCGTTTAAAAACCTGATGAAATTACCCGGTAAGTAATAATAATAATAATAATATCCTTTATTTATACAGGATAGCACAATTAGTTATAAACTAGTTCACATTGTGGTCCTGAAAACATATATACAGACAGAAGATTATGTACAGAAACATATACTCAGTAATTATAAAGCGAGTAGACTAAAATCAATATAAACACATGGTTTGTGTACGTTTCGTCTAAAACAATCAGAATTATCATCTCAGTAATTATATTTTAGTTTGAAGACTGGTAATAATTTCTTATGTAAGATGTTTTAAAACTTTGCAAAGATGGACAATTCTTTAAAAATTCTGGCATATTATTCCATAGCTGGGAACCATAAATTGTGAAAGATCTTCTATAATATTCTGTTTTAGCCCTCGGAATGTACAATAAATTACTTTGATTCAATCTTGTAGCTCTGTTGTTTATTTCATGTACAAACTTAAAAACATCTAAATAATCTGGAGTTAATCCGTGTAGAACTTTAAAAACAAGGATGACAGTTCTATACATAAAATAATCATTAATTGGCATCCATCTCAGTTGTAAAAACATTTCCGATGTAGGTGTATAAAAAGTTGTACTTAAAATCACTCTAGCAGCTCGCTTTTGGAGTTTACATAGTTTGCTAAGACCTTCTTTGTTTTTCATATTGCCCCAAACAGTACAGCAATAATTAAAATGGGGAAAAACAATTGTATTAAAGATTTTTAACAATAACTCAGAGGACATGAATGATCTTAATCTAGACAAAACACCTATTTTGGAAGCAAGTTTATTCGTTAAAATTTCAATGTGTTCAGACCATGTAAGACACTTGTCAATGTAGACACCAAGTAGCTTTGCACAAGATACATTTTCAATCGCAATACTACCCACTTTAATACATAAATTCCTACAGTTTCTTAATCTTTGTTCCGTACCAATTAACATGCACTGAGTTTTTTTAAGATTGATTGTTAACTTGTTTTTCTCCATCCAATCTAGCGTATTGATAAGATCGCTATGTAATTTATTTTCAATAACATCGATACTCTTATCTGAGACATCCTGAGTTGTATCATCAGCATACATGTGAGCCGCGGAGTGTTTTAAGCAGTCTGGGTAGTCATTGACATAAAGGATAAAGAACAATGGCCCAAGTATTGACCCTTGAGGGACGCCTATAGTTATGTCTAATTTTTCTGACTGAGTACCATTCCATCTAACACACTGTGTCCTATTCGACAAGTACGATTTGAACCAATTAAACGAGTCTTTGCAAATTCCAAAAGAAAGTAATTTGTGGAGAAGTATATTATGATTCACAGTATCAAATGCTTTGCTAAGATCAACAAATAAAACACCAGTAAGTTTACCACTATCAATGTTTTGTAACCATTTTTCGATTATACTATGAAGTGCTGTTTCGCATGAATAGGTAAGTACATCTAAGCTAATTATTATTCCTTAACCAAACTTAATTTTCTAAATTTTTAAAAAAAATTCTTCAATATGTAATCATTCATACACTGTACTTTTAAAATAAAGTGACATAGTGTTAAGGCATTAATCTTCAATATGAGAGATCATAAGACTATAGCAGGCTAGAAAATTATAATCCAACATGTCCAATGTAATCTATGACTGATGTTAACCCAAGTTACTGTGAGTGCCTGAGCTCTCAAAAAGATACCAACAATGCATTTTATTTATATTTCAGCATTTAAATAATTCTCAATTGGAAATTTATTAACTTTCCACAAATACAATACTTTCATCTACCAATGACCTTGATCTTGCCTTAAAGATTTTACATCAAGACAATTATACAACCTCAGGTCATAACTAATCTTTCTGCTAAGATTAAGAATGACTTTCCAATGTTTCTGTATTAGACAAAAATCACACTCTTTTTCTGCATTATCTTCAATCATTTTTCCATGAGAAAACTATAGACTAGACACAAATTATATACTTTTTCTGCCAATGACCTACAACTGACAAAAACATTGGTGAAAGGTCAAAAGCAGTTTTTGTGACATTGAAATCTCAGGATGGGAATCGATCACTTTTATGTCCCTGTAATTGAAGAGGGAGGGCATTAGAGTTGGGTATTGCGAGTGAAAACCATATTGCGATATATTGCAATATTTTACTTTGAATATTGCAATATATTGCAATATATTGTAGATTAATTATCATTAATAAATTTGAGCAGAATATTTCAATTGCTGTCAAGTTACAAGACTATTTGAATTTATCTGTAAGTTTTAAAGGGGGAGGAGTGATAAGACATTAATTGCACACAAAATAACACTTTACTTTTAATCAATACCTAATTATAGATAATAAAACAAAACTAACTCTCTTGGAGAATTTTCAAATTGAAAAAAAAATTATACATAATATATCTTTTTCTCAATTATTTCATCATGAAAAAATATTCCAAACATGTTGCATATAATTCAAATTTTTTGAAGTTGGGTATGTGGAACATAGAGGGCCTTTCAAATGAAAAAATCCAAGACCCCCTATTTCAAGAGCAGTTGTCACAATTTCACATAGCTAGCCTAGTGGAAACCTGGTTAGGTGAAACAAATCAAGGCAGTGCATTTCCCAATCACATTTTAATTCACTCAAGCTCTAGAAAAAAACATAAAAAGGCAAGACGATATTCCGGTGGAATACATATTTATGCAAAACCTACAATTATAAGTGGTATTATACCAATTAACAATAGTCATCCAGATATTTTATGGATCAAACTTGATCAAAAGTTTCTTTAGATTACAAAGAGATATTTATCTTGCAGTAGTTTATATATCTCCCGAATATTCTATTGGCAATGTGAATGACATTGAACAAATATATTCAGTTTTACTAAGTGACATAGTAAAATATAGTAGAAATGGTGATGTAATAGTTCAAGGTGACTTCAATGCCTACACCAATACCCAACCTGATTTTGTTTTATTTGATTCTGAATGTATTAATTCAGATGATGTTCTTTATTAACCAGATAAACTTTTGTCAAGAAATAATCTTGACCACAAGCACATTAACAATAGTGGCAAAAATCTTCTGAACCTTTGTAAAGAATCGGGTTTATGAATCTTAAACGGTAGAACAACGGGTGACCTAACAGGTCGACCCACCTGTATAACCTATAATGGTTGTAGTCTAGTTGATTATTGTCTTGTATCAAAAGACTTTTTAAATTCAATTGGTTATTTTGAAGTACTAGATTTTACTTCCTTATCAAACCATTGTCCAATTACTTGTGCAATATTCGACAGCTTCTGTTCAGAACGAAGCTCAAATAACTCAAATAATTTAAAACCAGTTCCTGGAAAGTTTTTGTGGAATAATGATGCAATAGAATCTTACACTAAGAACATTCACAGCAATCTATTCCAAATTAAATTTTCAGAATTTTTGAATTTTCTGATAGTGATTCTATTTCAAAAGCCTTCAGCTCAATACTTGTTGAGTGTGCAAAAATATCGACTAAACTTATTAAGAGAGGACCTAGGCATAAAACTCGTAAAAATAAGAAAAAACCGTGGTTCTCACAGTCATGTTCTGATCTGCGAATTACAGTAAAAAATAATGAAAAACTTGTAAACAAGAACCCTTTTAATGGAGAATATAGGAAAATGTTCTATACATACAAGGCAAAATACAGAAGATCATGTAAATTTGAAGAGCAAAATTACAGAAACACAATATGTAATGACATTAACAACAATATTAATAAAAATCCAAAGTCATTCTGGAAATTACTCAATAAATTAGATAAAATTAATACTGGACAAATTTCATCTCATGATGTTCACCCTGAGGAATTTTATCAGTTTTTTAAAAAACTCAACAAAGCTGACAACAATCACAATAATTTTCATAAAAGTATAATAGATAAATTTCATGTCTTGAAAGAACAAGAGGCCCACGGGCCTTATAGGTCACCTGAGTATCATGTAACAACTTTCCAGCAATTGTATTTGGTTCGTGTTTTAATCCAAAAGCCATGAAATTCACAAATTCTGAAGGAGGCACCATTGCTTATCAAAGGGCAGATTTCAAAGCATTAATCATTAATTTATTTTTAGTCAAAGTACCCTCCTGGTACCCCTGACCCAGCGGCCCTGAAATTATCTATTTTGAAAGAGGCCCGTTTCTTCATTATAAGGCCAGCATTTTTTTTATGTTTAGGTTTAGTTATGAACATGAGAATAAAAAAGTCCCAAAGGAGAAGGAAATAAAAATATTTTTTGATAAATCAATTATTAACACTTGTACATTCTTTTTTCTGCTATTCTAATAGGCTCCTTACCACTGGACACATAATGCTTACAAATACGAAAGTAGAACATTTAATTGCTTACTTCATCATCTGCCAGTTTGGGCCAGTTATATAAATTTTGTGATGTTGGTCAAAATATCTTTTAAAAAATCAATTTTTTAAAAGTCTTTCAATATATCTTCATTTTTTAAATATGTGTTAGGTGAATGTGTAGACATTGTTCTAGAATTTACTTGATGCCTAAATTATGATTCCTATCATAAACATGATAAAACAAACAGAGAGTATTGGGCAGTAGGGTGAACATTTTTTCAATTAAGTGTTAAATAATTTTTCTTGCTGATACAAATGATACTACATGCCTGTATATATTTGTATATTCTTGCCTTTTAATAGTTGATTTTTTTTTTATTTCTTCAGGTTATTGTTTATTTCTTCCTCAAATGGACTTAACTTCTCCCATAGTTTTATTCATTACATCTGATGCATAAGCAACCCTTTTCTGAAGAATGATGCTTAGACTGTAAGCTATAACAGAGACCTAAACAATGTCGCTGGCAATATGCAATAGATACCAGGGGCAGTTTAAAATCTGGGGGAGGAAAATAATTTACAGTACTGTTACTTTTGAAACGAATGCATAATTATCTCACCAGCATCATGAGCATGTCATTGTGCAACAAAGTCGTCAGCATTTTATTTGTCCTTTGAATGGAAGAAACGTTTTGAATGGCACTCTTATCGATGAATTTTACACTAAACCAAGCTATCTTCTAAAATCAAGCTTTATTTACCCGCCGTTTCATCTTAAAACCGGAAGTGCGAGTTCGTAAATTTGAAATCTCGATCCCGACTCAAATTTGACATCGGAAAGAAAAAAAATTGTTTTATTTTTTTCTGAAAATTCAAAACCTTGAGCGGAGGGTTTGTAAAACTGAAAATAAAATAAATCCTGGCCTTAAATATGTAATTAGATCATTAGTATATTAACCAGGAGCAAAGGATAAGATGTTCAAAGAATTCATGCATTTCCATTAGAGCCCCACCCTAAAACAAGAACCCCTGACCCTGGGGCCAAAAAATTCACAATTTTGGTAGAGGCACTCTTGCTCATCATAACTAAGTACTTAGTAAGTTTATTTAATACCCAGGAGCAGAGAAGAAGATTTTCAAAGAATTCATGTATTTTCACTATATAATCAATAGAGCCCCCCCCCACCCCACCCCCCTAGCACTATAACCCCTGAACCTGGGGCCCCATAAAATTCACAATTTTGGTAGAGGCACTCTTGCTCATCATAACTATGTACTTAGTTGGATTATTTAATACCCAGAAGCAGAGGAGAAGATTTTCAAAGAAATAATGCATTTTCACTACCTACTTATTTAGCCCCGCCCTAGCATTAGAACCCCTGACCCCAGGGCCATGAATTTCACAATTTTGGTAAAGGACTCATTGCTGATTACAATCATGCAAACAGTTTGACTGCTTGATGTCCAGGAGTAAAGAAGAAGATTTTTAAAGATTGCATTAATTTTAGTGGTTTTGGCCCCACCCCTCAGGCCCCAGGGGGGCAGGGATCATGAAATTCACAATTTTCGTTCCCCTTCACCCATAGATGCTTTGTGCCAAATTTGGTTGAAATTGGTTCAGTGGTTGCAGAGAAGAAGCTGAAAATGTTCAAATGTTAACGCACGGCGCACGACGGACGACGACGGACGAAAACAGATAGCAATAGGTCACCTGAGTTTACTCAGGTGACCTAAAAACTACATCATAACCATTTCCTTGAACCAGATTTTACTATCACTGAAATAAGAAGTGCCCTTAAATCCCTGAAAAATGGAAAGAGTTCTTCCATGGATATGATATCAAATGAAATTTTAAAAAGTGGGGGATCTGTAATGCTGAAACCTCTTGAAAAATTATTTAACTTTATACTTAATTCTGGTGTATTCCCAAAAAGTTGGAATGAGAGCTATTTAGTATTACTGTATAAGTCGGGTAATAGGCTTGATCCTAACAACTACCGAGGTATATCAATTACTTCAAATCTAGGAAAACTTTTCAACAGAATACAGTGGACCCTCATTTATCCGGACGCTTTGGTTCCCAGTCAATTTGTCCGGATATGTGAAGCATCCGGATATCTGAATCATAAGTTAAACAAGACAAAGTAATATTTAAAAATTTTGTTCCGATGAAAAATTGTCCGGATACTGAAGCATCCGGATATCTGGCGTCCGGATATCTGAAGGTCCACTGTAATCCATACTAGGCTACTTGAATTTGTAAACTATACATCACTGATAAGTGAAAATCAAATTGGTTTCAAGGAAAACTGTAGAACATCAGACCATTTGTTCTCAATAAAAACAATAATTGATCACTACAAAAACAAAAAGGTCTATGCTGCTTTTATTGATCTTAGAAAGGCATTTGACACTGTATGGAGATTAGGTTTATTCTATAAACTTCTTGAATGTAATATTTCCCAAAAAATGTTCAATATTTTGTTTTCCATGTATAGTAATACAATGAGTAGAATCAAATTTTCTGATGGATTAAGTGATGTATTCAATTCTGAATGTGGTGTCAAGCAAGGGGATGTCTTAAGTCCCACACTTTTTAATGTTTTTATTGATGGTATTGTCCATGACTTAAAAAATGGAAAATGTGATCCTGTGCAAGTAAACAATATTCATGTAAATTGCCTGTTATATGCTGATGATATTGTAATATTCTCAGAAAGCAAAAGCAGTTTACAAACCAGTCTTGATATTCTCAGTAACTATTGCTCAAATTGGAAACTTCAAGTTAATGTAGATAAATCTAAAGTTATGATATTTAACTCAAATGGCAAGCCTCAAGGAAATGAATTTAGTTTTAATGGTAATGCAATACAAATTGTACCAAGATACTGTTATTTAGGTATTATGATGAAATGTAATAGGAAGTTTAATTTAGCAACAGCTGTGCTTATTGAAAAGGCTAGAAAAGTATGTTTTAAAATGAAAAGAATTATTGGATTTGATAACCCATGTAAACTTTTAGAAAAACTCTTCGATGCTATTGTACTTCCAGTTCTTCTCTATTGTAGTGAAATATGGGGAGTAGATCTCTCATCCAAAGATATTTCAAATATTGAAAATTTTCACTTAAAATTTATTAAAGACATCCTTGGAGTGCACTGCAAAACATCCAATGCTGGTTGTTTAGCGGAACTTAAAAGACTACCACTTTGGTCCAAAATTTCCCTCTCTAGTATCAAATATTGGAATCACCTGAAAACTTCTGATTCTTTGGCCTTTAAACTTTACCAATCCCCAAGTAACTGTAATTCTTGGACTAAGAAATTATTTTCTATTCTAGATAATCTTGGATTCTCAAACATTACAAAATATACAGGTTCCATCCAACACCTTTTACCAAACATTATACAAAGAATCATTGATCAGTGCACTCAGGAGCAAACGTCAAAAATCTTGAGTTCAGAAAAACTTGATTTCTTCAAGAAAGTATACTCAGGAAAAAGAAGTCCTTATGTTGATTTACTCAAAAAAAGATCTGAGAGATCCTCTCTTAGTAGAATTAGACTAAGCGCACATAAACTTGCAATAGAAAGTGGTAGATATATTTCCACATCAAGAAATGAAAGATATTGTAATGTTTGTAATACTGGTGTGATTGAGGATGAAATACATTTTCTTTTTCAATGTAATTCTTACTCTAAGGTAAGAAACACATTCTTTAGTAATATCTATAACATAACGAAGAAAAATAATAATTTTAGCAATGAGAAATATATGTTACAATTATATGTAAACAATAATATACAAAAAGTCTTGAAAGTTACTGTTAAATTTATCAGAGACTGTTTTGAACTTAGAAGTCAATTACTTGACAATTTTTGAAAAATATGTAAAAATTTAATGATGTTCAGTGGGCCTTTGCTAATTATTGAAATTGTGTTTGTGCCAATAAAGTATTTTGTATTTGTATTTAAGATTAAAACATTACATACAAGATGAATATAATTTTATTAATGTTACAGAATAAAATTAAAGCCAGAGAGATATTGTGACCTGTTTTCGTGCGTTTTGGTGTTTTAGTCTTACCCGACCTAATTACACATTATGTCATCAATCAGGAAATGGCCTTTATCTGCTAGCTGTTTTAATTTACATGCTCCTGGTATAGCATGACAGTGTTTAAAATGGCATGAAAGTCATTAAAAAAAATAAATTATAGCAACACTGCTACAAGTGAAAACATGGATGACCATTTACTTGTAATATGTATCATCGCGATGTCCATCGTGTAGATTCCATGCAAAATTTCGAGAACCACAGACCACATGGTATACACCTTGTAGAAATTTTTTATATATTTTCTTTCATATTAATTTTATTTTAAAGTCTTACCATTAATTATTAATTTAAAATTTATTTTAAAGTAACATTTAAAATTGCAACAGTGAATCACAAGCTCTCTCTCTCTCTCTCTTTGAAAGCCAACGAAGTATTCTTTTAAGAGTCTGAAAAAGCCCGAGGAAGTTACAAGTATTATTTCAGCAGTTTTCTACAATAATTAAAGTTTTTATATATTTTTATAAATATCGTGAAATACCGGTATCTGATTTTCATATCGCAATATATTATCGTGGTGGAAAATACCGCAATATACAGATATACCGGTACATTGTAATATTGCACACCCCTAGAGGGCATACACCTTTTGGTTTGTGTGTTCATCTGTCTGTCTGGCTATACATGTAGACAGAAGAGATACATGTGCTAAAGAAAACAGTTACTATTGTTGGGTGTGAATGTTCAAATGATTTTCTGTACATTCTTTCATACTGCAGTTTTGTGTTCCCATTCTTATTTCAGTTGAATTTCAGTATGGGGTTCCTTGCCTCCTTTTGACAAGTCCTTAACATGTCTGAAAATTCTTATGGGGTTTAGACATATTTATTTATTTTTTTACCTTGCACAGTTATACTAAACATAAATAAACCCTGTTACTGAGGAATTAATCCCACAATACAGAAATTCCCCCCCCCCAAAAAAAAATAAATAAATACTGAAAAAAAAATATATTTGGAAAAACTTAAATCTTGCCTAAAACTTTGAATTATTGATGCTTCAGCTTTCAAACTTCATTTAGATATTCCTTGCAACAAGTCCGTTCTGTTGAAACCAAAATAATTTACCTTGACCTTTGGTTATATCCTACTGAAGTTAAAGGCTTCAATACTTACCATGGTTCTGTTGGATACTTCTGCATAGAAATTTTCCTCTTTCCACAGTGTTTACATTTGAAGAACCTTTTGGATCTTTCCGACTTCACAATGGTGTGTCTCTCTGCCTTACATTTGTCTGCTAACTTCCAAGCTGTGTACTCACACTGTCAACACAGAAGAAATATCTAAAGCACTTGACTAAATGTATGGAATGAAGAGGGTGTAATTAATAAAGTTTTATGAACTTGTGCCCAATTCCTTTGTAATTATAAATAACAATAAAATATGTTCTAATCAAGAAAAATCAAAAGCCTGAAAGGCTTCAATGGCGTCGAACAAGAAAAACAATTTCAAAAGATCTGTAGATAGGTCAAGTGAGTGACTCCGGTAACATAATAATAAAAACATAGGTAATCAGAGATTACAGAGCTCACCTCAACGAATGTTGTCTTTAAATAAGGCAAAGTCACACAATTAACCAACAAAAAATGTACATTCCAAAAATGAAAATATCTAAGCAATTTTGATCTGATACTTTGAAGTAGACCAACATAAAAAATTTAAAGTAGTTCTTCTTCATAAAAATGTAATTCAGCATCTAAAGCAAATTTGAGTTTTCATCTCTTGATGCAACATTTTTGCAAGTTTGGTTTATACAATGTTATAAAAGCCTTAAATTTTTTTGGTAATAGACCTGCAACCATAACTTTAACCTGGTCTATTATCTGAAAAATATATATGTCGAATTCAGCATCCGAAGCAAGTCCATTAGTGTGCATCCTAAGATGTATCGTCCATGCAAGTTTGCACATTATAAGGCTCATAGTTAATTGGAAATGAAACATACATCAAAAACTTATATTTTCACTCATCCACAAAATGTAGGTCAGATTCAGCATCCGAAGCAAGCCCGGTAGTATGCATCCTAAGATGTATCATCCATGCAAGATTGGTCATTAAAGAACTCATAGTTACTTGGAAATGAAACCTGCACCAAAAACTTGTTCACTCAACCGGAAAATGTAGGTCAGATTCAGCATCCGAAGCAAGCCCGGTAGTGTGCATCCTTAGATTTATCATCCATGCAAGTTTGGTCAACATAGGGCTTAAAGTTACTTGCAAATGAAACCTGCTCCAAACACTTTAACCTGTTCACTCAACTGGAAAATTTAGGTCAGATTCAGCATCCGAAGCAAGCCCGGTAGTATCCATCCTTAGATGTATCATCCATGCAAGTTTGGTCAACATAGGGCTTATAGTTACTTGGAAATGAAACCTGCACCAAAAACTTTAACCTGTTCACTCAACCGGAAAATGCAGTTCAGATTCAGCATCCGAAGCAAGCCCGGTAGTATCCATCCTTAGATGTATCATCCATGCAAGTTTGGTCAACATAGGACTTACAGATACTTGGAAATGAAACCTGCACCAAAAACTTTAACCTGTTCACTCAACCGGAAAATATAGGTCAGATTCAGCATCCGAAGCAAGCCTGGTTGTATCCATCCTTAGATGTATCATCCATGCAAGTTTGGTCAACATAGGACTTACAGATACTTGGAAACGAAACCTGCACCAAAAAACTTTAACCTGTTCACTCAACCGGAAAAAGTAGGTCAGATTCAGCATCCGAAGCAAGCCCGGTAGTATGCATCCTTAGATGTATCATCCATGCAAGTTTGGTTAACATAGGGCTTATAGTTACTTGGAAATGAAACCTACACCTAAAACTGCACCAAAAATGTTAACCTGCTCCAAAAACATTAACCTGGTCATTCCTTTGCTAAAATTGCAGCATCTGAAACTTTGACTGGTACAAAGAAACACACTAGGGACCATCTTCCATGCATGTCTAATCAATATAGGACATAGAAGTACTTAAAAAGAAAACTGCTCCAAAAAACTTAACCTTAACCCGGGACGCCGACGCCGACGCCGACACCGACGCCGACGCCGAGGGTATTACATAAGCTCCCCCAACTTCGTTGAGGTGAGCTAATAAAAAAAAATAGTCTTAACACAAATACAGTATAGGGCCTGATAGCCTTGTGTCCTGGTCCGAATGAGTCAGGGTTCGAATTGACCAGACATCGTCAGAAATGTCCATCCTCTATATCAATCTAATTTCTTTTCAAGTCAATCGAAGACATATGAAGGGTTTCATAAATTATTTTAAACTTAAAATTTTATTGCCATGCATTGTCAGAGCGTTGTTCTGTTGTATAGTGATTGCATCTTAACTACAACCATGACTCTAATGTTACAAGTACGATCGACTTACGATAGGGCGCGGTAAACAAATGGAGGAAATAGATAAATACAGTAATACTGGCATTACTGGTCAATATCGTCGGTTGTTCGGATAAAACTGGATTGAAGATCTTAAAAGTAAAGCTAAGATTAAGAAAATCAATCTTTATAGTCTTGTTGTATTCGTGTTTATTTTGTAATTATTTTACCGTATTTAAGATTGTTTGTATTACATTGATCGGTCCCAAAATGTGATTCATGTCATTCGACGCACCCTCTCTGTAGAAATTCATCCGCAACAACCATAACGTTTTTCTTGCGTAAAAATTAAACATAATATCGTTGTTTTGTAGTAGTATTAATTGAAGATACAAATGATTTAATTTTATTTTCAAGCTATTATTCATTGTGAACGTTTTTAAAAAAATTGGTTTACAGCTGTTTCTATTTTCTATTGCGGATGCATCCACTGACACGTGCGGTCACGTAAACCTGACTGATCGCTAGATGATGATCGGGCAAGCCCGACGCCATAAAAAAGTGAGATGTAATTGGAGAAAATGCATGGAAAAAAAGCAAAAACAAAGGAGTCGTGAACTTTTTAAATATCTGCAGTTTGCTAGTCAAATTATGTTTTTTTCACTAGAATGTAAGCAAATACAGCCCTTTCAGATACAGCAGAGCATTCAATAACAAAAATTATAGATTATTGGCTGCATATTGGAAAATATGCCACTGAAAGGTCTATAGGCAGTAAAGCAGAGCAAGCTTGGGAGGACTGTATCTGTGTAAAGACCAAGGGTGGGCATGTTTCCTGATAATTAGTCAATGACAATCATATTACATATTTCAAAGGAAATACATTTTCCCTCAAAAATAAATTTTTAAACATTTCTTGTAATATACCGTATAAGTGGAAATTTTAGCTAGACGCAAATTTAGTGATTTGTCCTTAAAAATGGGTATTTTATTTTTAGCGATAAGTAATTTTAGCGATTTTAAAATGCTCACAAAAGAAGCTATTACAAATAAAATGCAATTAATTTTTAGTGATATTCAATTTTAGCGATCTTAACACCCTCGCTAATAATGCCAAAATTAAATCCTCGCTAAAAATTCTGCTTATACGGTACATCCATACAAGTAAGGGAGGGATATTTGGGACATTACATACATCTTTGTGATGACATAAAGTTTGGAAAAATGGGGGGGGGGTCTACCACAAAGAAGTCACTGTGCATTATATTGCACACTTGGGTTGGTATGGACCTGTAAAAGTTGGGTACTCTCAATAGAATTTATCATGAAATATAATAATATATCAAAATCTGTAATAAGGTCTAGTAACACCTGACTTACATTTTTACAGGTGAACACAGTACAGTTGACAGACATGGTGGACTGCATCTTCTCTTCGTATTTCTCTTTCTTCTCCAGCTCCATAAAGTATCTCTCCTCCTGCTCTTGTTCAACCTGAAGTCATCGTAAAATTAGGATTAAAATTCTCTAAAGAAGCTGCAGAGGAAATGTGGGATCTCTTTAATTTTCAAATGGCACTCACCTCAGCCAGGGCCCCAGTATGCTTTGATCTAGACTTCATCAGCTTTTTAAAATCTTCAGAATTTTCATCAATGTTCCCCAGAAGCTTGGAACGCTTCTGTGGAGGTTCCTCTGGTTCCTTGTCTTCATTGTCTTTATTTTCTGCAAACGCATAAATAACCCAGAATGACACTGAGTCTCACAGGTACTAGCATTAAGATTTAATGTCAATAGACTCAGAAGGAGAGGTGAGCTACTGTTGGAGTGAGTAGAGAGGATTGAGGCTTACCCAGGTTAGCTAGAACCCTCTCCTGAATCTCCTGTTTGGCCTTGGGAGATTCTCTCTTCCTCTTCAGTGCATTAGGGTCATCCTTCTCAATCCCTCCACTCTTCTTTATCTTAGATACAGCCTTAATCTGTAAATGTGCAAATAATAACAGATCTATGCATTTAATGTAGAAATCCACTCTATTTTTAATCTTGGATAAAACCACTACAGTAAAACTCAGTTATAACGAAGTCACTGGGACCTATGAAATTACTTCGCTATATCCATAATTCGTTATATCTGCATAAGGAATTAAATCTATATAGCTAGGGATCCAATATCACTTCGCTTTGTCTGTGAATTTACAATATCTGTGTTCGTACTAAACAAGTTTTACTGTATTTGCAAATGTGCACATCACAGTTTCATATAGGAAAACTTAATGTAGAAATCACACTGACATAAGTGGTAGACTTTTCTAAATTCATATTCTCAATAAATCTTCAAACTAAAACCATATATATTATTTTTAATTATGATCTAAATGATATTAATAATAAAGTTCTGACAAAATTTTATAGTTTAACTCAGATAACCTTGACTTGTTCAAAATGAAATCTAATCACAGTCATGATATTTCAGCTCTATATAATCTTTTTTTTTGTTTTCATTTTCTTACATACACAGAATTCATACATTTTTTGTGACATGGGGACTTCATTTATTAATCAAGGACGAAATGTTCCCTGTTTGCTAAAAATAAAACAAGCTGGGAACTTTATAAATTTCAGAAAATGTTTTGAAGTTTAACAACAATGTACACATTGGTGGACTAACTTCAAACCATGATTTCGTTGATCTAAAGTTCTTTTCAGCTATGTGAAGGTCCAGGCAACTTTACCCCTAATTGATCATGTCTTAAGCAAAGTCTTTTGATGAAAGCTAAGAGGATTCTATGAAGTATTTGCTATTATAGAAAATTCTGTCAATCAAAAGGCACATTTGTCTTAGTAAGCAGCAAATTAAATTATTAATCTTCTGACAGTAGTTATCTCCCCTTTTCCTTCACTTGCACTCCATCAATGGTGGTCCAGAGATCAGCTGTAAGAGGGGAACGGCCAGAAAGACACGATAAGCTTATAATGGCAGCCACAGACACAAATCAGATAAAAAAACAATCAATACCATTACTCCACTGACAATTCCATTCATAAAAATTCCACGGAGTGACCTAATCATAACTTCCTCTAGCCCTGTGTAAAAAGGCTCTTTAATCCTCTTTGTCTGAATGAGAGATGGGAGATAGATCTAAGGTGAACATTACAAGCTGTAAATCAGAGCTGCCAAGGATAATCACCCAATACACACACAGGATCGGGGAGGGATTAATAAGCTTAAATTTACAACAGACAGTGGAAACACGACATAACGACCTAAATCAGTTAATTTTTAACTGAAATGGATAATTCATGCTAATCTGCTTCCTGTGCTAGTTTAGCACCTCCATATTGGTGATTTGTAGGCAGAGAGAATACTGTCATGATTCACAGATACATTGTTGGAGGGTATGACACTACATCTTATACGGATGTCATTCTGTTGGATAACAGTGAGATACAAGGTCTAAGACTTAAAAAAAAAACACAGCTTCTGAGATTAATCTTAATCATGGACACTGTCGGAAATAATAATAGAAATAACAGATATATGGAAATCTTCTTGGTATACCTGATTCATTTCTATTTTAACAGAGCAGATGAATCACCAAACTGCGCATTAGAAAAATAGCAGTTTTTATTACATACAAACTCTCTTTTTCTTTTAATTTTCAGTAATTAGGAACATTAAATGAGTTGATTGCTATATTGTTTATATCACAAATTTTTAAACACTACCCTAAATTTCTTCTAAATTTTTGGTATCGGATTGTATATGTATATAATGAACAAGATGTGTTTGTGAAACACTGATACCCCCGTATGGCAACATAGCAAAGGTTAAGCTTTCTCAAATGCAGGTCAAATATGTTGACACCCAAAGTAAGGCCTTTTCACAAGAAATACAATTGTAAAAAGATATGAAACCCTAGCCCTATTACTGTTCAAAAGTTATGGCCAAGGTTAGTTTTTAAAAACTAGGTCAAACTCCAAGGTCAAGTTCAAAGGGTCAAAGTTGTTGGTATTCAATGAAAGGTCTTGTCACAAGGATTATATATGTATAGTATGAAAGCCCTAGCTATTACTGTGCAACAAGGTGAAAGTTTTTAAAACATATGTCAAACTCCAAGGTCAAAGTTGTTGGTATCCAATAAAAGGTCTTGTCACAAGGATTACATTTGTGAAGTATGAAAGCCCTAGCCCCTTACCGTTCAAAAGTTATGAACAATATTAAAGTTTTTAAAAAGTAGGTCAAACTCCGAGGTCAAGGTTAAAGGATAAGTATTGTTGGTATCCAATGAAAGGTCTTGTCACAAAGAATGTATTTTTGTTTTAAAGTGTGTAAAATTCCAAGGTCAAGATCAAAAGGTCAAATTGGTGGTACCCAAAGAAAGGTATTGTCACAAGGAATACACCTGTGAAATATGAAAGCCATAGTCCAAACCAGTCAAAAGTTATGAGCAAGTTTTTGCAGACAAACGGACGGACGGATGGACAGGACAAATACTATATACCCGAATCTTCGATTATGGGGCATTTTGTTATGCGTGTAGATAAGAAAGTTAATCATGAAGTCAATTATACAGATATATTTTTTGCAGCATTTTATATCCAATGGCAAAAAAAAGTTGGAGGTGATTGAGAAGTAAATGAGATGGGTGGATTTATATATAATCCTAATTCTGAAATTTTTGGCCATATTTATACGCAAGTTATGGAATTTTACAGATGCGATTTCAGAATAGGATGATGAATGAAACAAGCCCCTATAGAATTTATTGTCATTAGATCTGGTATTGACATTTGAATTCATGTGTCATATTAGATCAATGAACTCATTTTATGTTCATGTTTTTATCTATCAGTTTTCATTTGAAGCCACCTTAACAATCATGACTATAGAATACTATTTTCCTAATTCATGAATTTTAAATCTCTATAGCCTGAATATACTGTTGATGTCTTTCAGTTCATAATGTAGACCAACAGAGATCTGATCATATAAATTATATAAAATACCTATATATTGAATCTTGAAATTCACAACAAACCCAAGCCACAATGTGTACATAAACTGTAATTATGGCTTAAACAAATGATGCAAATTTCCTAGGTGTGAAAATTAAAATGCCTATCATGTGTAATAAATTTACAACTACATATACTTGTACATGTATTTGTGTAACAAAAGACTTAAGTGCAGTGAATCTTACACTTTTAAAAATAGTATCAAAGTATCTGCCAAATAATTTTCCAATATTAAATATCCTTAAAACAAATTTCATTGGATAATTTTTAAACAATGTGAATTTTCGAAGTTGGTTTGTCAATTAAGATAAAAAGATTAATTATCATTGTGAAACATAGCATAAATTTTGTCATCAATACATTTTCTCTCTTGACAATCAGATTACCTTAGCTAGCTCCATGTTAGAGATAGGTTTCCTTTTACTTGTCATGTCCAGGGAAATAAAACCGTCAGCTAGCCCCCCTCTCCCTAACTGAGGTGCCCTTGGGGTGGGGCTGCCCTGGCTCCCTAGGGAGGGGAACCCCGCTTGTTTGGCCTTCTTTTTCCTGATCATGTCCAGTTTGTGTTGTTTTAGTAGCTCTGCTGGAGAGATAGACTGTATCTCTACACTCTTGTCCTCAGACGATTCTGGAATTAAAGAATATGACTTAGTGCTTAATTCACAAGATGTCTTTGATATATTATTTTAAACTAAATCTTGGGTTAATTTCAAATCTGGAAACCAATACAATTGTTTTGATTGTACATGTATAATGGAAATTATGAATTGAAAAAGAAAATTCCTTTCTCTCAAACATAGAAACAAGGTAAATTTATTACTAGCACATACAATAGACAAGAATTTACTTGTTAGAATTGACTTTTTCTATATTTGCTTCATTTTATCATTAACACCCCTTACATGTTTTGTGTTATTTTTAATGTTTACTATCTCACCTATTTCTGTCCTGTTTTCTTTTTTCACTAGGTGCTTGACAACGTTCAGTGAACCAACTGTTGGTGTTGACAATAATTCTACACTGAAAAACCAATCACATAAAACTTAAACAAGATTGGGATTATCTCAGGCTAGAAATGGACTGAAAAATAAAATTCCATGAATCACAAATATGTACATGTATATTTAGTAGGGATGTCAACAAGTACCCGGTTAACCGGGTACTCGATTGAACGTCCGAGTATCGAATACTAAAATCGGTACTCGGTTACTCGGATGTATATTTATAAATATTTCTAAGCTTGTTTATTAATGCATTAAAACATCGGTTTAAAACCTAAAATGTTCGTTGCACTGGTACATACAGTAATTAGGGTTTCCTACTCCAAATGACCGTTTTCGCCTGTGGCAGTGTTTATACAGTAGTAATTATCGTGACCAAACACCTGATGTACCTACCTGGCTTTTCTCACCTTCGACTATCTTCTACCCTTATGTTTAGTTTGCTTTAATTATTTATTTGTTTTCATTGAACATCGTTTAAGGTCCATTATTTTTAAATGAATTAAATAATTTTGTCAATTCTCCAAGAAGCCGTAAAATTTTCGGGGAAAGAGACAGAAGATATTGTACGTGCGATTGTTGATATGGATGCATTTGATTACATGCCAATTAATGCAAATGGTTGAAGGCAAATGCCTTAAAAATCTTATGTCCATCGTTGCTCCAAACTACAACATACCGTATCGTAATTCTATGAAATCTAGGATCAAAAAGTGTACGAAGATCGTATAAATCCGCTCTGTTATAGGAGAACTTGATCAAGTTTATACCTTACATGTAGCTTAGACAACTTATCACTTGGACGTCAAACGCAAGAAAGAGTTACATTAATTACAATTACAGAACAAATTATTTTTTAAACAAAAACACTGTGAACCATTTATGATTTTATTTCTCGTAATTATCTGATAAATAAATTGAACTTTAAAAATGTTGTCGGGTACAAAGTGGTCATAATTGTTACAAAGAATTTGCAGGTAACCTCCCATCGGTTTTATTTCTACAAGAATTTACAATGTTTTACAGTTATCAATTAACTTGTTCATATTTATTTACACTTTTACCGAGTACCCGGGTACTCGATCGGAAAAATGTCCGAGTAACCGAGTATTAAAAATTGACCGATTTGACATCCCTAATATTTAGTCTACTACTGTGAATCAGATTTATCAAAATGGACCAAAACTGTGGGAGGAATAGCATTTTGTTTAAACATAGACAGCTTAAAGCTTAAAAAAGATGGCACATTATCTCCAGCTTAATTAACATTCAGTTAAAAAAGTTCTCATGCTCATCATCCGGCAATCTAGACTGACAAAATGAAAACTTACAAGTCGTTCTTCTTCTGGTTGAGCTGTTTCAGTTTGTCTATATCCTCAGGGTCAAGGTTATGTAGTGACAGGGTGGTAAACTTGCCCTTGCTCTGTAGCTGCTTGGCTTGGAGATTCTTCAGAGATACTTGGTCTTTCATGGTGGACTTTCTTCTACATTAAAAACAATTCAGTTTTCTTTCAACAATTTAACCTACTCAAATATCTGAATTCTTTATGCATAGTTAAATATTGCATTTTTACATCATATCATGTAAATGTTTACTATAAATCACTTTTTATTCAAGAGAACTTTATTTTTGCGTAATATCGCAAGTCTGTCTGCCCGCAAAAATTTTATTCTTGCATATATTTGAATTATTAACGTTTATATACATCAGAAACCAAATCTTGCGAAAAATTTTGTCTTGCTAATAAATACCAAATAGCTAAATCGCGAAAAATATTCAAAATAAGGTGTCCCCCCAAAAAAGTGATCTACATGCAGTATAATTAAATTCAAATCCTACTTTGTGTTGGTAAATGTTTCCCCTCCATAAAAGAAAAGTGATTCCTTTGTATTCCTTGGTCCAAACATTCGATTTTTGGGAGTAACTTGTGAACTGAAAAAAAAATCACAGAATTAAATGGAAAAGACATCGATTAAAATGTCAAATCAATAACTTAAATATTTCCCATTAAATTTTCCAGACATATTAAAAATTAATAAAACTGTCCAAACGGGACAAAGAAAAGCTGGGTTTTTCAGAAGTAAGTTTTTTTAATAAAAATATTATCAAACATGAATTTGAATTTTTTCTTCCAGTGACCTTGAACTTCTCCAAATGACCTTGGGTCAATCAAGACACACTCTTGGGCCATTAGCAATCTGTGTGAAATCTACAAGTTTATTCATGATACAGATTATGAAATCCAAACAAATTAAGATATTTGTGACACACCCTTGCTTCATGGATCTTTGTGTGAAAGGAGAACCTACCAAGTTTATCCAACAATATGGACCGGAACGAATTATGAAATTTTTCTTCAAGTGACCAACTTCCCCAATGACCCAGTCATGACACAGAGAGAATCTTTGTGTGGAGTTGAAGAAAGATATGGACCTGACACGATTGCACAGGCAGACGGACAGACGGACGGACAGCTAGACAGACAGACGGACAAGGTGATTCCTATATACCCCCCCAAACTTGTTTGCGGGGGGTATAATAAAACTGTAAAAGTCTATTTTAGTAATGACTTTCTTTGCAAGAAGTGAAACAAGAGCAATAACTCTTAATGTTCCACAATGATACAGATGACTAATAAACAAATTAAGATATTTGTGTACATGTGGATTTTGCTGGAAAACAAATTGAACATGCTACTTTGCAATCTCAACCAATGAGAGAGAATTTGAAGAGCTTTCATTTGAGGGCTGTCCAACTTTTCATTGAAAATGTATTAAACAGGAGTAACTCTGTGAAGAAAAGTTAACATTGTCGCATATGGGGAATGCATTTTATCTCATTTTATGACATAATATATTATCTTAATATTGTGTGAGAGATAGACGCACCTTCCCTGTAGCTCCGTCCTTTTAGCACTGACTTTCTTGTAAGCTGACTGTACATGGTACACACAGAACTCTCCTTGTTGTCTAAAGGGAAGCATATATTGCATATAGAGAAATTTTATTTTTGCTCCTTTCAATTAGTTGCCAGTGAGCAAATTTCAAAATTGATTTAAATGTAATGAGCAAAGCTCTCTTCTTATATTCTAACATGCTTTTGTGACTAAGTGAATTTAAATTGGGTAAAATAGTTTGCAAGTGTGCCTGGGTAAAAAAATACCCTTTATATGTATAAATTAATTATGCAAAACAAACTTATTCAAAAGTTTCTCTACTCAGAAACTGCTAGAAATGAACTGTAGAAGGACAACATTAAAATCTTGTATTTCTGTACAGCAAAAGGAGGAAAGGAGAACTGCTGGAATATCTCATGTGTAGCTCTAAATAACAATTAGCCACTCTCTTAAACACTAATAAATATTGTGGATAAATCAGTACAAGTTTTGCCCACTTGCCCCAGCACACTTGCCCAGATTGGAAGAGTAGCCCGTTATCAGTAACAACCAATATTTACCTATTAATGAAATTAGTACAAGGTTTGCCCGCTTTGCTTGCTCCAGCACACTTGCCCAGATCCTGGGAGTAGCCCATTATCAGTATCTGGTTAGGATGGTTCACTGTAAAAGCCATATCCTGCTGGCCCTGTACATATAATCAAGCGAGGTAACATTGTAATTGCTCATAAAAGCATTTTATAACTTTTTAATGTTGCAAGGTAAATCAGAATCAAGTAAGGGCTGTCCCTTAGACCTGGGGTCAGGGAATTTCCCTATCTGTGATGACATAATCCCCAGGATATTCTGGTATTCCCCCTCAAACCCGTCAGGGGAGGAACCCAAGACACCCTTCTACTATTTTTATGTTCCCTGTTATTTCAATTCTTAGGGACAACCCTGCAAGTAGATGTTTTTTAAAGATGTTTAAAAAATCAAGTATATTATTAATGAATCGTGATGACTACCTTATCAGCTTTGTCCATCTTGTGAGGATTTAGGATGCCCACCACTGACTTGACTTCATTCTTCCAGTGTTGTTTGAATACCTCCCCAAACAGGAAGAAGCTGATGGTCTTGTCACAATCATCAAGGTCACTCAGTCGCCAGATACAAAACGACTTACCCTAAAACAAAATAAACATTAAAACAAACACAGGCCACAAAGTCATTCAAATTTTTTTGCATAAAAAAGTTTGAAAGTAATTGTAGCAAATATATTTTTCCTAAAGATAAATAATTTTACAATCATCAATTTCGATCAATTTTGCTTGTCCAGTGGATACATTTCTTCTTTTTTCTGACAAAATTTTCCCTAAATATCAATCATTATGTAGCTCTAAATCGGAAAATAATTTATATTTATAAACAATTAAGTAGTACATACAAGTCAGAGAATGCTTATGAACAACACCACACTCACCGTAGCAGATGTTCGAGGCTCAGTCTTGTGAACTATGACCCCTATTGTCACCCAGTTACCCTGGAGATCAGCACTCTTCAGTTTTAAATGAATCTTGGACAGTTTGATCAAAGTTCTGTCAGCCATTTTGTACTTCATTTCCATACTAGAAATTTTTGGATTGCTATAAGTGAAAATATGAGACTTTAAAAAAATTACAGGTATTTGGTGTCTGTTTATAATAACAATGGAAGTTTTATGGCAGCATAAGTAAACAGTCAAGTCCGCATTACCCATCCTTATCAATTAAAATTGAAAACTTGTCATTTGTTTATTTCATATTCATGAAATGATCTTATACATTTGATGTTGAAACACCAAGGATTCCTTGCCATTTAATATTGTCAGAGAAAATTTAACTGAACATACATGTACATGGTATCAATTTAAAACTTCTCTAAGATAAAGACTCATCCAATAGAATTAAACAGTAGAAAATTATTGATGTAAATTGTCCAAAAAAAAAAACTTTTCTTAGAACTACATATATATATTTTTAAAATCCTATTGAGTAAATTTTAAACATGTTTTGCTTGAATATACTGAAACTATACTTGCATTTCTACAAAAATACATATAAAGGTAAATAAAAACAAGCCCTACATGATTCTGATTCCAGAGAATGAATCTGTTATACTCTTATAATCATCACTCGCTTTCTTACGGGGAGGATCAACCATTTCCTGTCCAGCAAAAGGACGGTTTTTCCCTGAAAAAAAAAACAAACACTCATGCAAGTAGATATTCATCTTTAATTTGTACATGTAGGTGTAATACAGTTTTGTATTATACAACATGTATAAGCTTAAGTATCTTTGGTACTTGTACAGAGAGAATAAATCAAGATTTATATCATGAACTGGTATATACTTGGTAGCAGTCCTTACACGAGTTTGACTTGAGCGCCCTCTGTCGGAGCTCCTGGACATCCCCCTGGGAGGCGTGGGACACTCTCTGTCCGTTCTCTCTCTTCATCAGGTCTCTTATGACTTGACCTGACTCACTTAATCCTGACTTCTCCCCTGAAGTACATTTCAGATTTTTTTCTTCAACAATTATACAAGAATATGTACATTGCTCCTAAAATACTTCTTTTGATTTAAAATGATTTACCTAAAATTTCTATAAGTAACTCTCTATTCAACAGTTTCTTTTATAAATAATGGACAGAATGAGAATCTAAAAATATAATGAACTGATATAAAAATTTATATAAATCCCTGACCCCCATCCAGTTCCTCCCAGTCGCTGTCACTGTCCCCAAACAGACCAGCCGTCCCTCCACTAGGATCCCCGGGGTCAGCATTTGTGTTCTCAGTAAAAAATGGATTTCTTTCCAGGTCTTGATCTGTAGTCAGCTCTGATTTAATTGAAAATATTGAAACACTCACAAACATGATAAATGAATTGAAACTCTCTACATCATATAAAGAGAAAATAAATAATTTACTGGTAATTTGCCTACCTTTCATTTTATTTGGCACATTCACATCTGAGTTAATTTTTGGAGACACTACTTTCTCAGTATTTTTTTTATTCTTCATTTCACTATTTCTCTGGGGAAAAGTGTCTTTTAATTTTGGATGACTGCTTCCATCTTTAGATGTTGGACTTTTCTTTACACTGTGTTGTACTGAGGTTTGATGTTTTTGAGTGACACATTTCTGTTTAGACATATGAGGAGACAGTTTCTCTTTTTGTTTTTCACTAGGGGATCGTTTCTTTAGCTGAGAACTACAGGGAGGATCTTCTTTGTCCCCTGTTGCTTTGGGAACCACCGATGATGGGGATTTCGAACTTTTGGACTTTTTCTTTCTCATTTTCAACTGAGATTGTAGTTCTAACATTTTCTTTTGAATATTAAGAAGCTCAGCTGTGAAAAGAAAAACAAGACAGTCCTCATTATTTGTATTGTTTAGGCCATGCAAAGTCAGTTCCTTGGTTCTCAGGACTTTTTTTCGAAAAATATTTTTTTTTCGAGGCATTTTTTAAAAAAAACTTTTTTATTGCCCCCAAAACATGATGAGGCAGCTTTTTACATTGTACAAAAACCTCAAAAAAATGATGAGGAAGGTGATTTCTTGTTTTTATTTTACTGATTTAGCAATAAAAAGGGTCAATGAGGCACCCTTAGAAGAGATGAGGGAGGGCCTGAGAACCAAGAAATTAATTTTTAATGGCCTTAGTCAGGATTTAGACCCTTAAATACAGAATGACCTTTGGTTTGTATGCCAAGAGTGGTCACTTTACAACCTTTGCTGAAAGTATTGAGATATAAACCATGTTATAAGATTTTCCTTGGTAAATATATATACTGATACTCATATACCATACTTTAACAAATACTGTAGAGAGTACCTTGAATATCAGAGTCATCTTTTTCTTCCTCCTCATCTTCATCACTGGCAGGTTGTGAACCTGAGTCATCTTCTTGCACTTCACTTACAGATTGAGGACTTCCCGTCTTGGGTACACCACACTCTGCAGTGGAGGCACTCTCAGTGTCCACAACCAATTTCTCTGGACTATTTTCACCGAGTTCCTCCCCCTCAAAATCACTGTCCTCCTCCTCCAGAAATGCTGTTAAAGTGTCTATATCACATTCCTCCTCTAAAATTAAAGATTGATTTATCAAATTTGTTTTAAAGTACAAACAAGTAAGAATACAGTCACTCACATTCCATTCATTTCAAAATTCATCTTTGAACTTTTTCATGAAGTATTACACTGTAATTAACAAAAAATAAATACAAGTGTACTCCACTTCCAAGTTTGAGCGATATGTAATATTTTATCTAAATTTATTCATTTTAACATTTTATGTTAAGATACAAATAGACTTCAAGAAATCTTTGCAAGTCTGACCTAGCTGTTGATTTTCTGTTGTTTTGGCACCACTCCCCTTCTCCTCTCTGGGATTATCTGAGGCAGGGGCATCCCCCTGTAACTTACTACTGCTCGATTCATGCTCCTTAATTTCTGTTGCATCACTGTTGTCATCCAAAAGTGAAACTAGGGCATCTAAATCACATTCATCATCTAATTCAAAAGTAAAAGGTTTGTATTTACTAAAGCTAAGGACAACTTGCTTTAATATATATGTATACTAGCTTGGTGTTGGAGGTATTTCTAATACAGTCATAAAATTTGACAAGTTCCAAAGTTTGATCAGTTCCAAATAATTATTTAGTTTTTAATTATTAGTTTAAGAGCTGATCATTTAACACAAACATAAATCCAATTGCTTGGGAAACACTAAGGTATTCAGAACTAGGAGGCTAATTTGGAACTGGAAAAATGAGTACCCACATATAATGACATTAACTTGTTAAAACAAGATTTTTTGAAAGTCTGCAGTTTGATGAAGCTTTTGCAAGTCATTGGACTGCTTTGGCAAAAAAAAAAAAAAATTAAATAAGGTTCTCATTCACATGTTTATTTATAAAACCGCCGAATCAGTTTAATTCCTATTTGGAACTGTAAAAAAAAAAGTACGTAAGGGTTGCCCGCAACCCTGTGTCTCGCCTGCTGTCGCTGTGGTTATATACATATACCCTGTAAATTCACAAATTATTGTGATGTTTTTATTATTGCGAATATTGCAACGTGTTATGAGTCGCAATAATTTGAACTTGCATTTTGAAATCAAATCCACTGTATATGTATCAAGTCATTCATGCAGAAAATGTAGGTGAAGATTACTAATTATGGTACTGATATTGTTGGTTACCCATGATGTGTAGACTGACAAATTATCATGCCACTATAAGTTATAGTTGCTGAGATATGGACCTCCACCATAAATTTATGCAAAGTCACTCATGCGGAAAAATGTAGGTCAAGATGACCTAATTCTGGTACAGGCGTTTGTGGTTACCCATGATGTATCCACTGACAAATCTATCATGCCACTATAAGTTATAGTTGCTGAGATATGGACCTCCACCATAAATTTATGCAAAGTCACTCATTTGAAAAATGTAGGTCAAGATGACCTAATTCTGGTACAGGCGTTTGTGGTTACCCATGATGTATCCACTGACTAACTATCATGCCACTATAAGTTATAGTTGCTGAAATATGAACCTCCATTATCAATTTAACCAAAGTCATTCATGCAGAAAAATGTAGGTCAAAAACCTAATTCTGGTACTGATGTTGTTGGTTACTTATAACCTGTACAATGACAAATCATCATGCCATTATAAGTTATAGATGCTGAGATATGGACCTCCACCAAAAATTTAACCAAAGTCACTCATGCAGAAAAATGTAGGTCAAGATGACCTAATTCTGGTACTGACGTTTGTGGTTACCCATGATGTATCCACTGACTAATTATCATATCCCTATAACTTATAGTTGCTGGAATATATATATACCATAAATTATCATGAAAAAACTAAGTCCAACTTAAGGAAAAAATACGGAAAAATTTGAATTTTTTTTTTCAAAATCATACTTGGGATATAAATTTTTATCCATACTGAATATTGTGTCCAAATTTCAAGAAGACTGAATAAAATTTGAGAAAGTTATTGCAGTTTATAAAACTTTGACATTTGGGTTAACCAAAAGTTGGACGCCGACGACGACGACGACGACGACGGAATCTATGGTCGCTATGTCTCGCTTCGCGACATTCGTCGCAGGCGAGACAAAAATACAATTTATAATTATTCATCAAAGTGGTTGACAGATATAAATACAAACCTGACATTGTAACAGTAGGCCTAGAGTCTCCAGCACTTGAGCTCAGTCCTGTAAATATCTGAGAAAAAGAAGGATTATAGATAGCCTAAAGTATTGTTTTGTCAACAAAGGATCGACACCTGTCTACAGCTGTTTAAGAGTGTTTAACTGTTTAGGGTTACTGTCGTATCGCCCCAAAACCTGAAAGCCCCATGCATGAGCGCCCCAAAATTTTTTACCGGCGCCCAAGTACAAATATGAGCGCCCCAAATATTAATAACGAGCGCCCCAAACGTATTTCACGAACGCCCCAAATTAGCATTTCGAGCGCCCCAAAATAATTTGGTCACAGATACACATGCAGGTGCTCGTCTAAATATCAATTTGTTTACTTTTCGTTCTTCAAAGAAATCTGGTGAAATATTCTTTTAAATATAAGTTTTATTCGTTTAATTAAAGATAATAGTACAGTCATTTGTATTAAAGTCAGAACACGACCGTAATCCCAAATAAAAGGAGAACACCCCCCCCCCCCATATTTTATCAAATACCGGCTACATGAAGTGATCTGAATTAATTTGGCGATTTGTGATAGTTGCTTGACCAAATCTGCGTCATGAAGTCTTTGAAATACAGTATTTTTTTCATTTGTGGAAATGCAGATAAGTGCTTAAAATGCGTTTATGTATTTATTTTTGTTATCAATTTCTAGATGTATTCATTTTAATTTACACGCATGATCCGTCTGTGCATGTTCGATATATAATTCACATGGAAAGGTGGTATAAGTCGTCGAAGGACCAGAATTACAGTGTATGTTTGTTGAATTGGGTGTCTGAAATTATGATTACTGCGTATACACAGACTATAAATCCCACTGATCTAGTGACAGGTGTGTAATATTATGTAGCGTTACATAATCAGGTACACAAGAAGCAACGAAAACGCACGGCACGTGCACTATACTAAGGATATACTGCGATTTTGAACCTAATCTACATCATTAAAATTAGTAAAAAAAAAAAAAAAAAATAGATAGATGACTTTGGGTAGGTTAAATGATGTATAATTTTTTGTATTCTTATAATTTTTGTTGTATATATTTATTACTGACAGATTCTATATAAATTTCGTAACTCTTATAAAAAAAACTTGCAACCTACGTAGACGATTTAAAAAAAAAGTTGGTACTTGGTATCTTGAATAGATTAATTTACCGATTTACAGGAGATATAAGGTATAAGACCACATGTTTCTACAATGAATATGACAGCTAGTCTAAAAACTTTTCTGGTTATTATTACATAGTTACTGCAGAAATACACATCGGTGTTTAGGTTTATTCTATTCGCACTGTATTTCCTCTTTGTAAGATCCTTATTAGCACTGAATAAATCAAAAAATTTAAAAAATCAAAATAAATTACGGTTCGGGAATGCACGTATAAATATGAATTCCATTTGTTTAGTACGTTTACATTTATCTTCATATAATGCTAGTTTACAATTCTTGGGGCGTTCGTTATTATACATCGTAAATCTTGAAGCACTCGTGATAAACAACAGTTACTGATAAATATCATTCGGGACGCTCGTGAATAATATTTTTTTGATCTAATAAATTGTTATAAAACACGCATCAAAGACAACAGTTTGGTACTTTACTAGTTAATTTAAGTTAAATATATATGCTAATTTGGGGCGCTGGTATAATATAGCTTTATGGGGCGCTCGTGATTAAGATTTGGGGCGCTTTTATGAGAAACGTGGGCGAAGGTAAAAAAGGGGCGACATGCATGGGGCGTTCAGGTTTTAGCGAGTGTTTAACTGTTTAATACGTGGTTTAAACGGAGATGTTACATTTCTGAAAGATGCCCAGTAAAATATCACTGTCCTACACATAAGTCATTTTACATTTTGTGCTTCTACATTTTATCAACATAACTTTAAATGTGTACATATCTGATACATCACATTTTACGGAACGGGTAAAACAAACTGAACTCAAACGAACGACGATATTTCTGTTCAATGAACATCAAAATTCTGCATTTTGATACCTTCAAGTAACAGATTTTTTCCTTTACAGCCTACAGATCTCATTCAATCCCTTGTTTTCCAGTTTTTACAACGACTACTTAGACTACTTTCGCTTTTTGTTTCTTGGCGCCATAATTGGAAGTGTCTAACTTACGAATTCATACGGAAGGAAACTTAGTTTCCGGGAAAACGTTCATAAATCAAAATACTGAAAGTAAATGTATTTTTAAAAAGATTTAAATACATGGGCCTACATTTGGTACACTTGCAGCACTCAAGCCCTTCAAGGCAATTAAAGCATAGACGTCAGAAGCTAATTGAAAGAAGGGGGGTTAAACCAAAAAAAAGTAAGCCCAATTTTCAAGGCTTATGTCTATCTTTGCAAAAATAGCTTTCATCTATGGGTTTATTTAAAACTGAGCTAAACACAAATTAAAGAAACATAAGGTCAAGGTAAAAAAAAAGATGCACTTTAATTAATAGCTTTCATCAGTAATATCCAAACATGAATTTTGATTAAATTATCTTGAATGGTATCTTTTAAAATTGTGCTAAATAATAATTTAAGACAAGTGAGGTCAACGTCAAAGGTCAAGGTAAAAAAAAGTTCAGTTGAATAACTTTTAATTACTTCAGTATGTATCATCATGTGAAATTTGTTAACACTATAATCCTGGATGATTTCTTTAAACTGAGCTAACCGCTTATTTTTTTAAATGAGGTCAAGGTCAAAGGAAATGTCAGGGATAAAAATGCTTTTGTATAGCTCTCATTAGAATGTATAAGCATATGGAGTTTGAAAAAATGTCTTATCTGTAATACTTTTCTTAAAACCAAGATAAAAACTAATACATGTGTAAGAAAAGTGAGGTCAAGGTCAAGGAAAGTGTCAAAGAAAAAAATGTTGTGGTTAAATACATGTAGTTCTAATCAGTATGTGTCAGCATATGAATTTTATTTAAAATAACTTTGAATATTTCTTTAAAATTGAGTTAAACACTAATTTAAGAAAAGTGAGGTCAAGGACAAAGGTCAAGTTAAAAATGTTGATGCAGTTGAATAGCTGAATTCAGTTTGTATTGGCTTATGAAGTTTGATAACACTATCCTGAATGATTTCTTTAAAACAGAGCTAACGACCTATTTAACAAGAGGCCCACCAGGCCTTATAGGTCACCTGAGTACCATGTAACAACTTTCCAACAATTGAATTTGGTTTGTGTTTTAAACCCGAGGCCATGAAATTCACAATTTTTGAAAGAGGCACCATTGCTCATTATAACTATACACTTTATAGCATGCATACTTTGGTTATTTATATACCTACAATCTGTAAGTGTGAATCAGAATAACAAAAAGAAAATACATTTCCACTTTATAACCAGCTGTGCCACACATTTCAATTAATATCAGCAGATTTAAAGCATTAATTTACTTTCAAAGTATGTAACCCCCCAACCTCCAAGTACTCCTGACTGAGGGGCCCTGAAATAAACCATTTTGGAAGAGACACCTTTCTTCATCATAAATATGTACTTAGATCATTGGCATAATATCCAGGAGCAAGGGAAAAGATTTTCAAAGAATTCATGAATTTTCACTATATAATCATTTGAGCCCCACTCAGACACCAGAACCCCCTGATCAAGGGGCCCTGAAATTCACCAATTTGGAAGAGGCATCCTTCCTCATCATAACTATGTACATAGTTCATTGGTCTAATACCCTGGAGCATAGAATATTTTTAAAGAATTTATGCATCACTATATAATCAATACCTTTACACCAGAACCCCAGACCCTGGTGCCATGATTTTCAAAATTTTGGAAGAGGCAGCCTTATTCAACTGAACTATGTATTTTGTTAGTTTATTTTATGCTCAGGAGCATAGAAAAAGATTTTCAAAGAAATATTTTCATTAATCTATTTTGCCCCACTCAAGCACTAGAACCCCTAACCCTGGGGCCATGAATTTCACAATTTTGGTAGTGGATGACTCAGTGCCGATTACAATCATGCCAACAGTTTGACTGCTTGATGTCCAGGAATAAAGAAGATTTTAAAAGCTCATTATAAGATAAATAAAGTAACATGATTGGAGAAAAATTCATGCTTAATAAACTGATGCTTTTAAATAGTTTTGCCATCAATCAAAGATTTTAATGATACTTTAAACTTAATACCAATTTACCAAATAAATCTCTATAGTCTATCTGTAAAACCTAACTGCCTTGTATGCATTTCTCTTTTATGAAAAAAAGACAAACTTGTTATATTATTCATGTACACGTTTATTTACATAAATTATGCACATAACAATGTCAATACTGACATATTCTCTAGACATTAAAAAGAGTAAAATGAAAGTTATAAATTATTCTCTACAGAAATAGACGACTATGTAAAGAATATGTTACATAACGTGAGCTCTGTGATGAGATTTCTTTCTGAAAGGATTGTACCCTTTGATATACAAACGTTCTGAGTAATGTGAAATGTAAAAGTTACAAATGAAACAAATTTATTCATCCTGATACATTAATAAAAATAAAATTCTTGAAAAAAAAATTAACATAGAAACAACAAAATATCATTCTCTGATGTCGGGTGACATGTAAAATAAAACATGATCCTGAAATAGCTGTCCTACAAAAATTAATTTAAAGAAAATGAAATGATGTATTAAACACAGGTATTGTGTCTAGATATCACAGCCTTATGCCAAGGGAGACCACCTATAACAAGTTACTGGCAGTGGAGCTACCCAGGAAACCAAGAATCACTTCACATTTACAGGAATCTCAGTATGCGGAGCTTCCCACAGACACTAAGAATCACTTCACAGTACAGATCAATAACAATAGGCACCCTTATTATTCCCGATCATGCTGACAAAAAAGGAAAATACAGAATTCAACAAATAGCACATCAATCATAGTTATAATTGACTCCAGATATTAGCACTTGTTTCATTGGTCCTCGAACAGCCACAAGGGATAACTGTGATCCCTGCAGGACACTGGGAGATCTCCTCCGAAGGGATTCTCATGTACTGGGAAAGTACAGGAGACAGTGTGTTGTATCCCTAGAGATGGCTGTTTTCGTCCTGCCGTGTAACAGTTGAGCGAGGAATAGGTTTTGGCACACGTACTGAGGTCCTTTGAGGAATAGGAGGAGGGGCGTCCTCACTTCTGGAGGACCCCACATTCTCAAACACTGAGACACGAGGGTGTCCATTAGTCTGTCGTATGAGGGAGGGTTTACGAGGGGGTAATGGGGGGACGGGGGTTGAGGAAGCACTAAAACTGGAGCCGACCAATTCCTGAAAATACAATTACAGAGACATGGAATGGTGAAACAAAATTCTTATCTAATATAATCTTTAAAAGAACACTTTTCAGACAACTCCTTAAATTTAGAATTAAAAAATATCAAATCTTGACAATAAAATCTTCCAATCATTGCTTATATTAAAGATATACAGGTTTTTATAGAAAATATATATAAACAACACCTGTGTTGGTAAAGACAGGTACATATAGATATTTACCTGTGTTGGTTTAGGTTGTTTCTTTTTTGGAGGGGGTTCTGGTTTCTCGGGTATGGTTTCTTCTGCAGGGAACAAAACTAAACATTTTAGCTGTACATGTATTATTATTTTTAACATAACATTGCAGATCTTACATCTGTATTGATACTCATTATAAATAAAATCCATACCTGTGAGCTGATGTTTAACTGGGAGACCTGGGATGTTACTGATTACTGGAAAGGCATGTTCTACAAAATAATTAAAACTAAATAAGAACGGACTTAAATGGAACATCTCATTAGATTTAATGTCCTAAAGTTACAACAATTAAATTACTGGTATTTATGTGCAAACACATCAGAATGTATTTTACCTCATTCATATCAACCTATATCTGCTTTATGCCAGGCATATCTTGCATTTATAACTTCCCTTGATGTTTGTGAATTTGTTATGACTTGACATTTGTGTAAGTACTGGGTATTTGTAACTACTTACCTTGAAGTTCGCATTTGTTGTGCTTGACCTTGATATTTGTGTAAGTACTTCTTATGACTTACCCTAAGGTTTGTATAAGTACTTTTTTTGACTTGCCTTGATAACTCTGTATACAAGTACTTCTTATGACTTACCCTAAGGTTTGTATAAGTACTTTTTTTGACTTGCCTTGATAACTCTGTATACAAGTACTTCTTATGACTTACCCTAAGGTTTCTTGCCTTGATAACTCTGTATACAAGTACTTCTTATGACTTACCCTAAGGTTTGTATAAGTACTTTTTTTTGACTTGCCTTGATAACTCTGTATACAAGTACTTCTTATGACTTACCCTAATGTTTGTGTATTTTTTTTTACTTGCCTTGATATCTCTGTATATAAGTTCTTCTTTTGACTTATCCTGAGGTTTGTGAACTAGATATGACTTACCCTGTTTGTATGTGTAAGTACTTGTAATGACTTATCTTGATGTTTGTGTACTTGGTATGACTTAGTTTTGTGTCTGTGTAGGAACTTGTTATGACTTACCTTGATTTCTATAAGAAGGACGGTGTGCAATATCTGGATCTGAGCCAAACTTTGATTTCTGTGAAAAGAAAAAGAAGAAAGTGTTTCACTACAAATGAACTGGTATAATTACAATATATACTGAGGATGTACTACATGTATATATACACTTTTAAAAGCAATACCAGACTTCTGTATTCATATTTTTTGGCACTTGTGGTTGACTTGCCAGTCTCATAATCTTAAGCACAAAATTAAGCTCAGACTAACGCCAAAAGACTTCATTCAAGCATGTGGCAAATTCTGTCAGAACTACAAACTCATTGAAAAAATAACAGGCTATAAACATTCATGTATTTAAATAAATTAACTAAAACAAATAAAGTAAAAATAAAAGCTCTAGAACATAAATTAATCAGAAATGTTTAAGACGGAGGATTATATATAACATAAACCATGGTCAAAACTGAAAAATAAGTAAATAATGACTAAGCAGGAAGGTCTAGACTAATCACACACACACAATGATGGTACAAAAGCACAACCATATTTCACAACACTGCATGGCCTCTTCACACGCATAAGAAAACAGGTCTCTGTATCCAATATTCAAAGTTAAATGTGCTGTCCGCTTATATTTTTCTGTCTTAAATTATAACATCTAGATATAAGGCCATAATAAAAATATTCCTAGATTCTCATCCCCGCCCGCCCCAATTTTATACCCCAGCCTCGATTTTTTTAATTTCTGTTTTTCTTCCTCTTAACTCTGATTGGGATCTGTATTCATCTACCATTCTACTTTCGTTTTAAATCCTGCAAAAGTCGACATGATTTTGACAGCTGAAAAGATGGTAATTGCTGTAATACATGTGTATATATATTTTAAACAAGGGTCATTGGTTGAAAAAGATTGGTGATGATGTGAAGTAAGAGATAATTGAACCTTTACTATGACTTTTATTCGGGTATTTTAGATAAAATTACACCGATTGACCAGGTCAATAAAAAATCTGCAAAAGTGAAAAAATTTAAAATAAAATCTGCCCGCCCGCCTCGATTTAAAAAAAAATTCGGATGAGAATCTAGCAATTTATTTATTATGGCCTAAATAGTTTTTTTGCATTTTCTAGCATTTTGTGTTTTTTTTCTTTTTGGTGTGACCTTTATCTGTAATATTGTGCAACTTTCAAGATCAGTACTTCTTTAAATCTTATCAAAATGTATGTTATTTTACATATGACTTGATTAGTTTTCTTCTTGCAGTAACATCCTTGTATATTTTATTTATCATATATCATGTAGCTTCTGATAGCTAGCTTAAATCAGGCAATTAATGCAAAATCATCTGTTTTGAGCAAAAAATTACATCATCTGGTTGTTTATAGTAAAGAATAATATAATATAATTCTATTGAAAAGGAGATCATACCCAGAGTATATACTGAACAGTTAGGATTACAGCCCAAGACTAAATACATCCATTTCATACTCATGCTTCTCTATACTTCAAGCTTAGGGGAGGCATCAAACATAGGACAATTATATGAGCATATTTTTACCATCAAATCTTCCACTGTCAAAGTTGACTTGTAGAAACTGCAACATTCTTCCAAAAGCCAAACCTCTTATCCAAGTTCATAGCCATCTAGTTCTATACCACAACATGCTCAATAAATTATGTCAATGGCCAAAAATAATTCAACAACGTCAAACCAGTCCTGACTCTGGTACAAGGGAGGGAATAAAGTTTACCTCAGGAAGCAAACTGTTTGTAGATCCTGAACCATACCAGACGGATTTGGAGCGATCTCTATGTGCCTTGTCTGGTCTGAACGAATGTATCAGTGACAATGGCCTCTTTGGCTTGCTGTTGGAGTTCACTCCCTTGAGTTGTGAGAGGTCAAGTAGTGTGAAATTCTGAACATGCAGACATGAAAAAAGGTAGTGAGATGGATATCTACATAGATACACAAACTAGCTAAGCATGCTACTCAGGCATACACTGTGTTAAGGATAGGGGACCTAGAGGGTACACTGTGTCATACATAGAGTCGTGCATTGTTAAGTAAACAGGTTAATAGGGTTTTTCTACACCACAATTACTTTATATCATTAACAAATGTACAACTAATGAATAAGCAAAAGATATACAAGGTTAAATATTTTTCTGTTAGTCCTGTATATAAAAACACCCACATCCACATATATGTTACAATGTGAATTTCAACGTCTTAAGGTCCATTGTGTACATGTTTATATCTTCGATAAACTGGAAATTGGCAGTTCATTCGCTGTTTTCACATTGATCTTCTCTTTCAAAGATCTCATTCTTTTATATTATCAATCGTAGAATGTATATGGGACATTAAAGATTTTGATTAATAAATTTTACAAAAATGAGTGATATTATCTACAATACAAATGATTCTAGTAACAGGTAGAGCTATAGTGTCATAATCAAATGAATTTAAGGTTAACAAGATTTATAAAACAATATTAAACAAAAAAATCTAATTATCAAGTAAGATTTAGGGAGAAATAAATTAATAAAATATTATAACATCATAAAAATAGAGCGAGATTAGTACAATATACAAAGGAAATTCAAGGCAATGCAAGACTGCTATTTATTTAAAAAAAAAAAAAGATTGACAGGTTGAAATAGATGATTTATAGTATTAACAAAAGAGTGCTTGGTCGTTACAAATTTCTCTTCTTTTTATTTTTCAGCACACTCTGCCAATTAAATAATGAAAAAAATAATAAAAACTATATTTGGTAACTTCAAATGGGATATATATAACTGTGCATATCTATAAATATTTCCTGCACTTTTTTAAAAAATTAATTTTGAATGTGTTTTTTCTTTCCAACTTTCCTCAAACTATTTATCACATTCAATGATGTAAATATGAAGCTGTTGGTCCTACTGCAAAAACAGAAATAAATCTATGAAAAAATAATTTCTACAGAAACTTTAAGGGCATCCATAATTTTTTTTACTGCTATAGTTTTTTTAACATCAGAGGGCCAGTTCCTTTGATGCACACAAAACACTGAGTTTTATTTCAACTATTAATCAGGTTGTTTTTCTTGAATATCTATGTTATAATCTACAGGGTGTATAAAAAGTGAGACTAAACTACAGCACTACACCAAAAGTCAACATAGAGCTGGTTTAATTGACAACTAACCTCAGGTGCTGGAACTGGTTCTGGTTCAGACAGGTCAACCAGATCTCCTGACACTGCATCAGCCGAGTAACCTGACGATCGATTACTGAAAAATTAATTAACAATCATCATTAGGTCTGCCATTAACACACAAGTAAAGGTATATAATTATGGTTAATTCATGCAGAGTATTTTTAACTTTTCTTAATTAACATCCTTAACATCTATATTACTAGTGAAAATCATCATTTATTTGCAAGAAAATTCATTCTCATAAATTAATTTGTGATTACAAAGAACAGGAACCAAAATTCATGAAAAGTCTGTCCTGTTTCTAAAGAGTAAATGACTATCTTGCAAAGATAAGGAGCTTTATTTCCTATCTAGCTTGTAACACGAGCTTTGATTGGTTACAAAGTCGGGTGTAAATATCCGTGCACCCGACTTGAGCCGGGTGTAAATAAAACGTGACGTCACAATGCATAGTTTTTCTATAATACAAAGCACATCGATATGTTGAGACACACTCTAAAGCATTGTTATGGGTACAAAAGAAATAAATTCGTTATCCAGGTTCAATCAAGGGTGTACGGGGATTTACCCCGGGTTGTATTCCATACACCCTGAGGCCTTCGGCCTTCGGCCTCAGGGTGTATGGAATACAACCCGGGGTAAATCCCCGTACACCCTTGATTGAACCTGGATAACTAATAGTATAACCTGCTAGAGGAGTGGAGGGACCCACTTCCTGGGGTTCCCGGCCTCATCTCTACCAGCATACTGTCTACTCCAGAGTCCGGTCGCGGTTTAAACTCCTGTAAGAATACAAATCATATCGTACATTGCCAATTTTACAACAATATAAAATGATTTTTCACCATTTCATTACTGATAAAAACAAAATAAATGCATGCATTTATGAACATGTCTATTTGCAATTATTTCCAATTCATCAACAATAATTTTTTGGAGGTTACACTCTTAATATACATTTCATGCTTATATGAGAAAGTGTTTATAAAAGAGTTTGCTCTTGATAATGGCCAAGAGATTGTCTACTAGTATTTAATCTAATAAAACATTGAAAAAGCAAGAAAAAACAGAGATATTTTTTGTTATTGCGACACATACCCTGACGGAAGTCATAGAGAGATGAGATGAGGTCCTGTGTACGGAGGCTGACTGCATGCCCAGACTCTCCTTGATCTCCTTCAGGATCTCGCTGAGTGACCTCAGCATGTCAGACAGTCCCGTCCCGTGGACCCGGTCCATAGTCTTCATCAGATGGAGACCCGCATCCAGCAGTTTGACCTGCTCATTTAGTAGCTCCTTCAACTCGCGGATCCTGTCCCTCTCCTCAGGGTGAAGTCTCTCGTACTCCGGTGTAAAGAAAGCCTGGAAAATACATGTAGTTAATAGAGCAAGAAAATTGATACAGATGCCCATGTGTGCAAACCTTCATAGAATGAACAGCAATGGCAGATACGCCATTTACAAATACAAATATGGCATTCATATTCTTATTTCAATCACAATACCTTGCACCTCTTTATTTTAAAATAAAACATTCCAAGTTTGAAGATCCTACCTCCTGATATTTAGGAATTCCACCTTGAACAGAAGCACTAATCATTCCATTTAATTTCATTGAGAGAGATTTGATAGCATCAATAGAGGAGTCTTTTTTAGTTTTATCAATCTCTTTCTGCAGTTCTTTACAGGCTGATTTGACAGCCTCATTAGCAGTACACACGGGGCTAAGAGTCACATGTTCAGTTCTAATCACTTCGTACCACTGTAAAATCCCAGGGAAACAGTAGTTTGTGTGCATCACCATTCTCTCTGTACACAGGGTCTGGGTAAAAAAAATTAACAGAACATCAGAATTTACTAACATCAATGCAGGTATTCAGTTCTGAAATATACATCCCAAAATCCATGATTCTAAGAAAGCTATTTTAGTTAAATCTCAAAGCAAATCTTGATTTTAAGGAAAATGTCTTTTATAATGCTGTCAATTTACAATCCCAGTTTTTGAAGGGAATTAAGATAGGTGATGATACCTTAAATTCATTATTTGGATCCCTTTCTCCTCTGTGGAAAGATCTGTCAAACTGGAATGTACTGACATCATTAACAGCGTAGAAATTCTTAATCTCAGGAGCCACATTGGTGTTGTATACAAACTCTGGCTTGTCTTCTGGCCGCGGCTTCACACTACCAATCTGTATGTCTGAAACCAAAAATGTCAGCGAGATATAGGTCTTACTCTAAAAAGTTACCGCACACCGCACGACGCACACCGCACAAATGGCCATAGCATTAGCTCTTTACTCCTTCTCTTGAATAATAAAAAAAAATTTAGTAACTTAACTTTTGAGGCATGTCTTTAAATATGTTTGTTTCCTTTAATTGTATCATGATTAAATGTAGTAAGTTCAATTTTTGAGCACGTATATTTTTTTTAATTTCCACACAGAGAAGATATCAATACAGACTTAATACATAAAGGGAGTTAACTACTGTCCTACATTGAGCTTCCCCCTGCTTCTTGTCCTCGTCTATAGTGTTGGTGAACTGTAGGATGGTAGCCATGGGGTACTCTTGTTTCAGCTGATTTATTATGTCCTGTAGTTTCAAACACTCATCCCCTCTGTAGATAAACACTTTGTTCTGAAAAAATTTAAATCCTCTCAGTCAGTTTTTTATACATTACTTACCAACATAAAAACTGGGACTTCCGTGCATAATTAATTGTATAACATAGTAGACAAACTCTGACTCACTCTGACAAAGAGTGGGAAGAGTTGTCCGTAGTACGCCACTCTGAAGTAGGTCGGTTCTTGTCGGGGGTAGAAGACAGGTCGGTCCTGCCCCTCCTCCTGAACTTTGACCCCATCCAGTATGTTACTGAAAAACCTTGCCTGTCTTTCCTGTCAAGAGCAAAACAGAATGATTAATAAGTTACATTTTATCTTTAACTTATAAACATAAGGGAAAACAAGAACCTTTAGATAGGACACATTTTTCACTCATTAAATTTTCATTCTTTATGAAATTTATCCAGTTTCAAAAAAGTTGATGAATGACAGATTTGACCTTTGACCTGGAAGTGTACTTGCCAGAACATTACTCAGCTTCCTGTAATCAAACTTTTTCTCGTAGACCTCTGCCAACTCTTTACACAAAGGAATACCATACTCCCAAACCTGGAAAAGGTTCAACACTTTTTTTATGGTACATATCCATCTATTACATAATCTAAAACTCAAAGGACATTTATCAGTTTATAGAGGAAAATAAAAGCAAAAAGTGGGACCCAAGAAAGTTTAGTCGAATGTGTACTGAATTGCTTACTGTGCCATACTAAACTTCACTGTTATAATTCTGTATAAGCCCTAACCTTGCCCTTGTCGAAGCAGTCCATGATTTGGAGGTAGACCCTCTCCTTTCTCTCCCACTCCGGTTGGTTGGGGTAGTCTAGCTCCTCCTTCCTCATCGTGTCCCTCCACTGTAACAGTTGGGCGTACAACTTCAGGGTCAGCCCCGCCTCCACGTAATTCTGAGCAGCAAGGTGAAGGTCATACAGCTTCTTAATGTACCGAATGTACATCTCTTCTTTGTTTGTGTTGTCCTTGTAAAAATTCTATGAAAAAATATTTTGACTATTTTTATAACTATGTAAGTATAAATAAAGAATGGGGATAAACCATCATAGTAAAGGTGCATTTATACCTCTTGCAGTATTATATATTTAAAACTTCTAAAAGAAATACTAGTATATGTATACAACTTTCTTTCTTGAGCTATATATGTAAAAGATACTGAATGCCTTTCCTGTTTAGCTATAAACAGAACTTATTTCAAGTACCGTAATGTCTTTTTAATAGCAATTCTTTGAAATTCTCGTTAATAACAAAGTTGCTGCTACCATTATCAATAAATAAATATCATACACCCCTTTAATTATTGACTGCAGAATAAATTTTTTGGAAGATCGACTGGAATTCATATACACAGAGCATTAGCTGGGTGATTCAATCTCCCTTTTTATAAACAAGCTAAAACATTCCACATTACATAATTCAACCTGGATTGATCATCTCCGGCTTCATAAATAGATTTTTATTTTTATAAATTCGGCAGTGAATTTTTTTTTGTATTTCACCATAGATCATCCTTTCAGATGAATGGTTTCCATGTGTTTCTTCTCTTCTGTTTTTTAAGGAGGGTCGTCAAAGGAAGCCTGCAGAGTCTAACGATTTTGACTTAATTAATGAACCATGCCAAAGAAAAGCTTCAAGTTGTTAAGCTACAGTTGATCACATCAAATTTCATTCTGTTTGACAATTTACAACTTCTCGCAGGTTGAGTGGATTCTAAGAGGCCCACCATATGTTGTTTTCAGTGTACGCTATTAAACAGCTTACTGAGGGATAAGTGTGGTATGGCACCAATGCTAAATTAAATCATTGACCAAGTTCTTTGGTTATAATTTTTCTATATTTTTATCCTGTGAATATCATAAAAGAATAAATCTCATGACTGAGGAATAAAAAATTGCATAGACACTACCATGACACCTTAATATCTCTTCTACTGCCTGCATCCCTGTCCACCCTAAAGCACCAAGCTATAACCCACTGCATCACAGAACTCTGCAATTTTTCTATTTTCCACATTGCTCACAAAGCTCTCAATAGCATACAAAGGTTCATTACCTAGATCTCCAGAACCACCCGGTAGTTCATTAATCTCAACTTAAAATTCCAGAAACCACCCAAAAGTTATAATTAATTTCCACTTAAAAATACAAACAAAGTTTAAGAGCTATTCATGGAGTGGTCATATTGTCTTGGCCCTGAAGATGAGCCTGTGCACTGGTAGACAAACTATTTTCGCAGATTTTTACGATGATTATTACTGAATACCTACCAGTATATTGAAGGTACATTTCATGTGACTGCTCTTGTAGTCCTCCCCTCCACAAACTTGCCTACAAAAGGGAAAAAAAAGCAATATTCGCATGAATTTTTCATTTGTGGATTTAAAAGCTGTTTCAGAATGTAAGCGGCCATAATACAGTATACCCACGTAACTCTGCAGCTCCACATTGTAACAGATACAGACACACAATGAAACAAATTATCTTAAAGGCAGATGTACAGCTTGTGTTTATAAACAGATTCCAATGAATTTACACTTTTCTTACTATACAGACACCACAAAGTAGAAAATAATACACTGGTTAATTTAAAAAAATCTCTGGAAACTATTTTTATTTGCAGATGATGAGCTCGCCCACATTTATTAGGGTTAGACTACCGAATGTCATAGACTCCTCTAATTAACAGAGACAATAAATATTGTTAAAATCGTCAATAGCTAGCTGTATAATTTTTGTACATATTTCAGAATTTTAATGTATAAATTCTTAAAAAGATTGATCCACTCCTCTTCTTTCCTAACAATGCAGGTCTAACAATTATCTGTTAGTGCAAAAAGATCATGTTCATTTATATTTCTGATTATATGGTGAACTTTTTTATCAAACAGGTGATAGTCAATGCAAGGCAAGGTAAATTCAAACATGAATCATAATTCTTGCATGAATGGCAGGAGATATTCTTTGTTTTTACATCTTCTTTTGTTTTTAAAAAAAATTGTATTCTTGTGATGTCAAAGTTTTGCCTGTACTGACTACTCAGAAGCATTTTTTATCACGTACATTTCCTTGTGGAATATAGTAGCTGCAGATCTGTAGCGTTATGGTTTTATATATTTGTCTTTGACCATAATGCTACAGATCCTGTAATGCAAAAACGGTTCAATTTATGGCGCAATATTTTTTGCGCACTTTTGGGGAGAATTTCTCCACTTTCTAGCATTGGTCAATCAACTACCTTTCACTCCCTAATTCTAGACACATTTTGTAGCCAATATGTATATTTTATCCACCTCCCAACCACTTATAGTTGTCTCTACAGGCAATAAACTCGCTTGAAGTGAATTTTCAGCAATCTAACAAATAATTTTAATCAAGCGAGTTTATCACTTGTAGAGACGACAATAAAGGGTTGGGAGATGGATAAAATATACAAATTATTTAAATAATGTGCCTAGAATCAAGGATTGAAAGATAATTAATTGACCGATGCTGGAAAGTGGAGATATTCTCCCCAAAAGTGCACAAAAAATATTGCGCCGTAAATTGCACTTTTTTTGCATTACGGGATCTGTAGCGTTATGGTCAAAGACAAATATCAATAAAACCATAATGCTACAGATCTGCAGCTAGGAATATAGATGTTATGGTTTTGCTTTCAATATTGCTACAATGGTCAAAAGTGCAAAGGACTTTAGTTTATTAGTTATTTCAGTTCTTTAAACATGTAAAAATAGTGTTTGATAAATTTTTTCAAACTTCTTATTTCTTTCTTTTTTTGTCCAAGTTATAGATAATAAAATTCCATCTACTGCGGTGTGAAATACAAATTTTAAACTTGATTCAAATTCTGAAATATTTAAAGAGATGTGTCGACAATATTAGATATTTTTTTCATTAGTGTGAAAATATCCCACTTATGGTCAGAATAATCAGATAATGGAAATATATACATAAATTAGCAAAACTTACTAGGAAAGGCACTGTATATACCAATGTATGTATTGCTAAATAAAGTTCAGAAATCTATGTATGTATTGCTAAATAAAGTTCAGAAATCTAATGGGAGAGATGTTGGACATATTTACTAACATTATTAAAATTATGGGAAAAAAATCAGACCAAGGTCCTGTCCTTCTTGTGGAATTAAGAGTTTATTGCAGTTATCCTGATGCAAAGTTATATAACCAACATTTTGGCTGGCCAATTGCAATATCTTGTGAAAGAAAAAAGTTTTTCTCTATTAATGCTGCCCTTCAAATATTAACAGTACTGACATGGTCTACAAAGCATGCTTCCATGCATCCCCTGCCTTCTTTTCTCTAAGTCCCCCCATTAAATCTTACCTATAGTCCAGCAGCCTCTCCAGTAGGTTGGTGACAGACAGGACAAACTGTCGGCCATTCTCCTTCAGCTCTGGTTCCTTCTCTACTTTATCCAACAATCTGTGGAAAAATTTCACCATTTTATCTCAATGTTCATATAATTATGTTCAAATCCCATAATAATCTGCAGAACAGTTCAACACATATAGTACACTGAGGGTTAACTGAAAAATTGTTCACTCCAATGCTGTTTGTACATTTGAAAGTATTTCTTTGTAGAATAAAATCCACACAAAAATGATATATGAAATTGTTGTTTGCCAAGATGCTTAGTGATGTGTCAATCAGAAAAAGTGTGAACTGTTTCCTGTCAAACAAATCTATCTACTGTCAGATACAAGATGGCAGTGGTCTAATCCAATCTGCCAACTGCAGCATCCCGTCCTGATTCCAGCTTCTCCAGGACTCCCAGGGGAGATAATGGACTTTAGAACTACAGACCAGGATTATTTATATTCCACAGAAAGGTGACGAAGAGTCTGAAGTCCTAATAAAGCGAACAAAGCCTTTATAGGTATAGCACCACTCCCCAGGACTTTATATGTATCTATATGTATACAACACTCCCCTGGTCCACTCAGTTTATAGGCATGTCCCCTCATCAAATACCTATAAACCCAAACAAGGGTAAATACAAACTTCACGATTTCAACTCTGTGTATTGGATGCCATTGAAATTGAAATTGTGTAAATTAGCTAGATTGGGGGTTAATCTCCTTAGATCCCCCAGGAGTAAGAGCCTGGGACAGCACTACATGGTGTCTGTCTGCTCCAGTCATTATTGGCAGGATTCTAATGAGGGGTGTTATCTCCATTATTTTCCAGTCATTTAACAGTACCGCCTGCTTCATGAGAAAAGAATAACATTTGTTGCCTTTTCTTTGGTTTTATCATTTAGCCAAATTCTTAATCCAATATGGCTGATCAGTGTACCATTGAAAAATACCATTCTTTGGGGGTTTTTTTATTTTTGAATTTACAGGGTGCATTCAATTTAATATCGGCAAGATTTTTCAGAATTAATTAATTTCACTAGATGAAAATACTTAAAATTTGAGTTTCAAAATAAATTTTAAAAAGTGGTATTTCAACAAATTTGAGATACAAAATTTTAATGCAAAACCTAGCTGTTTTGCATTACATCAGTTCACTTAGAAACTTACTCAGGTAGCATTTCAAACTCTTTATCAAAAGCTAAAAAAAATATCCTAAATACTTAATTAACCTCCTGTCAATTAAAGCATCAATGTTAATTAAACCATATTATACTTACTTTGCCTGATCAAATTTCTTGAACTTAAACATCAGAGGTGTTTTCATCCTCACCAAGACCACAGAACTATTTCACAATTTATCAATTAACAGCTCCCAGGGATATAAGAAAGAGACCTCATCAAACACAGTGGAGCAAAGCAGAGAGGAGATTCTCAGAAGCCTACATTGCACTACAGAAGTTCTGTCTTTATAGAAGAAAGTGTCTGTCCATTAGTTTTGTAGAATTTGAGAAGTTGTAGGATTTGGAGTCTGTTCTGTAGTAGCTATAGGAAGCACCTGCTGTTTGGCGCTATCAGCAGAGAGAGCTGCCAATGGCCTATCTCCCCGCCACAGAAACGGTTCCCTAGCCATTCATAAATCACAACAACCTATTCCAGTAATAGCTCTCAGGCACAACTTTCTTCAACTTTTGGTTGGCAAATAGTGAAAAAGAAAATGAGACTGCAGAGTCTGAAAGGACAGAATTTATTTGGCCAGCTGACAGTGTCTAAATCTTTCTATGCCACTGGAAAATGTCTGCCTTAGAAACTAAAATTACCAGTAATTGGGCACCTTAAATAAATCAATTAAACAATATATTTTAATGATATGCAATTGGATAATCCTTACAGTTTTAGTATTTCACACTGAATATGAGACATTTACTTTCTTTTGCTTTTAACAAAGCTACCAACTATTCTTCCAAACAAACAAGAGGAAAACGAAGTAATTAAAAGCTGTGACTTTTTTTTTTGGTCTGTAGGAAATAAATAACAAACAGCGTGACGGTAAACAGCTACCGAGTACACTATGTGTGAAGGTGTTTGATCTTTTAATTTGATAAGTGAAAACATCTGTACAAATATTCACTTCTTCAGTTCAAAGGCCAAAATAAAGAAAATCTTAAACAGAAATAAAACATGTCACTCTGTGAAAATGGCACAAAGCAATGCTTACTCTCTTGTATGTATATTAATGCTCCTACCATGACTTAAAAGAGAATGTTATACTTCTTTAATAAGCTACCTTAAACTTCTAGGTAAAAGGGTAAAACAAGGTTGGTAAAATCTTACTATAATCTATTGATTTTTCTGTTTTAGGACAAGAGCATCACAAGACATACATGCAGTTTATTACATGAGATTTTGTTTATGGAGGGATAAGAGTAAAAAAAATATTTTAAAATGGACCAATGAAGCATTATACACCATAAGATAAATTAGCGCAATAATTTTACTGCATGGTATTAATATAATATTTGTTTAATCCCCCACCCCCCACCCCCCATCCCCCCGACTATAAAACCAAGTAATGCATTAAAATGTAACAATTTGTTCTTGGTATACAAGAACAAAAAAACTAAACAAATATGATCTTTTTTAAAGGTAAGAAGCATTAATATATTAATATCTACTGAGACATTTAACCAGACATGGGAGGTGAACTTTATAAAATCTATATGACTCTAGGTGATAGTGGGCTATATTCAAATTTAAATATTCTGAAATTTTCAAACTTTTTTCAGCCTATTAAAGTTCTGTATTCGGCAATAATTAAAAAAATTACTCTACCCCTATCAAGCATTAAATTTCTCTCCATCCCTACAAACCTTGAAAATCTAGAGAGAGATTTCCTCCTGTTTTGGGAGGCAGACAATCCAGATAGATTCTGATTCCCACTGCCTTCCTCTCCCTGGTACTTAGAACAGGACCCCCTCCTCCAGGGGTACAGATTAGGCTGGGACTTACTCCGTGACCTGAAGTTTTTGTCGGTCCGGCAGCCAGGCCCTAGGCCCTTCTGAGAGGCCCTTCTGCCAGGGATCATGATGTTCCTCATGAGGGAAACCGCATCTAACGGTCCGCTGGGGCACCGACGCTTTCCGAGGACACGCTGTTTTTGTCACAATAATCCCGAGTCAACACAACACCGGTATAATAGACCCTCTCACAATGGCTAAATACAGGCCCTCGGATCACTTAGGTTACGCTTTCAGCTGATAACAAATTATGGTGATTTAAATTGGGGGAACTTCTGTTTACATTAAAGGACAAATTATCTCCACAAAAAATCTCCTCTTCTGGCGATGTCAGGCCTCAATGCTCCGAATATTTCTTTATTGAATGGTTTTTAAATTTGCCACAAAAAAGTGAGAATCTCTTAAAAATATTGATATTGAGTACAGTCCTTCGTGATCCCTAATACTTAAAACAGTAAAAATCCCAAGTGGCCTTCATGTAAAACAAATATCTTAGTGTCACCCCAGACAATAAGGGGTCAGGAAACTTTATACAGTCGTACTAGGATGCCCCGAGGCTGTCATGCAATAATTGAGAGTACTTCACACCCATATAGGGCAGCCGGTCCCCATATCTAACACAGCATGCAATCATTATTGCACCTTGCCTGTCTTTAATGTTTACATGTTAAACAATTATTTCCCTCAGTGTGGATGTTTTAACACCCCGGGTCATAAAATACAAAGTGATGTCTTATCCACACTTATACAGGGTGTCATAATCATATCATCAATTGTTTGTTTGATCTCAAAGGAGAACTAGTGCTAATTGTAACGGGAACCGTTACAGATGTTCCCCAAACGCTCCCCAACTCCTTTTTGGTGCCATATTCCCTGTAAGCTTCATTAAATAAGACAAACTCTATGCATTTTTGACTTTAACAACGTTTTCTCAGAAGGATACCAATTATATTCCAATTTTAGCATTGCACCCCTGCGCATGTGCGTTATGATCATATCATCTTGTCTACACTATCTACATATTTTAATATACAATATATTAAAGCATTTAGTCCAAAAGTAAGAAAAATCACTCTTTCAAGTGTATTTTTCATTTCACTCGTTCTAAATGCACGCACGTGCGTGCACGTGCATGATGAACATATCTTCCTGTAGGAGTCCCTTATATCTATCTATATTCTAAATCCCATCCTGTTTGGTTGAAAAACAAGGGAGTTATAGCCATTTCAAGTTTAAGCCAATCAGATTGCAGCACACGTGCATGCGCGTGATTTCATGATTTTTTTCTATATCATATTGTAGGATATCTTAATGCATGACTATGTTTTAAATTTCAAAGCATTTCGTCAAAAAACAAAGGAGATATAGCCATTTAAAGTTTCAGCCAATCAGATTGCAGCACGCGGGCATGCGCAGGCTTTCATGAAAATTCTTATATATCATGCTGTAGATCTCCATAATGTTGGTCTATGTTCAAAATTTCAAAGGTTTATGACAAGAAACAAGAAAGATATTGAGACTTTAGTTTCAGCCAATCAGAGCGAAGCGCACGTGCATGCGCGTGAGATCTTACTTTTTTGACCAAGTCATTTTGTCTATGCTTCTAATATATACTTATAATATGTGTTTCAAAGCATTTCATCAATAATTTAAATAGTTACGTCTGTATCAATTATATTGGACATTTCTCGTGTTGCACGTGCGAGCTCTTGCAAGCACATGTGCATGCACATGCTTTCATGATAAATCTTATATTACAGGCTGTAGATCTCCCTAATGTATGACTATGTTCAAAATTTCAAATGATTTTATCAAAAAACAAAAAAGATATTGAGACTTTAGTTTCAGCCAGTCAGAGCGAAGCCCACGTGCATGCGCGTGCGATCTTGCTATTTTGACCATGTCATCTTGTGCATACTACTAATATATCCTTACATTATAAGTTTCAAAACATTTCGTCACAAAATAGAGAAGTTACGGTTATATCCATTCTATATTAGTCATTTTAAGTTTTGCACGTGCGCGCTCTTGCAAGCACGTGCGCGCAAAATGACCTTGATTCCGCAAATCTACATAACATGCCTACTTACCCTAAAAAGGTTTCACCTAAGTCGGATGTGTAGTTTACAAGATCACTCGCGGACAAAATTTTCCCAGGAAGAAAAATAATAAGAATAATAATAATAAGAAACAGAGTAAAAACAATATGTTCCCCAACTTCGTTTGGGGAACATAATTAGCTGTAAAAATTAGGATTATTCTGTAAAACACATGTCTAGCATGTAAAACTCTAGTTCTTATCTGATTCCACTAATATCAAAGATTATTTTATCTCAAGGTATTAGCATATTATACTGGTTATATTATAGGAAGTAGATGTAAATTAATTTTACATGGTCACTTTTAATGTATTACAATTTTTGTACAGAACTGAAATTCAAAACTATTTTGCTTTTTAGCCTCTGTTCATAAACTTTTTTTCATTATAGTTAACATTTGTTCTATCTTTCTTATAAACTTTTTACCATTTCATTTAAAATCTGTAACTATAATTTCAATTTATTGTTTCACCCAAATAAATAACTTAAATTAAATAAAATATCTCCCCCTTCTTTGTTAAGAAAGGAGTACAGTGGTAATATTCATACATATTTTTTTTCCAAGGCTATGCAACTAAACTATTTTAGCCAATAATTAACAAACATATTTAAAGGTTAAATATGCAAGCGACTTTTTTTGCTTACAAATGTATACATTAACAATGAAACATGTCTGTTTACATGCCTGTTTCATTTACATGTCATTCTTAATTTTAACATATGTATAGTAAAATGAATTTTATATTTTACATACATGAATTCAAGTTAATTCTTCCAGCCTAGACAAGCCATAATTTACTTCCTGCTGTTTTGTGCAATCTCAGAATTGAAAAAAAGCCCCCCTTAGAATAGCAGAGACTGAAACAATAAGATATCAATAAAGTCTTTATGGAAGAAATTTATTAATCACTTTGACCTGGAAATATAGGAGGTGAAGTAATAGCTAGAATTGGAATATATTAAAATGTTAATTTTAACCGTCCTTGCTAAAAAATTAATCTTGATTGGCTTCCTATTTTTTTTTATTCATGTTTCACAACAAATCCATTGAAATACAGCACAAAAGCAGCCATGAAAAAATATCTGAATTTTTTTAATGTGAAATTTATTTTCTACCCAAATCAATTACAGTAAAGAGGCTAGATATAATATGTTACATAGATATAAATTATAAACATTATTAACAAAGTCACTCATTGGGACTGCTCATTTGACTAAAACTCGATTTAAAACAAGAAAAGTACAGATACTTTTCTCTAGTGTACATGTTGAGAAAAACCTCTATCTTGTCATAAAGATTAATCACACTGATAATACAATGTAGTCTTGTACTACTTTGTTTTCACACCATATAACTATAGTAACAGTTACAAAGGGGAACAACCTCTATATATTCCCACTACACAACCCTCCCTCCCCAACTCCACTATAGAAAAAAATCAATTTGACTTTCCTCACAACCCATAAAGTGACACAAACCAATAGCTACATGAATGTAAAGTAAGACAAAACTGACAATAATCTTTCAACCAGGGAGATTTCAGAACTGATTGTTGCTTAGTGTTTACTGGATGTGTATCTACTTATACTCTACTGAACAGTGGAGGAATGATGTTACTGATTTGTGTTTACTTACATTGTACTGAACACTTGAGAGTGTTATCATTGTACTGAACAGAAGGGAATGTTACTGATGTATGTTTACTTACATTGTACTGAACAGAGCCATATAATCTGTGTCTCCTAGGTTCTCAGTTGTGATAAATTCATCCAATTTTTCTATCATCTCATTTTCAACCTAATAACAAAGTACAAATAAAAATAAATGCACAGATTTGAAAAAAGAATATTCTAAAAAAAAAAAAACTTCTTTGTTAAAGTAACTGATATTTTTAATGATACTGACCAGCTGGAAATTTCCACAGGTTTTCACCTCTGATTCCATCATGTCAAAGAATATTGGAATGGTGGCCTTCCTCAGTTCTTCTTCCGGAACCAAGGTCACCTTCAGGAAAGGACCAATCAAGGAGGGAATAAAATGTCGTCTGTTGGCACCTGTACATTGAAAAAAACCTTATTTATATAAAGATTGAAAATTTTTTCCAAAAACTATCTGATCTACCACCACTTATTTCCTTAAAAACATCAAATGCATTTGAAAAAGGCCCTTCCCACCTCTACTGATCAAAATTATTTCAAGGTCATGGCAACCCTCAAACACACTTAATTTTTCCTAGCCCCTCCCTCCCCCAACTTAACATTCTCACTTCATGCCAGACTGTGAGACAGACCTAGGTTTTCCCAGAGATTCTGTATCTGTTGGCCCATTAGGATCCTCATGTCCTGGTACCGGTCGATAATCTTGCGTTTTTTGGCGTCAGAGTACCGCTCCAGCTGTAGACTGGGCTGAGTGATGAAGGCTACCGCCAGATTAAAGTAGTGACTCCACAGCTAATAAATGAAAAAACACAGGTTTTATATCTCTTATACAATTATAAAAAATGCACATTTCGATTTAAAAATTCTGGTTTATTTCAAGAAGTAAAGCAAGTAGGTACCTGCATATCAAATTGATCTTTCTTCAGGAAGTGTTCACTGAGCGATGAAGACAAGTATTCAATCGCAGTGAATAGAGCACTTAAACAAAGTAATAAAATGTAATACCATAATATACATACATATATGTAACTTTTAAATATTAAATATGATGAAAAGTCACAAACAGAGCTTTCCAACTCTTTATATAAGCTACAAATCAAGATCAGATCCTTACTTATTGATGACCATTCTCATGACTGTCCATCCCGGGGGGAATAAGTCCTCTTTGATCAACTCTCTGAAGGTCAGCAGGACTTTACCCAAAAACTCCTAAAAACAGTATCTCAAAATTCACTTAAAGGGAAATAACTCTCATACAGATTTCAATCCCGTTTTAGCTGCTTTATTTAACATATTTTGCAGTGTATGTAGCCTAGCTATATATGACAGTTTCTATCCAATTATTTCATGATAACTTTGATACCAGTATATTCATTCCAGAATGCTTTACTTGCCAATGTAAGTGTGTTTAGAAGACTTTGACAGTTACCCTGAGTGGGACCGTTGTTGGTTTCAGGATGACACTGTATTGTCTGTGGTCCATCAGTCTCAACAGTTCAGCCATACAAGAGATCATTTCTCCCTAAAATGACAGCCATACAAAGTTACCTTTTTAGTAATTTCAGAGCTGCATCACTACTTAGGCAGCCTAAACTGAATTTGATCTGCAGATCCAGTATTTCTTATTGACACTGGTAAAAAAAAACACACATCTCTAAAAGTTGACATTTTTCTCTTTAACAAATTTTTCATACACTACAAGAAATTTATCTGATTTGAAGAAGCAATGACCTTCTGTGAAGAGGAGATAATTCTGACATTTAGTTTTTAAAAATCCTTAAGTTTATAAGATTTATACATGTTACTATGGATTGTCTCTGATTTTACCCAATACTCTATACTAGCTTTGGTTGAATTGTAATCATATTGCCTTCTACTAGAAAACTTTTTAGAACAGACTGTCATTCTATCATCTAGCAATCGTGTTGTATGGAGCAAATTGTTAGTTCAGTCATTCAGGTATTTTTGTAGAAAAGATGAATGTTAGTGTGTTGCATTTCTCTTAAATGTCAGTAAAGAAAAAAAAAAATCCCGTTGTTTGACCTTGCATACATTTTTTGAATGCACACACCAACTGGTACTTCATCTATCTAAAATAATGGTTTTTCAACTTCAAGATTATGCATTGGAGTAATGTCTTGCAGATGGTTTTGTACATATATATGGTACATTTTTAGGATACATTTATTTGAAACATTAAGGTCTTGTATATGTGTATCACTTGGACATTTTTTCTTAAAGATACTAAGTATGTACTGTCAATCATATTCCAAGAGAAGCAAATAAGAAAATCAGAAAATGACAGACCAAGTAAAAATTTTGGCACATTGCATCAACAGCAAAAGCACAGACAATAACACATCAATGAAAAAAAAAGGATTGAGAATCAATGCATCAAACATATGTTAAAAAAAACCTTAATATTTCCCAAGAAAATCGTCAGAATGCTTATAAAGTCTGAGAAAAAGCATTAAAATCAAGACAACGTGTGCAGCAGCCCTTCTTATAGTTATCATGCATATTATTAGCAGCATTGTCATGTAGTTATCAGGAACTATCCTGTGGTTATCATGCAGTGTTGTCTTGTGTTTATCATGCGTTTTATCAGCAGAGTTGTCCTGCGTTATCATGCGTATTTCAAAGTGAAATTTACACTCAGCCCGAGGTCTTCCATGGAGAATGTGGGGACTTTTTTCTTGAAGATATCGGTCACCTCCAACTAGCAATGAATGAATGCATGAACAATGTAACAAGCATCTCACTAACAAAGGGCTTAAGGAATGGAATTTCATAAGTTTTCTCAATTTTACTCATTTATTGGGCATGATAGCCATATAGCTCACTTTACTCATTAAAATCAACTGAAATCTGATTTATAATAGTTTTAATCCAAATATTAATGTGATTAAAAAAAAACTTTTGATATTTTAATGTTTTAGTTAAATAAATGTGATAACTAATTGAACATATAATTTATAAACAAAATCATTTCAATACAAAATATTGTTATTAATCAATTCAAAATTTTGCATAATTAAGATAATATTCAATTTTTGGCAGGTATTAACTCTAAACATGTTGACAATAACTGTTTAACTGTATAAAGTAGAAATTAGAATGGAATCTGAATGCCTACATTTTTGACTGGGGTACTATCGATAGTTTTCAATGTATGAGTAGGTGTTTGCATTGAGATGGAGGGCGGTCTTGGTTTAGAGGTAAAGAAGTTAATTCCCGTCAGAGTGCGGCGGCGATCGCGGTCGACCTGGCGTTTGTTTCCTTTTTTCTGAACCTCCTCATCCTCACAGTCAAAATCTTGCGTTTCTTGTTGTGGTGATATAGCGGGCTACAACAATGTATCAGATCAAAGCTCTACACAGAAGTCATTAACATGTAGGAATGACTAGAAACATATCCTTCAACATCAAAGAACTGCTAGTGTGTAATAATAAACAGTATATACTCAATGACAAAAGAAAGGATACACTGTCATTTTCTAACTGCCTAACAAAAAATCTTTATGTCTCCCAGTTGATTTGATTTGTAGACAAAGAATGTTTACTCCTCTATGGCACCTGATCCACTTCTGATGTTTTTAAAGGTCCATGTTGGCTCTCCTTCTAATTTGAATAACTGTTAATCTTGATTACTGTTTGTTATCCTCATGTTTCCCCCTCATAATATGTCTATATCTCAATTTTCAATCTACCCAGGGGATGACAAATCCCATTGCCCAGGGCTAGAGAATTTTAGGGGTGGGCAAGTGAAATTTTATCAATCACTTGCCATGGGCAAGTGACTTATTAAATTTTTTTTTTTAATATTTATAAATATAGTATTAGTTTTTGATGGGGCAAGCCAAAATTCAGGAAGGACAAGTGAATTTTGACCATTTAATAGCCCTTGGACAAGTGCCTTAAAAATCTATTTGTAAGTCCCTGCTACCAAAAGTTTAATCCAGCACTATATTATTCATGTTAGATTATTGCAATGAAAAGCAGTCAATTAAGCTATCAAAAATCATTAATCCATGGAATTTTGCATGTTTTTTTCTGCTTAATTTAGCAGGTAATCTTTCAAATAAAAAGGCTTTATGTGTGTTCAAGAGCATGAAAAATTAGTCACTGTTGTGTTTTCAATCTAGAAATGAAGGAACTGTGATTAAAATTAGAGGGAATGTGAGCACTACCTACACTCCTATACTTTTCAATCTGGGGCTTCAATAAGAGATGTACATGCACATGGTAGTTAGCTTTCACCTAATGGCTTCAATAAGAAATTAAAAGCTTAAAGTGTAAAGCTTTTTTTCAAGTATGAAATGTTCTTTCTCTTTTTCTTACTAATGACCATCAAACCAAAGACAATAGATACATCAACTTTGGAATGTAAGAGCAGGACAGACTTAAAAGAAGTTGCCATGTTTGGGACTACTGTAATGTGGTACACTGTATGATACTAAATTTGGTCCACTGTATATGAAACACACACCTTACTCTACAAATATGTCATCAATTCTGTTCAAATCATTACATTTCTTGAGTCTGTTTTATGAATGAAGAGCTTCAAGAAGCATGTGTATCCTTCCTTATGTCGTTCAGTATATATGACTGAGATAGCTATGACTAAGTCGCCAGAAAAACATGAATGATACCATGCCTTTTACACAAAATGAATGATTGTATTCTTTTTAATATAAAATTTTATAAGCACTGTATCTAACAAAAAATTACAGTAGGAAAAGAATTTTGGATGAAATATTCTTGGCGTTTTACTCACATAAAACATATGAACCTTTGGTATCACAAGCTGCTTATTGTTAATCAGAATTTATTTTAAAACATTCGTTTGTATCAAATAAAAATTTATAAAAAAAATCAATTTCCTTAACATTTTTCTGTATGAACACTTGTTCAAGACTCCAACACCACAGATATTTAGTAACTGTACAGCAAAACAAATATCCCATAAGACCCAGAAAAATTATATAAATTCTAATTAAAATATTTATACTAGTACATGTATAATGAAAACAGATACACAAATAAATATTGATATTTAACTGTTGTAAGTAATATAGCTAAAATTCAGCAACTTTAAAGTGCTTCCAACTATTTTTCCGTCAAACCTGGCTACCTCAAACTCAAAGGCACTAAGAAAAAAACTTGGCAATTTTCAATAAATCAAGGTGTAAAGAGAATATATGATTTGGGCCTTAGAAATCACTTCAACATATCCATGGTAATCAAACTATCAGTGTTTGAGATAGCAAAGTTTAACAATATCAAAATTTCTTTTTCCTTATAATAATCCAATTGTTCAATCTATAGTTAGAAATAATGACAAAAAAATCACTGATTCAGGGTTACTGAGGAGAAGCACTATATCAAACAAAAGTTAGAAAAAACACCCATCAACGCTAACACAATAAAACATACAGATACTGATGTAATGATTTACCGTCACAGAAAAGGAGTGGGGAACCACCTTCTCACTTAAGGTCAAGGTCGTATCCACCATCACAGGAAACATGTATTTGGCAAACATTTCAATGTCATCAGACATATCCTTCTCCTGTGAGAAAACAGAGCAAAATATAATCATCACGTCGGAATTGGTTGAATTTTTTGAAATATTTGACATACAGAAATTCAAAATGCACTTAATGAGGTGGAAAAAAGGGGAATACATGTAAGAAATCAGATAAATAAACACCCTTTCTATCATTAAGAACTTCCTAAGTGAAAGGGATATGCTCGAGTACCTGTTTGAGTGTGAACAACTTGTCCAGTATGTCTCCGATCGTGCTCGTCACAAGCTGTAGAAACATTTTCTGATGTAGACACTGCCTAACATGACTCAAACATAAGGGCAGCATAACACTGCGAGATTCTGTAACACAACATCATACAGGGATTGATCAATGACAATTAATTAAGCTACTATATGAGAAAGGTTTGTTAAAAGTATTTATAAGCTTTTTACTTACCATCATCCAGAAATAGGTACATCAACTTTGGGTCAGGACAGACTTAAAAGAAGTCTCCATGTTTCTTGTTCCTGGCTACGTCCTCCGAGATTTCCCGTAGGGGTGGCAGTTTAGAAATCACGGCCTTAACATAGTCAGCAAGCTGCTTCTTGGTCATGATCACAACAAAAGTTTCAAATGACTTCCGTATATATTGGACAGCAAAGCCATCTTGAGAAATGCCTTTTACATAAAATGTGATTGTCTCTCTTTCCTTAATATAAAATTTTACAACACTTAAAACAAAAAATTACAGTTTGAAAAAATTTTGGATGAAATACTTTTCCTTAAATATACATAAAACATATGAACCTTTGGTATCACAATATAGCTTATTGTTAATCTTATTTTAAAACCCTCAGTGTATCAAATAAAAATTTATAAAAAAAATCAATTTTATATAATTTTTTGTATGAACACTTGTTCAAGACTCCAACACCACAGATATTTAGTCCTGTACAGCAAAACAAATATCCCAAAGCTGTCAGAAAAATTATATAAATTCTAATTAAAATATTTATACTAGTACATGTATAATGAAAACAGATACACAAATAAATATTGATATAAACTGTTGTAAGTAATATAGCTAGCAAGCCAATTCAGATTTCTTCAGAATAAAATAATGTGATTTATTGTGTCTGAAACAATATACAATAGATATAATGAAATGACATTTAAATCATGAATGTAAAGAGAATATATGATTTGGGAGAAATCACTTCAACATATCCATGGTAATCAAACTATCAGTGTTTGAGATAGAAAAGTTTAAAGAATCAAAATTTCCTTATAATAATGCAATTGTTCAAATTGTGTCCTAGAAATATGACAAAGTTTGATGAAATTCTGTGCAGCGGTTTATCAAACAGGAGTTGCGCTGACAAACTGTTCACCACTATATTCAAGATATCCCCAAAAATCTAAGTTGTAAAGTGCAAGGTCGTATCGAAATTCACAGAAAAATAAAGGATTTCAATGGAATTTCCTGTGAGAAAACAGTAAAATGCACATCTACAAATTGTGTGAATTTTAAATATCTGCAAATACACGAAATTCTGTGCAGCGGTTTATGAGGGGTCGCGCTGACAAAATGTTCATCTGTATATTCCAAGTGGATATGTGCCAAAATTCTAATTTGAAAAGTGCCAAAATTCCCAGAAAAATAAAGGAACACTGGAATTTCCTAACACAATATGCACATCTACACACAATTAAATAATCTCTATATGAGAAAGTTTGACGAAAATCTTGTGTAGCGGTTTATGAGGAGTTGCGCTGACAAAATGTTCATCTCTATATTTAAGGTATCTTGGCCAAAACAACAAAAGTTTCAAATGTGTGGAAAGCCATCTAAGAAAAAGCATAAAGGAATTCCCAAAAAATTTCAACACTTAATATGCACATCTACACATTGTTTTCCTTAAAATATGCAAAGTTTAATCTTAACAAAATTCTGTGCAGTGGTTTATGAGGAGTTGCGCTGACAAACTATTCATCACTATAAAAAAGGTATGGCCAAAACCTAAGTTTTTAGTGCGGAAATTCCTGGAAAAAATAAAGTAATAGGAATTTCCTGGTAATATGCACATTTATATACGCATTGTGTCCTAGATATCAAGAAAGTTTGATCAAATTCTTTGCAGCGGTTTTTGAGAAGTTGAGCTGACAACCTGTTCATCTCTATATTCAAGGTATGGCCAAAATTCTAATTTGAAAAGTGCCAAAATTCCCAGAAAAAATAAAGGAATCGGAATTTCCTGGTAATATGCACATCTACACATTGTGTCCTAAATATCTCAAAGTTTGATGAAATTCTGTGCAGCCAAAGTTTGACAAACTGTTCACCACTATATTCAATCTGTGTAGCGGTTTATGAGTAAAAGTTGCGCTGACGAAAAAATGTTCAAAATCTCTATATTAAGGTATGGCCAAAATTCTAAGTTGAAAAGTGCCAAAATTCCCAGAAAAATAAAGGATTCGGAATTTCCTGGTAATATGCAAATCTACACATTGTGTCCTAAATATCTGCAAAGTTTGACGAAATTCTGTGCAGCGGTTTATGAGGAGTTGCGCTGACAAAATGTTCATTCTTATATTCAAGATATCCCCAAAAATCTAAGTTGAAAAGTGTTTTTAAGAAAAAATAAAGGAATTGGAATTTCCGGCAAATCTACACATTGTGTCCTAAATATCTGAAAAAATAAATGAGGATGCGGAATTTCTCTATATAAAAGGTATGGCCAAAACCTACATATTGTGCGGAAATTCCTTATCAAAAAAAATAAAATTAGCATGGTACCTGCAAATATTGTGTCCTAAATACCTGCAAAGTTTGGCGAAATTCTGTGCAGCGGTTTATGAGGAGTTGCGCTGACAAACTGTTCATCTCTATATTCAAGGTATGGCCAAAATTCTAATTTGAAAAGTGCCAAAATTCCCAGAAAAATAAAGGAATCGGAATTTCCTGGTAATATGCACATCTACACACTGTGTCCTAAATATCTCCAAAGTTTGACGAAAATCTGTGTAGCGGTTTAAAGTTTGCCTGACAAAATGTTCATCTCTATACGAAAATCTAAGTTGAAAAGTGTGGAAATGTGAAAAAATAAAGGAATTGGAATTTCGGTTTCTACACATTGTGTCCTAAATATGCAAAGTTTGACAAAATTCTGTGCAGTGACAAAATGTTGACAAACTATCTCTATATTTAAGGTATGGCCAAAAATCTAAGTTGAAAAGTGTGGAAATTCTAAGAAAAAATAAAGGAATTGGAATTTCCTGGTAATATGCACATCTACACATTGTGTCCTAAATATGTCTGCAAAGTTTGACAAAATTCTGTGCAGTGGTTTATGAGGAGTTGCGCTGACAAACTATTCATCTCTATATAAAAGGTATGGCCAAAACCTAAGTTTTGAAAAGTGCGGCAAAAATCAGGGATGGAAAAAATACAATTAAATAATATGGAAAATTTGTGTTTAAAATATGTTGCACACCTACAGTTGAAAATATTGAATTGTCCTGGTAATAAATACCTGCAAAGTTTGACAAAATTCTGTGCAGCGGTTTATGAGTAGTTGCGCTGACGAACTGTTCATCTCTTTATTCAAGACATGGCCAAAAATCTAAGTTGAAAGGTGCCCAAATTCCCAGAAAAATAAAGGAATCGGAATTCCCTGGTAATATGTACATCTACACACTGTGTACTAAATATCCTGCAAAGTTTACGAAATTCTGTTAGCGGTTGAGGAAATATGACAAGTGTTCATCTTATATTATATGGCCAAAATTTCATTTGAAAAGTGCCAAAATTTCAGAAATATGTTTCCTGTAATATGAATCTACACACTGTGTCCTTAATTTTTGTTGTTCTGTGTAGCGGTTTATGAGAGAGTTGCCACAAATTATCATCTCTATATTTAAGGTATGGCCAAAAATCTAAGTTGAAAAGTGTGGAAATTCTAAGAAAAAATAAAGGAATTGGAATTTCCTGGTAATATGCACATCTACACATTGTGTCCTAAATATCTGCAAAGTTTGACAAAATTCTGTGCAGTGGTTTATGAGGAGTTGCGCTGACAAACTATTCATCTCTATATAAAAGGTATGGCCAAAACCTAAGTTTTTAGTGCGGAAATTCCTGGAAAAAATAAAGTAATAGGAATTTCCTGGTAATATGCACATCTACATATTGTGTCCTAAATACCTGCAAAGTTTGGCGAACTTCTGTGCAGCGGTTTATGAGGAGTTGCGCTGACAAAAAAAAAGGACTGACTGACTGACTGACACTCTGACACCTTGACAGACAGGTCAAAAACATTATACCTCACGCAACTAGTAGCGTGGGGTATAATAAATATGGACTGGGTATATTAGACTGATAAACAGAATGTCTCATTATGCAAATATTTGCAAGTAGTAACAGACAAAACAATGTATGTGTTGATAGGTCACTTTATTACTAGTGATACAAAGTACTAGTATACTTACTTTAGAGTCTCAAGTTCCCGAGATCGCACAATAAATCTCACAAGTGGGGCAAGGACCTAAAGATAGAAGAGAAGTCAAATCCATAACAATCTACCATACAATAAGTAAAAGTTGATGTCAAAGTCCAGAAATGAGTATACTTGTTTTAATGTTTTCAGAAATTCTTCAATTATCATGAGAATGTTTGGGAAATTTGCAAGTTTTACTTTTGATTTGAAAAATGGTTAAATTCTGAGGTATAAAATGTGCTAAAAAGTAAGTTAAAAAACAACATGCAGAAGATCATAAACACATAAAATAAAAAACACCTCTACAACATTAAAAATATAACACAATAAAATCAGATCAAAGGCCACAACTTATAAAACAGTAGAGATGAATAGAGCCATCAGTATCCTGTACAGAAATATTCTAAGAAAGAAATAAATGTTGCAATACTATACATAACCACACTTGTACGTAGTTATTCAATACAGCTAAACCTCGCTATCTCAAATTTAATGGGACCAAGAAAAACTTCTGAGATAAAGAGGATTTTAAAAAATAAGGGTTAAATGCCTGAAGAATGGTAGTTGGGACTCTAAATCACTTTGACATATCCATTTCATTTGAAATATTTATGCTCAAGATACCAAAGTTAAACTGTAAATAATAAAGCTGTTTACAGCAGTGGAATTCCTTGTCATAATGACTCTTAATTTCTGCTGTTGATAGACTTATTTACATGTAGTTAAATGTTCATCATTTTTTATTAGATTTTCTCTGATTAATATAATACTTGCTCAAATAGATGAGAAAGAAAAATAATCTTAGCATAGTATTGCAAGCTCCAATATCACACCCTGAAAAACTCTGAAAGAGTATTTGCACTGAAACAAAAGAACAACTATTTATAAGTGTAAACCTGCTAAGTTTCTTACTACAAAATGAACATCTACCTACTCTTAATTATAATACAGTATAGGGCAAACATCACTGTAAAAAAACAAAGGTTAAGTCAAATAACAATCAAACACAACACCTGGTTTGATTGGTTTTCTTAGCATCAATAATATCATTTGACAAAACTGAACATTTCAATTTACAATACATATATATTATTATAACAGTATCTTGATCCGAAGGGTCGTATCATGTCGAGTTGACAGGCGCGGATCATCAGATCTAACGAGACGCGAAGCGTCGAGTTTGATCTGATGATCCGCGCCTGTCAACGAGACGTGATACGGCTCTTCGGATCAAGTTACTATTATGATGATAAATTTATTATATACCCCCTTATAACTAGCTAAATATAGCAGAATAAAACTTTAGAGATCAATTGTATAATATTTATCCATAAAACAAAGCATAATAACAAGGGACTTTTTAACACGCAAGAAAAATAACGTCATGTTTTTGCGTACTACGTCATCAGTTTCAGAGAGTGGTGATATGGATTCAGAAAACCACAGTGTGGTGATCCGGAAAATCGGATCAAACTCTGTAAAATAAACAGTAACAAAAACAAGGAAATTGATGGGTATATAATAAAATGAACTATCATTGACCATGAAAATGGAATCTATTTTTAGTTTACCTTGAGTGACATGGCCACTGGGAAGGTCTCCCCCTTGACTGCCCTCAGAATGCCGTCCGAGAACAAGGACATCAAATGGCTGAAATACACACATCATCTGCTTAACATGGAAGTCACCACAAAATCTGATTCTTATTTCAATCACAGATACATAGATTCTTGTAAAAAGTTCACCACTTTTAAAATGTGATCCATGAGCTGTGATAAACCTGTGGTGAATGTAAATCAAGTTGGATTCTAACCGCATTTCAACACTGTAGCACAATGATTATCAAGTTTCTTTTCATAATATGACACACACGGAAATACCCAAAATATAATATGTTATAGAAATTTTTTTATTCTATAAAAGTGAGGGGAAACCAACCTTTAAACACCATCAGGTAATGTCATAGAAATACAAGTTGTGACACTTATTTTTCTTCACTTTAGATGCCTGTGCTTTGACTTACGTATGGACTAGAGGTGATGTGAATGTTTCTTTGAGATAGCTGTCTAACACTGGAACAAAGTTCTCAAACCTGCTGTCTAACAGCAAGTTCAGGATGAAAATCTGTAGAAAGAGAAAAGAATGTTCTTAAATTTGAAGTTTTCACGAAATTACTAGTGTCTTTATAAAACAAAACTAAAGCATCTCAATTAATTGGACAGCAAACTTACTAAAGCATGAAACACTTTGGTATAGTACTGGGTCTGACTGCCTGCTTGGAGCATTTCAAACAAAGCATCAAGAATGTCTGACAAAAACTGAAAACAAAATAATACTATCAATTTATAAAGATGTACGTAAGAAAATTGCAAAAATTTGAAGCTGTTTTCCAATATTACAAATGAGAAAGCATGAAGTCTCTACATTATATTAATTTTCTAAACTAGACAAAGGAACCTGCTTAATTGAAGACACTTATACAGAGAGTGTCTGTAGCTCGATCAGTATCATAAGTCATCAGACTTCAAACTTCTTTTTAAAATGATGTGAAAAATTGTGAATTCTGAATTGTGATTGTGAAAAAACGCCATTCCTATACACTGACAATTATTCATTAGGTTAGTTTATATATAATTGTACAATACCCCCAAAAGCTCACTTACCTTCATAATTTCTCCTCCTTGTAAATTCATCAGTTTGTCAAGATTTCTTTCTAAATCACTCATACAGTCTCTCCATTTCAAAACTCCAAGTAGCTCAGCTAATAAAGTACAGTTAAACCTTATTATCTCCAACATCAATATTTCAAATACTGTAGGCGTAATTTTTTCCACGGGGTCATAATTCCGCGGAATCTCAATTTCTGTTTAATCCGCGGGTAGAAAATTACCTGTATTTTCTAGTTTGTTTCTATATGCCTTACATTTATATTAAGTACGCTTGGACAAATTTCTGTGGATTAATTACATTACATAACATAGCGTAAATTAATACCACACAGAAACATAGGTAATCAGAGATTACAGAGCTCACCTCAATGAATGTTGTCTTTGAGTAAGGCAAAGTCACACAATTAACCAACAAGAAGTGTACATTCCAAAAATGAAAATATTTAAGCAATTTTAATCTGATTTTGAAATAGACCTACATAAAAAATATAAACTAGTTCTTCTTCATGAAAATGTAATTAAAATCCAGCATCTGAAGCAAATTTGAGAGTTTTCATCTCTTGATGCTACATTTGTGCAAGTTTGGTTTATACAATGTTATATAAGCCTTATAGTTTATTGGTAATAGAGCACCCGTAACTTTTACCTGGTCTATTATCTAAAAATGTATGTCGAATTCAGCATCTGAAGCAAGTCCATTAGTGTGCATCCTAAGATGTATCATCCATGCAAGTTTGCTCATTATAGGGCTCATATTTAATTGGAAATGAAACATGCATCAAAAACTAACATTTTCACTCATCAACAAAAAGTAGGTCAGATTCAGCATCCGAAGCAAGCCCGGTAGTATGCATCCTTTTATGTATCATCCATGCAAGTTTGGTCATTAAAGAACTCATAGTTACTTGGAAATGAATCATGCACCAAAAACTTTAACCTATTCACTCAACTGGAAAATGTAGGTCAGATACAGCATCCGAAACAAGCCTGGTAGTATACATCCTTATATGTATAATCCATGCAAGTTTGGTCAACATAGGGCTTATAGTTACTTAGAAATGAAACCTGCACCAACAACTTTAACCTGTTCACACAACCAGAAAATGTAGGTCAGATCCAGCATCCGAAGCAAGCCCTGTAGTGTGCATCCTTAGATGTACCATCCATGCAAGTTTGGTCAACATAGGGCTTATAGTTACTTGGAAATGAAACCTGCACCAAATACTTTCACCTGTTCACTCAACTGGAAAATGTAGGTCAGATTCAGCATCCGAAGCAAGCCTGGTAGTATGCATCCGTAGATGTATCATCCATGCAAGTTTGGTCAACATAGGGCTTATAGTTACTTGGAAATGAAACCTGCACCAAAAACTTTAACCTGTTCACTCAACAGTAAAATGTAGGTCAGATTCAGCATCTGAAGCAAGCCTAGTAGTATGCATCCTTAGATGTATCATCCATGCAAGTTTGGTCAACATAGGGCTTATAGTTACTTGGAAATGAAAATACACCAAAAACTGCACCAAAAATGTTAACCTGCTCCAAAAACATTAACCTGGTCATTCCTTTGCTGAAATTGCAGCATCTGAAACTTTTGACTGGTACGATGAATCACACTAGAACCATCTTCCATGCATGTCTAATCAATATAAGACATAGAAGTACTTAAAAAGAAAACTGCTCCAAAAAACTTAACCTTAACCCGGGACGCCGACGCCGACACCGACGCCGACACCGACACCGAGGGTATTACATAAGCTCCCCCAACTTCGTTGAGGTGAGCTAAAAATGTACTTCTAACAGTACCAAGTAAATACACTTACCCTTATGCTAGGCCTTATCAGAATTTTGTTCATTACAGTCTTTGATATCTGCCTACAGTTTGTATACATACATGTTTGTGTGAATTTTGTGGATGTCTGTTTGTATATACTTACATGTTTGTGTGAATTTTGTGGATGTCTGTTTGTATATACTTACATGTTTGTGTGAATTTTGTGGATGTCTGTTTGTATATACTTACATGTTTGTGTGAATTTTGTGGATGTCAGTTTGTATATACTTGCATGTTTGTGTGAATTTTGTGGATGTCTGTTTGTATATACTTACATGTTTGTGTGAATTTTGTGGATGTCAGTTTGAATACTTACACGTTTGTGTGAATTTTGTGGATGTCAGTTTGGTGGACACCTGGATGGTCTCCCTGGCACTGCGGGTGTATGGGAGGGACTTCGTAATGAACACAGACTGGCGGGGGTCTCCAAAATCGTCCACCAGGAACGGCATTGTCTTGTACTTCTCATACTTAATCTTACTGGGGTCTTCACACTGTAAAATAGAAGTCAAATATGAAAAGTTATGTTTCCTTTGGATTGAAATGTCACACATTCAATGGTTAAAATGCAACACATGACTGCCAAAAAGACTGCCAGCTTCTATTTGGCAATAAAGTAGCCACTATTTCACTAAATCAGAAACATTTTTGTCAGGCCTCATTCTGATTTCAGAATGCAGATAACATTTTGTACCTTGTATATACAGAGTGTATGATATGCATCTTTGATCACAATATCTTCATCATCTGTCAATCTCATGAAGGCAAATCCACAGAGCTTCTTCTCTGCTTTACTGGATTTGGCTGCAATGTATCAAGTAAACATTTTACCCTTGAAAAACGTTCAGCTCATTCTATGAAAAAATTTGATTTGCAGTAGTAAAACTTACTTGAGCAGTGTGAGATCTCAAACAAAGCACTAGAGCCTGGGAATTTTTCCATGGGTATAGAAATCTAATATGGGAAAAGGAAAGGAAAATAATCTTTTTTTTTTTAGAAACTTTATTTAATAAAAGATTTTGTGCATGTAAGAAAATAGGCAACACTAGCCTATAATATAGTATTTGATTACAAACTGACTGACCCTAACAGTTTCTCCCCACTTTGGTCCGTTACTGTGGTACAATACAGCTGAGCGGAATGTATCTTGTAAATTTTCTCCACAACCATAACTTATACATTTCTGGAATACAATCAACACAAATAGTTACTAGAAATCATGCAGCATTATTTCGCTTATCAGTAATGAGACACCATTCAAAATTAAAGTCATAACCCACTTAAACTTTTAAATTCATTTTTAAACATAATTAAAATATAGAAGCTGCAACATTATTATTGAAAACATACACAAACAATCACATTACGTTTAACGCATGATTAAATCCTTCACAAGAACTTATGATTCTAAATGATAAAGATGCAGCCATTGCTTAATAAGCAATAAGAGCTTCTAGATGAGTACATAATTATGTTCCCCAAACGAAGTTGGGGAACATATTGTTTTTACTCTGTTTCTTATTATTATTATTATTATTATTATTATTATTATTATTTTTCTTCTTCCTGGGAAAATCTTTTCCGCGAATGATCTTGTAAACTACACGTCCGACTTAGGTGAAACCTTTTTAGGGTCAGTAGGCATGTTATGTAGATTTGCCGAACAAAGGTCATTTTGCGCGCACGTGCTTGCAAGAGCACGCACGTGCAACGCGTGAAATGACCAAAATAATAGATACAGCCGTAACTTTTTTATTTTTTGATTATATGCTGTCATACTCATAATATAAGTATATATTAGTAGTATAGACGTGTTGACATGGTCAAAATAGCAAGATCTCATGCGCATGCACGTGCGCTTCGCTCTGATTGGCTGGAACTAAAGTCTCAATATCTTTCTTGTTTTTCGTCATAATCCTTTGAAATTTTGAACTCAGTCACACATTATGAAGATCTACAGCATGATATATAATAATTTTCATGAAAGCACGTACATGCGCGTGTGCTGGCAAGAGCGCGCACGTGCAACATGTGAAATTACCAAGATAATGGATGAAGCCGTAACTTTTATATTTCTTAATGGAATTTTTTGAAACTCACAATGCATGAATAAAGTAGTAGTATGGACAAGATGACATGGTCAAAATTGCAAGATCTTACGCGCATGCACGTGCGCTTTGCTCTGATTGGCTGAAACTAAAGTCTCAAGATCTTTCTTGTTTTACGTCATAATCCTCTGAAATTTTGAACTTAGTCACATATTATGAAGATCTACAGCATGATATATAAGAATTATCATGAAAGCACGTAAATCCACGTGTGCTGCAATCTGATTGGCTGAAACTTTACATGCCTATATCTTTCTTGTTTCTCAACAAAACAGGATGAAGTTTAGAATATGAATAGCTATTATGGATTCCCACATGATATTGCTATCAAAATTGAATGCAAGGACGTGCTTGCATGCACATGCGCACACGCAATGCGTAAAATGAACAATATGTTTGAAAAACGGTAACATTTATATTTTTATGACTTTTTATTGATTTCTGGAATATAAAGATATGTTAATGGTTTAGACAACATGTCATGATCACTTTGCATGTGCATGCACGTGCGTTTGCGAACAATGCGTTAAATGACAAAAAGTTAATATCATTGTAGTTTTTAAAATTCTTTTATGAAATCCTGCGAAACTAAGCATATTGAAATTTGCACAAAAAGGGAGTTGGGGAGCGTTTGGGGAACATCTGTAACGGTCCCCGTTACAATTAGAACTAGTTTAGCCTGACTTACAGGAATGCGTCGGCCTTCTTTATCCAGTACTGTGATTTTGACCTCTACATTCTTTTGAGCTTTCTTCCCATCCCTGTCAAAATCTCCCTCATGGAGTTCTAGGTATACATCATTACGCACCTCCCCTACACACAATAAATCACTTGTACATTTAAGTTTAGTGAGGTCTTTATATGTACAAATGTTACTTAAACATAATACATCATTTAGTTGCATATTCTATAAAGTGCCTTTTGCAGAAAACAGCTTTAAATAAATCAAATACATAGCTTACAGTCTTGTGTGTATACATGTATATCTATTCAAACAAGCACATTCAGGCTGTCATTAATTCAATGTACATACTCTAATTTTTTGAAAAATATATCTCCATCAAACATGGTAAACATCAAATTAAAAAACATTTATATCATAGGTTCATCACATTGACCAATTCAACATACCTGGATTAATGACATCAGAGAAGTCCATTTTCTGTATGACAGCCAGCCCTTTGTTGAACAGCACGGGGTGTTCTGTCTGACATTTCTTCAGGTCCCCTGTCAGAATCTTCACAGCCAAATGGAGGCCTGAAATCAGGGTCAAGAGTCAAAGTTCACAGCTACACTGTGATAGAAGTACACAACGATTGCAATGGATTATGACCAGAAACAGATAAGAAAACTACTTTCTTCTAATATGCTGAGCAGTAATGCTATATGCCCTATCATAACATTTACTCACCTAAGTTTGTTTTCTCTGGACTGGACACACTGGCTTTAAGTTGACTGGAACTCCCAAACTGGGCAGTATTGTAACGTTTTATCAGTGTCTCGTGATACTCCGAGAATGTGCAGTCATCAGCACAGCTGTAAAAATGTTAACCGTCTCAGTAACTTTCACTTTTTTTTTGGTTGGATAACCAGTTTCACTTAATTCTTATCATAAGATATGAAAATGAAACCTTTAAATCACACATTTTTAAAGGGTCAAACTTTTGTGGTTAGGGGAAAAAAATTATGGGTTCATGGGGGTTCATTGTGGTTCTGTGGCTGAAAAATTGTTGAGAATAGTATTGTATATGACATTTTACATTATGTAGTGGACATTATTTTGTGGGTCTTTTCATGCCTAAAGAATTAATGAAAATTAATTCCACAGTCTATGATTTGTTTTTTATGCTTACCTCACAACCTTTATGTTACACTCGTACTTGTCATCTACCAAGTCCATCTGGTCCTGGATTTCTCGTACACTGAACACTGAAAACAGAGAGATAGGATCAGTGAGTGTATTGTACTAATGACTAACTACATAAACACAGTAACCACACAGTCCTTACCTCCAACCCCAAAAGGCCTTCTGTAGGGGGAGGACGGGGGCTTCTTGTGTTCCTTATGGTCTTGTAACATACGACCTATACAAGAAAACAATTATAAACATAATCTTACAGTATGGCAGCTTTATCATTCACATTTTCAGTTTGAAACTTTGTTTAGCTATTTTGTTACTTACCATATCTGTATATACGAACTACAAGGAATAAATTTCTGTTAAAATCTTCTGGAGATAAGTCCTATAAATAATAAAACAAGATTTCTATAAGGTTATCCATATGACCAACTCAGCCCTACCTCGGACTGGCATTCTGAACTCTATAGTAATATTAATTTTACAATTTGGTGAGAACTCAAAGTTCACTAACATACTGCATTAAGCTCAATTTTGTCTCTTAAGCATCTTTTATACACTATAGCAATATGTTGATTTTTTTGAGAGAGGGGGGAAGGTATGGAAATCAATTTGCAAAATAGGTGAATTTTTTTATTTTCAACAAGCCATCTGTCTCTGGCAGTTGCAAACAAGCAGTAATTTCAAGTCAAAATCAGCAACAGAATACATGTGCATTAAATGTCATCATTAAGGGTTCAGGGCCTGGTGTCAAATGGTGGCATCAAGAGAGAATAGAGTTAAGGACCTTCTATAAACTAAAACAAAATGTTTTTTTTCTTTTTTCAAAATTTGGGAAAACATTTCGCATAAAGGTGTAAATATTGAAGTTAATATTTTCATTTTCAACTTAAATGCATAAAAATTAACCCCAGTTAAAAACTGTAACTGGGGGCCATAAAGAGCGTTAGTTGACGAGCTCCACTGAAGGAAATCCCGTCTTGTTCAGTTTTTTCCAAAGGAATACATAGCGGAAAAGTGAGATTGGTATGAAAAGTAAGGTCATCTCAGTTTTATGGCCCCCAGGCCTATAGACAAGGAAGTACACATTTAATGATCGGAATTCACCACTGTTTACTTAAATGGAACAAATTAGAAGTAAATATTTATCTTCACCTACTCAAATCTTCAAAATGTTTGAATCAATAGCAATTTGAGTATAATACATTTTAATTTTCAAATTTAAGATTCCAGGGCAGTTCACCCTAAATGCATAAAAATTATGTTGTGTTCAAAATCTATAACTAACATACTGTAAAAAGAGCATTCAAGTTGTCTGACTTCTCCAAGTCTGAAGGAAATCCCGTCTTGTTCAGTTTAATTTCATATTGTTCACTGCAAGTATAAATTAGTCAATATATATATTATTGGTGCATTAAAAATGATTACAAATCTGACCTTGGTCATAACACAACATGCACATTCATATCATATCAATAAATGGGGACAAGAACACTTTTTTTTCTTTAAATCTGAAATCATTTTCATTTTTTGACAAATCTGTTGTACAGTCAAACCATGGCATCTTGAACTCTATGGGACTATGTAAAAAACTTCTGAGATATTCAAGGATTTGAGTTATTAAGGGTAACATACATAACTAATAAGTGGTAAGGAATTTTTCTATGGAGTATTCAATATTACACAAATATATAACAATACCTGATAAATTTATCATCTTTGGCACTGAATAAGGATAAATAAACTACAGAGTCGTCGCCTATATTACACTGACTGCTACGGAAATGTACGAGGAGGTTGTAAATATTTCCCTCGTCATCTAACCCAATTACCCCATCCATTCAATTATCTTACCAATTCTGTATAACATGATTGTGTGGGTAATCTGGTACGCTTTGTCTGAAAAAAATTAAGAGTTCAGTTTAGAATGAGAGCTTGCGTTATCTAATAATGCACTATATATTTCTCTTATGATATTTCTGTACATAAATACTGGTATTTCATATCAGAAACATTACTTTTTTTTCTTTTAAGATAACAAAGATGTGTTTTAGAAATGATTTTACTTGAGTCTAAACTAAGCTGATCCATTTTGTTATTTTATCAATTTACAATCTTAAAAACTTCATCGAAAAAATTTCTTTTTTTTTTGTTTTGGGGAAGAAAAATTAAATTATTTTGACATATTCTTTGTTCTATGGTTTTCTTACTGATTTGGTGCGTAGTTTCTCCACCCCCTGGGAGTGAACTCTGTGGAGCTCTATCACACTACACTCGTCAGGATTCATCTCCTTGCCATTTTTACGTGGAATAAGGTCCATACCTAGCTGCCTGCAACACCATACAAACATAATTATCATCTAATATTTCTTAATTTCCTTTGGAGAGAGAGGGGAATTTTATTCTTATTCACTCCAGTATTATACTGTATGTGTTTATTGTAATACAAAAATATTTTATCAATATTCTTAATAAACATAGTCTCGCCCCAGTTTACACAATTGACTTACCAATCTCCCCAAATCCCCACAATATTCTTACCCATTTCCCCCACACATTATTTTCTCACCCGTTTCCACAGTCTACACTACCATATTACCTGTTTCCCCAGTCTACACTTCCGTCTTACCCGTTTCCCCAGTCTACACTACCATCTTACCTGTTTCCCCAGTCTACACTACCGTCTTACCCGTTTCCCCAGTCTACACTACCGTCTTACCTGTTTCCCCAGTCTACACTACCGTCTTACCTGTTTCCCCAGTCTACACTACCGTCTTACCTGTTTCCCCAGTCTACACAATTGTCTTACCCATTTCCCCAGTCTATACAATTGTCTTACCCATTTCCCCAGTCTATACAATTGTCTTACCCATTTCCACAGTCTATACAATTGTCTTACCCATTTCCCCAGTCTATACAATTGTCTTACCCATTTCCCCAGTCTACACAAGTGTCTTACCCATTTCCCCAGTCTATACAAGTGTCTTACCCATTTCCCCAGTCCACACATTATTGCCTTACCCGTTTCCCCACTCCACATATTATTGCCTTACCCATTTTCCCAGTCCACACAATATTGTCTTACCCGTTGCCCCAGTCCACCAGTGTAGCGATTTCCTCGCGGAGATTGGAAGCCTGCTCCACTGATAGAGTGTCCTTGATGAGTCGTCCTCGTAACATCGCGAGCTCGGCCATCGTCCTCTCCACATCCTCCAACATCTGGTTCCATCCCTGACATAATTAAACCATAATTTTGTCAACAGTAAATTACAAATCCTAAATAAAAAGCTAACCAAAAACAAACAAAGGGAGAAGAAATTGATCTAGTAATTTTGTTGACTTCTTACATATAACTACACTGTGCTTTCTGAGTTTTAGGAGAGTTGGGTACAGTAAAAAATGGTCATGGCTGACACACTTATAATATGAATTGATGATTACAGGAAAGGGATGATTTTTATCCCCTATGGTTTTTAGACATATCATAAACCCATCAGATATAATTTTTTAAAACAAATCAAAATTGTTGGTCTCTGGCACTTTGCTATAAGTTTGTTTTTGAAATTTCAACTGACTCTTGTTTAGATTACAAGTATTTGAAACTTGTCTATAGTTGGCACTCCTATCACAACACTTAGTTGACAGAGCATGAGAAGATAACCTAGTGTATAAATGTCTACATGTAGGCAACACTGGCATGTAATTAACAATTCTAAAGCATGTATGTTATAAAAGCACTCTAAAGCTACCTGACTAAGATATTTGGTCTTCCAAGACTGAAACCATTCTCTGAGGCCAAAGGTCAACTCTCTGACCATGTGATCTTCATTTGGAATGACTGTCTGGTATCTTCTACAATACAAATACATTAGTAATCTAACAGTTGTATTTTCATTTGTGTGTGAAAATAACTGCATCTTAAGTGCTTGAAATAAAATGATCTTTTAGATCATTGAGTACAATGCAAAATAATAATAGTATTATTTAGTTTTAAATCCAAAAGTACTGTAAATCTTTTTATATATTGTTAAGTGTGTGCAAAAATATAGTAGTTAAGATTACATAGAGCAATAACCACAATTCGTGAAAACTGCTTATCAAGAATCAAAATTGTGTAAGTATATTGTAGTGTTTTATTTCTTACCCCTTCCCCTCTACAATGCAGTCCTTGATGTGAATAAAACTCTTTGGAAATATTCCCTGCAAAGAAATGTAAAGAAATCATAAAAATGGCTCAAGAGCCAAAAATTTTTTTTTCAAAGCTTGGATATGCAAGTTGAACAAAATTTGTTGACTTTTCCCCATTTTTGGTATTTTAAAAATACATATTCTTTCATTAATGTTATGATTTTCAAACATACCCATCCTGTTTTTCTGCTTGTGGACTTTCCATAAAACCAGCCTGTAAAAGGAAAATAAAATTCTTTTATTTTTTTCAAACATTCCTGCTGTCCAGTTCTCATCTTGCCCTTTTAGCCCGATGAATTTTGTAGTCTAAGCTAGATAAATCCTTGCATTGACCTCAAACTTCAATAATTGTATAAAATATTTTCCCTTCTCCTCTACAAACACCTCTGTAAAAAGATCATAATTAATCACAGATTGCTATAAATAGACTCAGACTAAAGTGTGGTAGTGTTAAGATAAATGGCATCCTACTAGCTTGGGCTAGTGGGTTAACCCTTTAGCTCAATTGGTAGAGCACTGGACTGGCAAGCTAGAGGTCCCGGGTTCGATCCCCAGCAGAGGAAATAGATTGTCTCTGTTACATTTGGCGCCCACGTTGGGACCCGGGTGTTCTCTGGCGGGTGAGAGTGATTGCCCCTAGAACTTCGCCCCACAGGTGTCGGCACTCCAAAAGAGATGAGGACATCTCATTCTCTGGAGGGGGACAATGTGGTACTGTTAAGATAAACGGCATCCTACTAGTTGGGCTAGTGGGTTAACCCTTTAGCTCAATCGGTAGAGCACTGGACTGGCAAGCTAGAGGTCCCGGGTTCAATCCCCAGCAGAGGCAATAGATTGTCTCTGTTACAAAAGCATGAAGTCTCATCAATAAAAGTCATGTTCTCTGTCTATAATTACATAATTATTCCCAACCACCCCAACCCCCACCCCGACACAACTCTTGTGCCAACACCATTATATTCTCCTCATTCATATGTACTTAGCCTCTGGTTATCTCCATTGGGTTCAACATTAAAGCTCTCACAAAGATACCCTAGACTTTCTTTTCACTCACACAGGGTCATGAGTATGCCTCAAGTTCATATTTGTTTCATTTTACTCTCACCAATGGGTCATATGTCTCCACTCTTCTCAAGATACTATCGGAGGATCCACTTTGTGGTCACACATCTTCGTTTTACTTATCAATTGGGCCACATATGTCTCCTCTCTTCTCAAAGATATACCTGAGGATCTAGTCTATGGTCATACATGTATGTCTTTTTTTTAACTTACCATTGGGTCCCCCATACTCCTCCAAAATTTGGACTGTTTCTCCCACAGTCAGACTCAGACTCTTCTGGATTTTAGTTTTGAAGCTACAGATGGCTGAAAATATTAGTACAAAGAATACGTTAGCAAAATTATTAGTACACGTGTACGTATTTCATGGTTCTCATAAGAATCTGCAATAAGATCTATTTTGTATGAAAGTAAATGGGCTGCATTGCATTATCATAATTTCAAAAAAGGTAAGATTTATCAGAGAAGGTGTGCATCATATTAACCTTCAGCCCCTGTATAACCCAGATCTTCCCCATTTGACTTTGATTCAAGGCCATGCTCTAACAATCTTTGAATGAAAAGTCATGTTATGTCGACAAATTTTGATATGCATTTATTTATCCAGCTTATAAATGAAATGATTTATGTAATTTACTAATTGTTTTGCTATTCATTGGCCTATCTTTTCAGTATTATTGTAATAATCTCATACTTGTCTGTTCTGGGCTCTAAATTAGAAAATAAAATGTTCTGTTCGGTTCTATATAATTATTCACTTTTTTCACAGGAGACGATGGACTTCACTCATTACACATCGTCTTGTGACTTTCCACTTCTTTTCTTAGTATTGGACTTGAAAATTGGGATTTAATTATATGTAATTCAGCCAGCAGCTTTGAGATTAAAAATAAAGCTCTCTGTACAATTTAAGTACAGATATTAAATCAACAGATTGCATCTAAGAGTACACAAACAACAGCATGAAAAAAAACTTTCATAATAAGTTGATTTTTTGAGAAGGGACTTGTGATCCCTGTATAAAACCCACCAGGAGATGTACTTCCCAGCCTATCAGAGAGAAGACAACACTTCATCCAATACTACAGCCACTCCAACATTTTCCTGTCTAATCCATTAATATAAGTAAATGTCTTAAGGACCTTGGTTTTATTTTAATTTTGACATGCTTCTTTCTAGCATAAACATATGTTTTGTTTATTCTTTCACAAAAACTGAAAAAGGAAGTCCTTATTTATGTTGCAATATAACTCGATCATTCACCATATGTACAAGATAGCTCCGATATTTTGTGGTTTGTTACATGAGAAAAAATTTATATATTTGAAATCATACTCATAATTTTAAACTCAGAAATATTTCCAGAAAATACTGTATGTACTACATATTCCCATTGGTATGAGATTTTTGTGTGTACATCTCTTTATAAGTATGATAGCGCAAAGTGCACACATGCTTGAATTTCATTAAATTTTATAAGGAAACATGAAATCAATGTTGAATGAAGTATATGCTTCGTGTGTACTGTGTATATAATCCTACTTGAAACACTTCATCTTTCCTGAATTATTAAAGTATAATCCGAAAAATTATGATTCAGGTTTAAGAGGCATATTCAAAGTTTTTCCACATGATTAGTACATATATATCAAATAGGCCGGACCATCAAAGTGCACATAAAAAGGGCTGTTTTTCACACAAATACTTCTTTTCTCTTTCCTGAACATAATCATATGGGTATGATCTGTTACCTTTATAAAAGGTTTTTGACTTAATTCAGATCATGAAAAATCATTGATAGTTCATTGATAAGAGCATATTCGCATGCAATCTACCAAAATTCTACTTAAATCTGAGTCAAAGTTACATATTTTGGTATGTATTGTAAATTGCTACCTTAGTCTTTTGAAAAAAATAATTGCTGTGCAATTTTTACAAGAGATACTGTTAATGTATTTTATTTGGCATATGCAAATTGGCAGAAATTGATTTTCAACAAGTTGTCACAGATCTGATTAATAGTGCCCTCTGAAAGTTTGCAAAAACATTTAGTGGCATACTTGATTTAGCACAAGCTTTTTTCTGCAGAAGGCACTATATAGAGTACAGCAAGTTAATTATAATATGCTAACAGTAAAAGTTTTACTTTTAATTTAAAGCTTAGCTAGACAGCTAAACAGATCAGGCTACAGCTGAACATGTAATCAGTATATTAGCTATTTATGGGACAGACAAAAGATGTCAGAACAAAGTATCTGTACTACTTTCTACACTAATTATTAAGTGATAGACAGTAGATGAAAATAGTATCTATACTAATATCTAAATTAAGGGATAGACAGTAGATGAAAATACATGTAGCATGTAATACTCATATCTAACCTAGTTATTAGTATGATTCTGTGAGGACCTGTCGAGTTCTCTTTGAAATAGTGAGTCAACAAACTACCGGTATGCTGTAATGAACCAAAACTTTTTATAACTTCCAGGAAGCAATCTTTTTTTCTTTTCATTCTGTAATTCTCTTATTCTATCAACAAGTATTTGAATTCTATCTTAATTCATTTTGAAAATTCAGCAATGATGTTAATCCCTACCCTGAGTCAGGAGAGGGTAGACAAATATTATTTCAAACATAGATGGCCTTGGCTAACAAAGGAGCACAATCAGTGCCCATCTGTAAGACGAAGGTCAGTTCCTGGTTGAAGAAGGAGATAGTTCTTGAAAGTGAAGAATTCAAAAGGAAGTAGAGACAGAAACTATTTATAGAACTGCAAATGTGTATAATGATGTCACTGTATGAAACATCAAACAAACCTAGAGTCTCCGTTTCAATTATAATCTAGGTGGTCTCTTTTACACAATTTTTGTTACCTTCAAATGGCTTTTGAATTTAAAGCACTTTTGAACTACTGCACACTCTGGATTAAAAGATATGATTCAATATGAAATGCCTTTATTTTATCACACACTATGCCTAAAACTTTACACATTACCCGGTAAGTTTCTTAAAAAACACACACACACACTCAATAAATCAATATTCTTTCAGAGATTTAATCAAAAGTGAATCAGATATAATTGAAAAAAAAATCCAATTGCATTATTTTAATATACCAGTAACCAATTTTAAAACAGGGAAAGATAAATGTATAAATCAGCCTTGCACTCAGTGTATCAAGATTTATTAAAGTAGAACAATAGAGAGAGCGTGACTGATTGTTGAATTGATCAGTATAATATCTTTCTTCAGTTTTGTTCTTTATTTTCTTTTTAAGGAAATATGTACTGTCCTAAACTTTTTGAAAAATTGTATGTTTTATAGGGGATATCCTTTCCAAGAAAAAATCCCAACTTTTCTGTCTACATGTAGCTGATATATATATATATAAAATTGCATACATCATAATTTGTGTAAATATGATTTTGCAGCTTTTAACTTTTACAATAAATAAACAGCTTGCATAATTCTCATAAATTTAAAGCAACTATTTGCTTTATTTTGCATCTTTTAACAGAGTGACATAAGATGTAGTTTTTGGGGTGCCTAGTTAAGCAAACAGTCAACATTTGCATAAATTAGTTAGGTTGGTACTTAATTGGTAGATGTATGACACACAGTAAACTGATGCGAGATAGGCTTAAAAAACGAATCACTGATGAATGAAATTATATATTTCTGATCAATAAATAGTCCACAACTCCAAAGTTAGCTGTGACTCTGAACTAGGCAAGGAATTCCCAATGAATATTAATAGTCATATATTCCCCCATGACACCCAGAACGATTGCTCAATTTTCAACTCCTGACAATTCCTTCTATACATTCTTCAATGACAATGACAAAACTTGATTCTCGTGAACTTGACAATCATGTGTATGAAATTCAGACAATTTAGATGTGGGTGCTTTAATTGTGCATGAACTGCTAACCAAACACAGATTGTGCAATATATTAAGTATACTTTGAAAAGTCAGGTATATACCTCATTTCTTCAACCACTGTGGGAGGACTGACAACTTGGTACATAAAAAAATTCCTCGTCTATTTCAATTTCCACATTAGCATCAAAGTTAAATAAACAAACCCTAACTCATCGTAATTGCTTAAGAATTAAATTTTTAATAAACTTACGTTAAAGGTTAAACAAACACTAGATCATATTGCTTTTTTTAATAAATTTATGCAATGTCATTTTTTCAAACTAATTAGGATTCACCGTTCACTGCAGAAAAGCTGACAAACGAATCAGTCAAGCCTTTATAGAGCTATATATATAAATATACAGCTACTACATGTACCACAATAAATCACCACAGGTCTATAAACCACAGGGTCACAGGGACATTTTGATTAAAACATTTTGTTGTACAGGTGTAAGAAAACATTCCTTATCATAAATTACTATGTGGAAAAACATCTTGAAGGAATCTGATGCAGAAGTACATGTATTTATAAAACATTTAATTTTAAATTGATCTATTTGTTGTAGTGTGCCAACACGTCATCAATACTGATAATTGATACAAAGGACGTATATAATATCTCGTCGTAGTCTATATTTATACATCTTTAATTAAATATATAGTCTTCCTAAAACAGAAATTTAACATTCAAAATCAACAGCTGCATCTAAATATGTAATATCTTACAGTATGGAAAGCGAAAGTTTTCTGACAGTCAAAACTAAGATATTTACCCGGTACAATCTCACAATATAATATTATGCAGCCTTTTAATTAATAAATTATTGACCCTCAAAACATTTTCAGTGTGTCCCCATTAGAAGAATTCTGGATTGTCAAGTGCTGATTATAATTTCACTATTTTGAAACAGTTAACTTTGACCCATATTATAATATTAAACTATCATCTTCCTTCGAGCACCAACGCATCCCTGTTAACTACACTACAAAATATTGAAACCAATGCTCTGTTTTGTGTTTTCCTGGTTTATTTACCAAGAACATAAAAAAAATCATACTGGCCCTGTTTCACAAAATATATAAATATTCCACAAGTAAAACATATACATGTTGAGCATTTAATTAAATGCAGCCTCAATCACTGATCTTAATTACAACACTTAAATTGAACAATGAAGGAAGTATAAATATGTATTCACAGATTGACAGAAATCACTTATAAACTAACACTGGCCTAACTATTTTCCCTGCTAGTCGATCATGGCTCTATATTTTACCCCATTACGGTGAGTACTATATATATAGAACCAATCCTGGTGAGTGATTTTTCATAAAAGCACATCTATATTGTTTGAGAGGCCTTTATTTATTTCCTGGCCATTACATTCCATCCCATTCATGTCCCTGGCTTTCTGGCAGCCTATTAGAGAGCTCTGACACATTATTGTAGACACACTATCTACCTATTCTGTTCTCATCACCTTCCTTGTGTATGTTTAAATCTGCCTCTTAATGAGTTCAACTGATGTACTCCAAATCTCCTATAGGTTGTTATTTGATGGAATAATACATAACCAGTCAACCAACTTGGACACTTTATGGACTGAGTACAGGTTTAAATTTTTAGCATGTCATTGTCCAAATTCAAGATTTATATAATGTGATATTTTTGGAGGACATGAAAAATTATTAGTGTTTTTTTTTTGGGGGGTGGGGTATCTAGTAAATTCTGAGGTTCCATAGCCAAACAAAAAATTATATGAATACACAGTAATTTGTAATGTACATAGATTTAAAGAAAGGATGGATAAAAAAGACAAAATTCTTAAATCAGTGACAGACTTAGGGAAACTTCCTTCTTCAGAAACTTCTCTGAATCTAGAGATTGTCAAATTTCAGAGCTTGACCCTCGTACTGAGATTTCACCTTGTCAACTGAGATAACATCAGCTGAAAGCAGTCAATTTACCAGAGACTACAGAACTGGTTTGCTGTTGATTATATTTGTGAATCACTCAAATGATTGCTCATTTAGATAGCTTTCATTAAATGCAAAGAGAAAAACCTAAACACAAAGTTAATTGTAAAAGTCTTGGATGTAACACTGGATTCTTAAACATTTCAATCTGCAGGCCATAAAATTTCATACCAGGCATGTCACTAATGGGTATACCCTATTTAAAGTTCCCTTGTTTAGAAGTATGATTTGAAGATCTGAAACTGCATGCACCCTTAATCTTTTCTGATTGAGATGTTTATGCATGCTTCTCACTATACAAATCACTACTCTGCATATAAATATAGACACAACATCATTTTACCCATGACATTGATGACAATCTAAATAAAACTAACACCTATGTAATTAATTCTCAAATAACATCTACACATCTATAAATTTTTAACTTCAACATTCATGTAAGAAATCCATCAAATTCAAAGGGAAGAAAATACATCAATTTTCATACCACATTTTGACTAGAAATTTTTGGATGCATTTCTTGTCAAAGATGCCATCCATTCCTGCTAAGATTGTTTTCCTTATAAACAATATAGTGTTTTAAATATAGTTACATATTGCATTGCTTACATGTACGTGTCCGTATTAAACAGGTCAAAACATCTAAATCAGTTGGGAGAATTTTCGGTATTTTTATAACCCTTAAATTTTGCTGTTCATTGAAAATAAACCCTACATGAACTTTGATGTACATGTAGTTGTAAAACAAAAAATAAATACTCCTTCATAGACAGGATTGAGGAAAAGAGAATAAGGAAAGACAAAAGAGGAATTTCCTTTCTATTAAGGCTGCAAATCTAGGTAGTAAAGGTTTTATAATAGATTTATAATCTTATAGCATTTGAGCAGCAGTAATTTTAGAAACATTACAGAAGGTTCTGACATATGCACATGGTTTTGGTGGTTTGTAAAGTAGAAGTCTCTGATGGGAATGTTCCTCTTGTGTTTTGAACTTATAAAAAACACTTGCAATGATCGACTTAAAACTATGACCACAGCAATAAACAGAATAAATGATACTTGTTCAAGTACCTCTGTGTGCTAAATATTGCAATCAGACTAAATCTGTAGTAGGTGCACTTACCTTTCAAGAAAATTCCAAAAAATCTTTTTTAGTAGTTGCCATGGCAACACAATTCATTGAAACAAAAAGTCAAAGAACAGGATTGTGTAAAAATTAATTGAAATTTGGAAAAACCTGGAACTCTCAACATGAGTAGCATTTTTAAAGAATTTTTAAAATAAAAAAATTATAGCTTAGTAACCATGGTAACACTGTTCTTTGAAACTAGAAACTAATAAGAATCATGTATTTCAGGTAATTCAAGTTGAGAACTATTAGTTATATTAAAATTGAACCAAAATTACATGAGGAGGACAGTGATTTTTAAGAACTGTTTATGCATGGACAAAAACGGAAACAAAACAGTTTCTGGTCTGCAGTAAAGCTGATAATGCCAAGACCCCATTAAAATTACCCAAAACTTTTAACAAGCAGATGGACAGACAATAAGACATCTATCTATCAAATTAACTCTACTGATCTTTGGACCAGAAGAGCTAAAGAAATCTCTAAAAACTTAATATATGGGAAATAAATGATTTCATTATTTATGACAAGTCAATTTCCTTGGGATTTCATATACTAGGCAATATCTCAAAATTTCCAATAAACTCAGGTCTCAGTCATTAAGCTTCTTTTTATCTCTTTGCTATACAAAAACAAAAGATCAACAGGGATCTACTCTGTTACAGAACATTTGAAATAAACACATTATTTACTTTTTAATCTTGTCAATGTCAATTTTTCAGAGTCATTAAAAATTCCAGTTTAAGATACAAATATAGGGTTCGCTAAGACCAGTAACAATTATTAGGGGTTTAAATCTTAGACAGGTTTACTAGCAATATTGGTATTTTTTCCCAAGAGAAAATTTCCCCTAAATATTCCATTTTCCCCTTTCGATGAGAAAAAATTCCACTTACCTGGTACATTTATAATTAAATCTAAAATAATTTTTACTCTGCTTTACAACAGGAAATTTAATGTACTCGTAGTCCAGTAAAAATTTTCAAAAAGAGGTATCTCTGAAATATGGTTTAACTTGGCTTTTATCTACAGTAACTCTACATGCATGGGCATTTATGATATTAAATTTCAGATCCATGGCTAATTTACCCAACTTCTCTAGAAAGGATGGTTTCCCCCAAAACCTAGATCCATACATGATTATTGATATATGCTTTCAAATATTTCAAGTGATATTGTTTATTTTCATTGTAAATCTATCACTGCAAAAGTAATTTCTAGGCCTAATGATTTTTGGGGGGGGGGGGGGGGGGGGTTCAATTAATTGACATTTCAGAAGATATGGAAGAAATTCAATTGAAACAAACTTCAGGTCAAAAATTTGTAAGTCATTCTAATCAAAAGTTGTTATAATCATATCCTAGTTCAACATGTTTATCAGTCTGAACATTAATTCATTAATTTCCACTTTTTTCACATGACAATACTTAGATGAGATTAAAAAAAAAACATTATTTCAGCCCCCGCTCCTTTCAATATCAACCATGCAGAACAACAATTAAATAGTTTCAAGACAACTGAAAGATAATGGGTCAAGGACATTGTAACATAAAGTAGGGAAATGGATGATTGTTGCATATTTTCAAAATGGGTAACTGAACAAACTGGTACATAGATACAGTCACTACATGACTCCCGTCAACATCTATAAAATCAGATTTATTTAATGTCTTTGAAATTTAGGTTAAACCAATGTTATTGATGCTAATAAACCTGAGTCAACTAAAAAAAAAAAACATAATTTGATCTAATTCTTTATGAATCTTACCTGACATTACTAAACTGAAAGACTTTTGATAAACAAAAAGTCTCGGATTAGTCTGCAGCCCAACTTTTCTCAACTTATAGATCTAAATATGATTAAATCATGGTAATATTTTACTTAAATTGACATGTCTTTTGGAGTTTCCCATTTATCTCATATCACAAATATTTTAGGTTAATTTTAAACACTGCAACCTTTAATGCAATATTAATATTTAAATTTAATCAATCCAGTAGTTCAGTGGTAGAATGGTTAGCGGGGGATCCTGGTTTGAGTGCCAATCCCGCCAACTTCTCCAGGTCACCTGTTATATTTTACACACAAAAACAAAATTAATTCACAGGTAGTTTACAAGAGCCTCAGTAAGGTTTTCAGGATGAAAAACCTCAAAAAAGAAGGCAGGGGAGTGTAACGGGAATTTGGTATGTCAAACCGGTAGCTCTGTAGTAAAGCATCCGCACATACAGTAAGCAGGAGGTCCTTTCAACCCCCCCCCCCACCCCGAATTTGTATACTAATGGAGGGTGTCATAACAATTGTCTGGATATTGGGACGTTAGCAAACATGAGCAAAACTATTTAGTGCATATGTGTGCTTATCAGCAGTTTTATAATTATTTAATTTTAACCTTCCAGTTTCTTTTTCCCTTAATAAAAGATGCATACTCAGGTGTGTAATAATTAAAGCATGCAAACCAAGTGTAGGCCGGTGCATGGACTTCCACTCAAAGTGTACAGACAGACTGGTGAATACTGATAAATAATCATCCCTTCATTTCTCCTGGTCAGTGAAAATGAATGACCCATTTACATTTTTTTCTTTTCAACTGAAACAAATGGATGAACAGTTGCTGTGGTAATGATGTGTTTAGTAATGATAAAAAAATTAGTTTGATATACATATCTCCTAATCATTGCTCACACAGTTCATTATTTGTACAAAATCATGAGTCGTGCATTCTAAATTAAAGAGGTATTAATTGTCTTTCTGCAAGTTAATTGTATATTTATAAATGACAGCTCTAGATTGCAGTTTTTCTAGCTTCCTTGAATTTCTTCACTCGCAGAAAATTTTGTCTTGAAAATCATCATAAAATCGCAATTCAACAAGTGACAACATTGACAGCTCGTAATATACTATAATGACAGCAGTCAAATGACATGATGCGACATCCTTTTTGACACGGTTCAAACGAAACATGTCATGCATCTCCTCTGGTCAACCTTGTCAGTGGTGAATATTTCTTGTGTTAATAACTTTTTATACTTACCGACTCCATAATTGTCATTTGCTGGTCTCCATACACCATCGTCCATCTTATCTCGGTTTAATCAATATTTACTTCCTCATTTTCGTCGTGTTGATATTGTACGTTTGCTTCCCTCCATATCCAGTTTTCTCAATGTGTGTTTTTGTCACGTGACGGCCAATGTCAAAGGTCATTTGAATAAAGCACAGCGTAAAAGCAGTCCCCAGCTGTGATTGACGGAGCGACATTTGTCGATCGATGTTCCGTCAGACATGCAGCATTCTCGGATAATCACAGAACAGATCTAACGGATGTTCTGATTGACTTCAACAGAGACAGCATGAAAAAACTAGTTTCATTTCTTCAAGTTAGGCTATACTCAATTTATTTATCAATTTAGGCTTAATTATTTGTTTGATTAGTTGATTGATTCATTTTTTTTTATTTTACGTTTTTGTTTGTTTTTTAATTTGTTTATTGATTTATTTCGGGCCTATTTATTTATTTACTCTATTTTTTAGTGTTTATACTTTCATAAAAAATCTACCATGTCTGATAAGTTTGCTTACCCCCCCCCTTTTTTTTGTGTGTGTGTGCGGGTTCGGGAGATTAAATTTAGAGATTCAAAAATTATGACTGGCTCTTGCTCAATTCAAGTGAATTCTTTGCTGGACCCGACTTATATCCTGAACAATATAGTACCGGAGATTGTTATACCTTTAAGAATTGTTCCTATATATAAAGCTATACATTTCTGTTTAACCTCTGAGCTGAGTGAGATGTTGGACCTGTCGATGAGATGTTGGACCGTTACGTCACACAACGGGCGGGTCGTAATCTCATTAAATTTTGCATTCGTTGGTGTTCAACAGTGAGGGACCAGAGGTTACATCACGGAAGGCAGTACAACATACATATATTTAATAAATAAATAAATAAAATGAACGGTATAACAAAATATTTATTGACAGTATTCTAGAACAACATGCGTTTTGTCGACCCTAGCTCGAACCAAACTGTCTGCCTTCGACCTAAAGGCATTAGTTTAGGTCTCAGTTCTTGGGTCCGACAAAACGCAATGTTGCCCTCGCATACAGTCAAAAATGTATAGTGTTTCAAATATTTCACAGTAACAAAACAAACCCATAATCCCAAGAAATATTTTAATTAATTAAGGACTTACTGTTTTATTTTTCGATTTCATGATGCGATCAATCGTAAAATCTGACAGTTATTCCTTATATTTACTGCTCTTGATTCAGGTGTAACGTTGAATATTGACCCGAGTTGAAAATTGAACCGGGGGTCATTTTTCAACGTTGAATATTGAACCAGGGGTGTTTTTTTCTCCGTTGAAAATTGAGACCAAAAGTCGTTGAATTTAATTATACCCGGGGTCATTTTTCAACAGCTTGATATTTTTTTTCTTATCCCTGATGACCTCAACAAGTTGAAAATTGACCCTGTTGAATATTGACCCCACCTCATAGTTTGAACATTATTTGGAGTTTCTTTTACGGGATTTATCAGTATCTCTATACTTATATTTCGGTTTCAATTTTTTTCCCTTTTCAAGAGTAATAGAAAAAAAAAAACTATCATCCCGTGTATATATGTACATTCAGTTATCTTCAAGCATGGCAAGTTAATTTTTTGACAATACTTTCTAAAATCCATCGCATCCATAAATAACTACAAAACTATGAACAGGCCCAACTTGTCCATGAAATTTATTAGGACCCTACACTCTAAACCAAACTTCTAAACCAGGCATTCCTTTCTGTTGAAAATATAAGTAAAATGTATTCATTAATATATATAGAAATATACATTACCCCGGATTGTATTGAGTGTTCGGCAGTTTTTGTAACGGGTACTTGCCCTAAGGTTTGCCTCATCAGGGGTCCACCTTAGCAGTGTATTCTTGTGGTAAACATGATCTAAAATTATATCATAATCGCCTTGGCTTTTGTCTTTGCTATAGGCTTTAATTGGTTCCGAGATAAATATTTCTTTGCATCTTGTGTCTTTTTTCGTTTCGTTCCATTATTTTAAGATGCGTTTTTTAGTCCGTTGACTCTCGTATTATATTTTGTAACCATAATTAATTTATTGTGGGGTCTCAGTTGGCCGTTACTTTTATTTAGGATATCATTTCTGTCTGTTCCAATTATTCCTGTGATAATAGGATCTATTTCTTTATCAGAGAAGCTTCTCTTTGACAAGTGTTTCTTAAAGTCTTGTAGAATACTAGTAATACTGAGAGCAGTGCCATTGGTATTTCGCAAATGTCTAAAATTGCATTTACCTTGAACGAAACCTTTGAATACCGCTGGGTTGTGAGAACTTTCTCTGTGTAGATATTAAGATTTGTAAGCATTAAAACGTATGTGCATCGTGCGTTAAACTCTCACCATTTCCCAAATGCTAATACTACGAAATTTAAGATTGAAATAAATGAAGAGTTGTTAGGAAAAAGCAAATATAGATAAACAAATTTCTGAACTAGATTGTATATTGTGTAACTATGTATACTAATAGGATTTACATATTCTAATGATTTACATATTCTAATGATTTACATATACTAAATAAATGATTTTTTCTTTGTTTATTGATTACATTGGTGTCGGGAGCAAATTAAAAGTGCGGGGGGATAATTGAAAAAGAATTTTAAAAAATCAAATTTTAAAAATAATTGACAAAAAAAAAAAAAAAGAAAAGAAAAGAAAATTTGTCCATTGACAAAACTAATAGTCCAAACCCGAAATCCTATTCGGGGGGGGGGGGGGGGGGGGGGGGGGTCCGATTTTTTGTTTTTAATCAAGAACTACCACTTACTCTTCTTTCTATGACTACACTGTAACAAGCCTGTTGAAAGGGGGAGGGCTAAACCAATTTCATTTTGTTCAATGTATATATTAATTATGTCTGTCTTTGCAAAAAAGGTTCCTATATATAAAGCTACCCCCCCCCCCCCCCCTCCCTATGCCCATGGATTAAATCACAGTTGTGAAAACCAAGTCATTTATAAATATGTGTTTTTATGCTGTTGAATTTAGAGCCGGTTTCGTGATCAAAATTCCACGACCCGGCTCAGTTTTCAACGGACTAGGGTCTAAATTCAACATCTTACGTCTCAGTATTCCATGTTGAAAAATGACCCCCGGGTCAATTTTCAACCTGGGTCAAAAATCAACGTTACACCGGCAATCCACGTGCTACAAGCCCCGCTTCTGTCAAGCTATTTGTCCCGCCCTGCACGTGAATTTTTTTTTTACCGCGCCTATTGATGAACCAGTACATTCATGTAGAAATAAAGTATGTTAACTACTTGTAACTTTACCTCGGACAAAGACAAAACTGTAAGGAATAAAGAAAACAAAATGTAAACATTAATTTCCTTTCTTTTTTCACTTTTGGCATCCTATAATTGGACTTTTTGATGAGTGCTCAAACAAGACACTATCATATTCCTCCTAAAAATGAAAATTAATGTTCTGGGGCAAATGTTTCGTCCACGTTTGTGAATCCAGGCACATAGGAATTTTTTTCAGTCTAAAAAGGAAATTACTTACAGGCACGTAGTATCAGGGGGCTTGCCGGGGGGGGGGTGATAACTTTTTGCATGACATTACCTTTACTATAGAAAATGTTTACTGAAAGGAAGGTTGCCCCACCCCCCACATTTCAGCACAGTGTAGTGTTATAAAGAAAATTTACCCCAAAAAGTTTGAATTGAAAGAAAGTTGTCTTGAAAAAAAAGTTGGCCACTACCCCCCCCCCCCCGCCCCCCCCCCCCACACCCCCACCCCCCTCCCCCCCCCCCCCCCCCCCCCCCCCCACGAAATAGGATTTTCGACTTTGGGCAACTTTTCCTTTTTTTGTTTTTTTGTTTTGTTTTTTTTTTTTTTTTTTGCTTGTCAACTTTTTCAGGTAAGTAAAAAAAAAATTTCTCAGGTTGGCCCCCCCACTTTCAAAAACGATGCTACGTTCCTGACTTAGATTAGGGACACAATGCAAAGAGAATGGCGGGGGCGGCGGTTATAGTACACCATCTTGACAAAAATAAACAAGAGGCCCAGGGCCCACATCGCTCACCTGGCTAGAAGAAAAAAACAACTTTGATCGACCATTGTGGTCTCACCCTACCCCATTTGAACTTTGAATCTACACCACATGAGGATGCTTTTACGTAAATATAACCAACCATGGCATTGCTGTTCTTGAGAAGAACATTTTTCCCACATATTCCTGTGTAAAACTTTGATCGATCATTGTGGCCCCTCCCTACCCCCGGGGGTCATGATATGAACAAACTTGAATCTACACCACCTGAAAATGCTTCATATAAATATTACTAATCATGGCTTGGCTGTTTTTGAGAAGAAGATTTTCCATATACATTCATATGTAAAACTTTGACCGTCCATTGTGGCCTCACCCTACCCCCGGGGTCATGATTTGAACAAACTTGAATCTAAACTACATGAGGATGCTTCCACGTGAGTTTCATCTTTCTTGGCCCAGTGGTTCTTGAGAAGATTTTTTGTTTAAATGCCATTCATTTTTCAATAATTCATAATATCTCCCCTTGAATTAGGGCGTGGCCCTTCATTTGAACAAATTGAATCCCCTTCACCAAAGGATACTTTGTGGCAAGTTTTGTTAAAGTTGGCCAAGTGGTTCTTGAGAAGAAGAGGGAAATGTAAAAAGTTTACGAGACAACGCCAACAACGACGACGACGCCAACAGTGACAGACAACGGACTTTTGATCAAAAAAAGCTCACCTGAGCCGAAATAAGGAATTTTTCAGAACTTCAACGAGATTTTTTATAACCAGCACTCATCGTAACAATTACGTGTAATTAACGTAATTGCGATGATCCTTTATCCAGGGATGAGGAGAGGGCACACGTGGTAACATAAGTAAATCAACAGAATATCGATTCTACACAGTGATCCATTTATTAGAAAATAGGGCTGGACAAAAATATCGATATTTCGGTATTCTAGAATTGCAATACAATGACAAAGAATATCGTATTGCAATACGTTTTTGTAATATCGAAATATCGACAAAATGCTTAAACTAAGAAATGTTATCATTAAAAATAAAAAAAAAATAAATATAAGAAGAGTTGTTAAAAAGCCAAACGGTAAAAAAAGACGCTATTTTATGGGTGTATTCCAGAGCATAGCTTTAACAAAACCAGCAAGATTGTTTTTTTCCTTTTGCTAACTCATTATAGTTATGTCTGTTCTTCATGTAAATTAAAGTTAATTTCATAAGAAAATGAAAATATTGCAATACATATCGCAATACAGTTAAAAAAAAATATCGCAATATATCACAGTACGAAATTTCTGGTCAATACCCATCCGTATTAAAAAATGTAGACCAATAGATTTAACTTTCACGAGGCTTCACATGTCAATTTCAATAGTCCTCGCCTACTGACATCAAACACAAAGATAGCTGCACAAGATTTATAATTATGTATATTAGCCTCCTTAGCGTCAGACACAAAGACAGATGCGCACGAGGTTTGTATGCATATTAGGTCTCCTTAACACCTGACCTATCGATTTGCCTAATTTACATTCCGGCAGAATTATCAAAAAATCAACTCTACTAACTTTTAAAGAGTTATCACAGAAAAAAAAAACAAATAGAAATTTAAATATTTTCATATCATACGTGTATATCAGTAAAAAAAAAATTGGCAACCAACACAAGGGATTTCATTAACTTTCAAATTTGGAGAAGGTGACGATATTAAAAAAAATCTAAAAACATTACAAATCTGTGAAGAACGCATGAAACACGGGCTCCTGGAAATCCCAGGGGTGGGATCAGGTGCCTCGGAGGAGTAAGCATCCCCTGCTGACCGCTCACAGCCGCCGTGTGATAAATATGTATTGATCAGGTAGATGGGACACTCCCTAGTCAAATACAGTATAATAACTTCTCTGATATTATCCTGTCTCGGTTTAATAATTGATCAAATTTGGGGCATGCTCTTCCATATCCATATAAGCACTATATGGATATGGAAAGTTGATGGTAAAAATTTTGATGTCATCTCGTTTGTCATTCAGTTTAATTAAGTTTGTGTTTGTTGACCTTTATCGTATATAATAAAACATCCAAATATGAAACAGATGTGACAGACTCTGTGCTGTATTTTATTTCAAGTTTATTTCAAGTTCTTTGGGATGCATCTTTATTGAATCAATATATGAAGGAAAGCGATAATATATCGTCAATACATGCACTCTTCCGAAAATAATTATTTCTTGACATAATTTAGAAAATAAATAAAAAAGAATATATAATTAAGGATTGTTGTGTTCGCATTAACCAGGTACTTAGGAGTAATAATTAAGCATCCTTGCCAACTGGCCACGCCTACTGTGTGATCGGTATGTATTGATCAGAAGACGGAACACTCCCTATAAAATCAGTATAAAAATAAAATCAGTATAAAAATCAAAGGCCGAACAATTAGTATAAAACAAGGCAGCCAAAATTCTACCCAATGAATTAAAAAGTTACAATATTGCAGTGCAAACAAGGTCATGATAACGACCACGGAATTTACAATTGGTGGGTTTAGACGAGACTGAAGTACTGTAACTTCAACTTCTCTGTCAGTAGCCGACCTCGATTAAAAAATTCATCAAACTTGAAAAATACTCTTTAGGGGCCTATTATTGAATAAGTTGAGAGATCTAAGCACTATATTCATATAACCACGTGTACAGCTCAATACACTTTTTAAACTCGCATGATTTTTCGCACAAATTAAGGCCACATTGTTATAATGTAAAATTGTGTAACATGACAACAAAATATATTTTAAAAATGATTTATAACTTAATTTTGATCATATTCCATCACTTTAAACATAATTCTCACACATAATAATTGGTAGGATTTTTATATTCTCTTGGATGATATATTATGAGAGTTTCCGAATCTTTTTTTTCATATTTTCTCGTCAAATGCAACCATCTTTGTATCCGTTCATTTTAAAGCATACTTTTGCCTTGCCTTAATACAGAAACAGTGCAGTTAATGTAATCTCATTTTTATACCCCCCGCTTGAAAAGCGGGAGGGTATATAATAATCGTTAATTCCGTCCGTCTGTACGTCCGTCCGTCTGTCCGTCCGTACGTCTGTTACGCTTTGGGGTACCCATCTCTTATCCGCAACTCCTCTCATACCACTGAATGAAATTTAATGAAACTTTCACAGAATCTTTATTACATATTGCCATTGTGCACCTCCTATTTTACTTTTTGATCTGACATATATTTTGGATATTCCAGAGCAAAACATGGACACTGCCATTTTATTCATATGGGAGGCGGGGGATATCATTTAGTGAGCTCATTGCTCACAGTACCTCTAGTTTTCTTTACATTAATATGACACTAAAGCGCAAGATGGAAGAAGTATTTAACATCCTGTTCGACTGGTTTCCATGTTAAAAGATGGCATTTTTTCAGGTCCTGAAATCTAGCATCATGAAAGATACCTTCCAACACAAAATTTTAAAGTTTCAGAGCATAAATTTAAAAGAATTTTCTTTTCAATATTTACAATTTACTATGTTGAAAGATAAACAATACTTTATTATCCTATCCTTTCACATGGTTTCTTTATGCAGTTTTGTCATTTTTCGGCGCAGCATTTCTACAAAACCAAGAGAAGTATGATAAATGTGCAAAGAACCTAGAAAAATACTCATCTGTAAGAAGTAAATTTGAACATTTCAACCAAAACGTCTCAAAGAAAGTTTGATTAATTAATTTGTAAATACCAATGTTAGAACCATACACATTTATCATCATACAATTTATAAATCAATTCCTTTTAAGAACATTAGCATTTAAAACTTTATGATTTTAGAGAATATGCACCTTAAACGTAAAATATTTAATAATATAAAGATTATTTCTCGTACTGAAACTCGATAATTTTAAGTTTTACTCCAAGAAAAATGTGACTTTAATTTGTGCGAAAATCCATGCGAGTTGAAAAAGTGCGTTGAGCTGTACATATATACAATCATTTGGCCCAGTTCCGGATTTTGATCAGTTCAGAAGAATTTATTAATTTAAGAGCCGACAATTAATAAATTCTAAAGTCTACACATAAATTGATACGTATGGTATGAAGAACTATTTATGAGTGTTTGAAATATATGAAATTTTTTTTTTTTTTTTGGTCTTCAGTTTTGTGCGGTATAGTGCTTGATACAGTTGATATACTTTTACAATGAAACAAATCTGAATCGCTGCGACGCGTATGTCTGCAGAAAAACCTCTGTAAACACGACAATTTTTCACATAAACCTACATTCCAGGTATCATAAGTAAGATTGGTATGTATTTTAACAAACATCAAAAGCTTGTCGAAAATAAATGATTAGAACACTGGAAGAATTTTAGATATCGGAATATTTTCGTGTTGTCATTTTAATATAGTTCTCGATACCCATAATAAACACTGTAATAAGTATCTTCGTTCTCTGTAGTTTTCTTCAATGTAAACGTGGCTCATATTTCCCCTGTTTGAAAATCAGGGGGTATCTAGTGATGGGGTGTCCATACATCTGTCTAATACGCATTTCGGTACCAATCTCTTACCCGAAATTTCTTTTATAGGCCTACCACTGAATGAAATTTAATGAGACTTTCACAGAATTTTTGCTACATAGCCTAGTGGTATTGTGCACCTTAGATTTTCTGTAAGCTTTTGAAATGAAAGTTATCATAATGTAATAGAGTAACAATTTTTTCTGTCCCAATAATCAAAGACTCAAGGGTATATATTTTTGGTCAGTCCGTCTGTTTAGTGTCTGTCTGTTAATCTATCTGATAATCTGTTTGTCTACAAAAACTTTATTTAATCTTGTCTGTTTGAATGCTTGATTCTAGGGTTTCAATAACTCACAAGTGTTTTCTTTGTAACAAGACTTTTCCTTGGGTAACTAACCCCAAGAAAAGTTTCTACAGAATTGAACAGGGACTGAAAAATGATTAAGAAATGAGAATGCCTCTGTACATATACCGTGAAATCACAAATTTTCATGGGGGTTTAATTTTTGTTGTTTTCAAGGTATGACGAGACCCACGAATTCATGTCCACCACGAAATGTAAAATGTTACATACATAAGTACTCATTAATTCTCGATCCACGAAATCAAATCCCCAAGAACTAAGAGATTTTCCTCAAACCACGAAATTTGACCCGGCCCACAAAAATATGTGATTTTAAAGTATGCAATTTTAATAATCACAACACATTATTAATTTTTGTTAGAAATCATTTATTTTCATAATCTTTAGGACAATCTGAAAAATTAATCAAATTTTACACGTTTTCTTTCAATTCTAAAATGTTTTTCATTTTGAATATAAATGAAACCATTTCTTGACAAAGGACAAAAACTGAAATAAAATTCCCTGGTTTGTTTCCACAATATATGTATAATGCCTAAAAAAAATTGGACACATTTATTTTGTACTTTTTGAATATGTTGATAAGGACACCCCCTGCCCCCAAATGATATTGCAAAATACATCATTATAAATGAATGGACTTGGCTATTAAAATTGTAACAAATTTTAGCGATAAATTTTAAAATTTTTTGAACTAGGTTTGGAGGATGCATTGTATTAATTAGTATACATTTAAAGAAACATGATAGGAACAACAAAAGAAGCATAACAATTGAAAAACAACAAAATAATCCAATGCCCTAAAAGTAATAACTGCTCTCATAAAAATTAAACTGTAAAATGATATCATAAATTTACTGGAAATGTAAATCAAGAGAAAGATATTCTTAAACTAACATCCCAATAGATAGACAACTGTTTGATCCACCAAAAAAAACCCCATACGCTTCACCTATACAAATTCTTTAAGAAAATAATGATCAATTTTAAAATTAGGGACAAAAACTGATTCAGAACAATTGAAGACTGGTTGGAATGAACAACTAGTAATACAGGGGTCCCTGACTCCCCCATAGAATTACAAATACATTTTGTAAAAGGTCAAACTGTAATACTCCAGTATCCTTTTGATAAATATAAACAGTCACACTCAAAAAAAAATTATATTGTGACAACCCCACCAACCCTTTTTAGCCTTAGTATAAGTACATATTTTTCTACGACAGCTGTCTGGACATTATCATTTCCCCAATACATATGTATGTCATTTAAAGTAATTTGAAAGCAATCAATATAGCCAAAACAAAAGAAATAAAAGTGACCAATGAATAATACAATACATGTATTACAATGTTAGCAAAAATGAATTTATCGAAGGTTTGTCTCCCAACCATACATTTTGTTAAATCTTTAAAATAATCCAATTCTTGTTCTTCCAAACATTTTTTCACTTGCTTATTCAAGTGAATTTCTTTTATGAGATTTCAGCTTAATAACCAAAAATGCACCCTTTGAATGTTACGAGCAATTAGCACCACTCATAGACAACTACAACCTGACAACATTCAATGCTTCACCATTTCTCTATAGAATGAAATGCTGAATTGCACATTTGTTTGCAAATTACAATGCAAGCTAACATACCATATGATGTTAACTGGTCAACAGATACACTGTATACAGTATATATTCTGAAATACAAACCAAATGACTGCTAGGTTTAAATCTTTTTGCGAGTGTAACTTTAAAGATGGTGCAATTTGCGATTTACAGAAAATCACACAACAGAAATAACATTTTATGTACCGGGTAAAAGAAAATTTTTAGAAATACAATTTGGCATTTGAAAAATAAAACAATATTATACTGTAGTACTTGTTCAAGAATTGTACAAAAACGTACTCTTTAAAATGATCATATTGGAAATAATTTAAATTCTCAATTTTGTTCATCCTTTTTTTTGACAAAATTAAGTTTTTCTCAGCAAGGAAAATGCTTACTGTAAATCACTTTTTATTAACGAGAACTTAATTTTCGCGTAATTATGCGAGACAGTGTGCTCGCGAAAATTTAATTCTCGCGTATAATAGTATTCCTTAAAAATATATAGAGCAATAACCACAATTTGCGAAAATTTTGTCTCGCTAACCCAGAGTCAATGACTATCTTGCGAAAATAAGGTGTCGCGAAAATTAAGTGATCTACAGTACTTATTTGTTAAATTCCAAGATATCTTGCTTGAAAATATAAACAAAACAAAGCAAATTACTGTAAATACAGTGTATTACAATCATGTTGTTGTAATGCAAAACGGCCAGTTTCCTGTAATAACAACATTTTAAAATGTTTTTATTCCTTTTCATTAAATCAAATTAAATTATCAGAACCAATACACTTACTAAACCATTGTTCAGACTTTAATGACAAATGGGATATTGAAACACAATGCTCCTAGAACTGGCAAAATCTTATAGGGAAAAATTTCTGATGACCTTTAACTTAGTAGGACCTTGACTTTCTTCTCTAACAATAAAGAAGTCTCCAATTCATTTTCATTCAACTTTTAAAGCTAAGGACAAGGAAAGACCGACAAATGGACAAAACAAAAACATACATAACCTCAATCCTTCATATCTTAGGAATCAAGAGGTTAAAAGAACATTTTCAAATACTTCCCTAAATTACAAATACTTTCTGTTCTAAAATTGATTTCCACAACATAATTATACACAGACAACATTTCAGTGTTGGTTAAATCTCCCTCCTTTAAGAAAAAACTCCCTTCTGCCTTTCTACCCGAAAAATTGCAAGAAAAATTTATAAAATGCTATCATAGTATTGGAACCCTGAAAGATTTTAACCACATGAAAGATTTAAGATTTTTTTGGATATGAAAGTTTGAGGAAAACAAAAGCTGCCCCCAACCCCTCACCCAATTAAAAAAAAAGGAATAACCTCTCTCTTTTGATACCAGAACTTGTGTACTGTGTGTTTCTTTATGTAAACCACAACAAATACTCAGCTAAACACTCTCCTTGATTGACCACAATCAACATACTGTGTCACTGACCACTCCTACAACATCATCATGTACTGCACATATCACTCATAAGACAAAGAACTGTTTTATAAACAGTTCCACATACAAACATTCAATTGCTTTCATTCTTCATTCACAAACATATACTTACATACAAATACAACCACAGAATTCTCTTTTTTTCTTTCTAAATGGCAAGAAAAACAAGAAAATAAAAGTAAATATAAGTTATATAACAGCCATTTCCTTATATGTTAATGGAATGACTATCAACAAGAAAAACAAAATTTACTCACATTTACTTAAATACCTAGAAAACTCACCGAGCAGGGTCCAACAATAGCAAACACAGACAGACAAACACACACACAGCTAAATACTGAAGGAAAACTCTACATGATTTCTCAAATTACTAACACAATAGGAAAGGATAAGACCATTCAAAGTCTTTATGAACAAAAGTCCCTTCACCAACTGTGTCAAATCACTTCTGTTGTTGGTAACTTCTGATACATGAGCCTTTAATTGTTGACATGAAATACATGAGTACTAGAGACTACACTATAAATAGACTGTAAAAAAGTCCTATAATCTTACAACACAGACATACAGACTACAATCATGACACTCACTTCACAGACTTACATTCTACTCACATCAAACTGACTGAACAGTGATTTTACAAATCAGGAATGAGAAATGCTAATGGCAAATGATTCTTGATATAAAGCAAATAACTGTTTACAGTGTAGCACCCATTTACTTTACAATATTTGCCCATGATTTCCATTGCAACAATAATTTTCTAATAACTTGTAAAATTCTCAAGTTATACAAAAAATACAGCCATATTCAAGATTTGGACATTTAACTGTTCCAAGTAAACTATTTAGTAATGTACATGTATCTTGTATGAAATGCATGTTATCTCTCTTTCTCTTTTTAGGTTAAAGGGATAAGCCAAAATAATTTAAACTGTTTTAAAATATAGACCCGCATTCTCCTCACATGATTTTTAAAAAAATAGTTGTCTTATACTTCATGTTCCTTACATTTCACAAACTTCATAACTCGTATAATATTTACATCAACAAACTGGAAGCTATTGATTGAAGTGAATAATTTTCTTTGAGTGAAATTATTTTTTGGTACAAAACAAACTCTTTCTAGGTCTTTAAATGAAGTAAGTTTAAAATGTCTTTAAACAATTTTGTAATCTGTTAAAGGTTTGTATAGCTCATCATTCTCATTTGCAGAGTTATAGTTCCTTCCTCTCTCAAACATTTCTGTAATCGACTTGTATCAAGATTTTTGACAGAAAGTAAAATAGATGATATCCCTAAGATTGAATTATATTAAATAAATCAGTCTAGATCTACTTGTAAATATCAACCTTAAAGAACAAACATTAGAGTAAAGATTGTAGTATAATGAATGAAAACAAATTTTAATCACTGATATAAATAAGGAGCTGGTGATAGGTATGAGGCTATGAGCCAATGGAAAAGTATTCCCCTGTATTTGATACAGTATTTCAACATAAGAATCATACACTGTACTGACTGAAATATGGCAAATACTAGCATAAATTAAAATTGGACAATAACTTCCAAGAACTCAAAACCTAGAAAATGACCCTGTATTTGGTTATGCTTGATAAGACCTCTATATCAACTCATATATAATGAAAGCACCGAATTAATATGGAGAGTAAATGGACCACAAACCATGGCAACGTACAAAGCACTTAAAAATATCAAATAGCTACCTCAAATCATGCCAACAAAATAAGGATAAGACATGTAGTTATAGGGAATAAGTTGTAAAATAAGAGAGCCACTTTTTTTAAAGAAAATCATTTACAAGGAAGGTGAAAACCTTGGATATCTTAATACACTGGGGAAAAAAATCAGATGAAAGCAATCTCAGTGGGTGACATAAATGAACACAGCAATTGTGACTTTAACAAAATTGTGCAAGTCAAGTTATAATGTTAAAAAAAAAAATAATCATATATACCAAATACACTTGGTACAAACTGCAAAAAGCATATAAATCTTTCAAACAAAAATAAATAACATCTCTCCACAACATATTGATTTTCTAATTAAAATTATGACACCATATTCTGAGATCACATCTGTCTATATCTTTTACATTATCAACCTTATATGAAATTGTTCTCCATATACACAGGATATGCAAGTGTCAATAAAAATAATACTGAAAACCTTATGAGCAACCTATAATTTAAGCACTTGACAAAAATGACACTCTTGTGTTACAATATAATAAAAACCCAATGATCAGGAATTGCACTTTAAAGCAGCCAGAGAGAAAAAAAAATGCAATCTCATTTCACAGATATAAAATTTTGTATTTGTCCTGATCACAACGAACAACAACAATGAAATAAAGCACTATCTGCTACTGATAAAAATTGTTCATGGATTCTGGTGAATTTGAAATCCTGGTCACATGACTGAGTTGAAATCCTGGTCAAATGACTGAGTTGAAATCCTGGTCATATGACTGAATTGAGGTCCTGGTCACATGATTGAATAGGCAATCCTTTGGCTTTCTGGGACTCTATAGTGGGTCTTTAAAATGCTATGTCTTGTGGGATAACTTTAAACTGTTGAGATAGGCTTGATGTATACTGTCTATAAAACTGGAATCATTCTGGAAAATCCAAAACAAAATTATAGATGACAAATTTGTCATATTTTGTAGATATAATACCGTAAGTATAATTTTTAGCGAGGTTTTAATTTTGGCATTATTAGCGAGGGTGCCGAGATCGCTAAAATTGAATACCGCTAAATATTAATTGTGTTTTATTTGTAATAGCTTCTTTAATGTGCATTTTAAAATCGCTAAAATAACATCTCGCTAAAAATAATTTTACCAGTTTTTAAGGACAAATCACAAAATTTGCGTCCAGCTAAAATTTCCACTTTTACGGTATGATGAAATATTAATGGAATGTACAACCATCAGACAGAGATAATTCATGTTTGTATGCCTTTTAACTGTGCTAAGGACCTAGTATAATGTGATTGTAAGAGCTAACCTTGATTAGATGTACGAGGGCTTGCTGTAGTTGTTCTCTAGTAAGGGCAGCTATTGGTAGGTCATCTGACGAGTCCTGAGTTGTAACTGAAACAAAAAACAAAATATTTACAAAATTTCCTGCTGTATTTATTCTTATCTCAAAACTTAAATAATTTTTTCAAAAAAAAACAAACCAAACACGGGAAATGAAAGTTAGAACTAAGATATCAGGACTATGCAATATGAATGAAGCCTCAGGTTGAACTTCTATTACTTACATCTATTACTTACATGATAGTGTGGTGGCAGGGGAGCCTGCTTTGGGGGACTGAGTGAATGCCATGGGGGTCAGTAAAACATCGGGATTCTGAGGCAGTAACCGAGATAAACCAGAGGTCTGAAATATACATCAAACACTCAATAACAAAAGCCACTCAATAACTGAATTACATATACTTTACATGAAAATTCCTATGCTTAATAAACTTTTCTTGTGGAATCTTTTAATAAAAAGTATTCTTATTAAGCATGCTGTTTAATAAAATATTCTTGTGCAAGCTTTAATTAAAACTCTCATGAAACAGAAGTTTTTCCACACAAGATGGACTGTACTTTGTAAAATTAACTAATGATTTGTATATTCTGTATACCACATCTGCACTGAGGGACATTGAGGTCTGTAATGCTGCCGGTGTCAGTAGACTCTCCGCCCCCTCCGTCTGTACGCTGGGGGACTTCCTCCTCCCTTTATCCTCCCCACCTTCTGCCTCTTTTTCATTTGTTTTCAAATAAGGTGAAAGATCATACTTTGTGGGAGCTGCCTTGTTCTCCCTCTCTTTGTTAGGTGGTGATACTCTTTGGTCTGACTTGAAGTTTTGTGGGAGGGTCTGGAGTGAGGGGGCTGAGGGGGGTTTAGGGGGGACGTCCCGGTGTTGCTGCCTTTCTATGTCTTCCACCATTGAACCACTTGACATGATGTGACGCAATAAGTCTTGAGATTTAGAGTCCCCCTCTGTCATAGACATAGACCTGAAATAAATTAAGTATAAACATTTTTAAAAAATATAACCTTAGATTGCAAACAAAATATACCGTATAAGTAGAATTTTTATCGAGGATTTAATTTTGGCATTATTAGCGAGGGTGCTGACATCGCTAAAAATTAATTGCGTATTATTTGTAATAGATTCTTTTGTTAGCATTTTAAAATCGCTAAAATTGTGTCTCACTAAAAATAAAATACCAGTTCTTAGGCAGAAATCGCTAAAATTGTGTCTCACTAAAATTTCCACTTATATGGTACATAGAAAAATTATGAGAATTCAATCAAGGAAGACACACATATATTCTGTATATTTGACTTCAATCTTAGTGACCAGCTGACCTGTGAAATGGCTGTAGGCAGGGCTTACTGACCTGTGAAATGGCTGTGGGCAGAGCTAACTAACCTGGGAATGGCTATGGGCGGGGCTAACTACTTGTGATATGACTGTGGGCAGGGCTAATTGACCTGCAAAATTGCTGTGGCCAGGGCTAACTGACCTGTAAATTGACTGTGGGCAGGGCTACTTCTTGTGAAATGACTGGGTGGTGCTTACTGACCTGTGAAATGGCTGTGGGCAGGGCTAACTACTTGTGAAATGACTTGGCAGAGCTAACCGACCTGTGAAATAGTGGTTTGGCGGAGCTAACTACTTGTGAAATGACTGTGGGCAGGGCTAACTGACCTGTAAATTGCTATGAGCAGAGCTTACTGACCTGTGAAATGGCTGATTGGCTGTAGGCAGGGTTTACTGACCTGTGGAATGGCTGTGGGCAGGGCTAACTGACCTGTGAAATTAATGTGGGCAGGACTAACTGACCTGTGAAATGGCCGTGGGCATGGCTAACTGACCTGTGAAATGGCTGTGGGTGGGGCTTACTGACCTGTGAAATGGCTATGGGCATGGCTAACTGACCTCTGAAATGGATGTGGGCAGGGCTGACCTGTGAAATGGATGTGGGCAGGGCTGACCTGTGAAATGGCTGTGGGAAGGGCTGACCTGTGAAATGGCTATGGGCAGGGCAGGGTTGACCTGTGAAATGGATGTGGGCAGGGCTAACTGACCTATGAAATGGCTATGGGCAGGGCTAACTGACCTCTGAAATGGCTGTGGGCAGGGCTGACTGACCTGTAAAATGGCTGTGGGTGGGGCTGACTGACCTGTGAAATGGCTGCGGGCGGGGTTGATCTTGTCTGTTACCACTCTGCTGCTGTAGACTAGCATTCCTGAACAAAGTTTCTAGACTGATGGGTGCTGTTCCTGCACCTGTGGCAGGGGCAGTGGCAGGGGGCACTGATGAAGCCTTAGTCCTATCCGGCTCCCCTCCACCTGGTAAAGAACAGCAACAATGATTTTTTCGTCATAAAAAGAAAATCATTAAAACAGTAAAACACTTACCATTCAAAAGTTAAAGTATTTGCAAGCTAAAAAACATAGGTAATCAAAGATTACGAAGCTCACCTAGACGAATGTTATCAGTTTAAGTAATGCAAATCTCACATCATATTTTCTTAACAGTTAGTATTTATCCTGAAAACAATATTCAAGGAAGTTCAGGTCTTAAAGTTCATTGGGGATTAATCTGTTCCAAAAACTTTAATCTGGTCACTCGTTTGGAAAATGTAGGTCAGATCGAGCACCCGAAGCAAGTTTCAATTGTCTATCCTTAGACAAATCATCCATGCAAGTTTGGTCCGGGTAGGGCTTATAGTTTATTGGGATTAACCTAGTCACTCCTCTGGAAAATGTAGGTCAGATCCATTATCCGAAGCAAGTCTGGTAGTGTCCATCCCTAGATGCATCATCCATGCCAGTTTGGTCTGGGTAGGGCTTATAGTTACTCTAGAGAAAAACTTTAACCTGGTCACTCATGCCTGGAAAATGTAGGTCAGATCCAGCATCCGAAGCAAGTGTATATGTCCATCCCTAGATGCATCATCCATGCAAGTTTATGTCCGGGTAGGGCTTATAGTTACTTTGGAATGGACCTGCTCCAAAAACTTTAACCTGGTCACTTATCTGGAAAATGTAGGTCAGATCCAGCATCCGAAGCAAGTCTGGTAGTGTCTATCCCTAGATGCATCATCCATGCAAGTTTAGTCACGTAGGGCTTATAGTTACTTGGTCCATCCCTAGATGCATCATCCATGCACATTTGGTCCAGGTAGGGCTTATGGTTACTTTGGAATGGACCTGCTCCTAAAACTTTAACTGGGACGCCGACACCGACGCCAAGGGTATAGCATAAGCTCATCTCGACTTTTTCGAGGTGAGCTAAAAAGCAGACAGAAGGAAAGATAAAAAATTACTCTCTTGAATCAATGGTTAGGGCCATAGTGGGGCACAATAATTCTTACCTTCATCATTAACTTCAGCCATCTTGAGAGGTGTGGGTCTGAGTAAGTTTGTAGCCTTCGTCGCTGAAGCATTGGGGTTATCTATCAAGGGTTTGGGATCCCTTGCCTTTGGTAAACTACTGCTGCTGCATTTAGACTGGAAGGTATGAAAATAACTAAGGACCTTTTAACAGGACAGCCCAAACAACTAGAACTGTCCAAACGGGACAAAATACCCCCCGCTGGGTTTTTCAGAAGTAAGTTTTTCCATAATAAAAATATGTATCAGACACCAATTATGAAATTTTTATTCCAGTGACCTTGAACTTCCCCAGATAATCTTGGGTCAAGGTCATGACACACCCTTGGGTCATGGGCAATCTTTCAGTGAAATGAGAACCTACCAAGTTTATCCATAAGAAAGATATGGACCGGACACGAATTAATATTTTCTTCCAGTGACCTTAACTACCCCAAATGACCTTGGGTCAAGGTCATGACACACCCTTGGGTCAAAACAATCTTTCAGTGAAATGAGAACCTACCAAGTTTATCCATAAGCAAGATCTCACATCATAATTTTTTCTTCCAGTGACCTTGAACTACCCAAAATGACCTTGGGTCAAGGTCATGACACACCCTTGGGTCATGGGCAATCTTTGTGTGAAATGAGAATCTACCAAGTTTATCCATAAGAAAGATATGGACCGGACACGAATTATGATATTTTTCTTCCAGTGACCATGAACTTCCCCAAATGACCTTGGGTCAAGGTCATGACACACCCTTGGGTCATGGGCAATCTTTGTGTGAAATAAAAACCTACCAAGTTTATCCATAAGAAAAATGGACCGGACAGGAATTATGAAAATTTTCTTCCAGTGACCTTGAACTTTCCAAATTGACCTTGGGTCAAGGTCATGACACATCCTTGGGTCATGGGCAATCTTTGTGTGAAAAGAACCTACCAAGGTTATCTATATAAGATATGTATCAAACATGATTTTTGAAAATTTTCTTCCAGTGACCTTGAACTTTCTCAAATGACCTTGGGTCAAGGTCATGACACACCCAAGTTTGGTCATGGGCAATCTTTGTGTGAAATGGACCTACCAAGTTTATCAATAAAAAGATATGGACCGGACACGAATTATGAAATTTTTCTTCCAGTGACCTTGAACTTCCCCAAATGACCTTGGGTCAAGGTCATGACACACCCTTAGGTCATGAGCAATCTTAGTGTGGAGTAATAATTCTAATGTCCATCATGTAAGAAAGATATGAGAGGTGACACGATTGCAGTAAGTTTGTAGACAGACGGAGCATTGGACGGACTATCAAGGGACAGACAGATCCCTTGCCAGTAAACTACTGCTGCTGCATTTAGACTGGAAGGTATGAAAATAACAAAGGACCTTTTAAAAAGACAGCCCAAACAAAAGGTTCATGGAGTACAGTGTTCACCCGATCAATTAAACATTTACATGTACATGTCTTTTGGGAAATTAATAATGCTTGTAGCATACCTTTGCAGCAATTTTATTTTTGATAATTTTACAAGATTTCAAAACCATGAAAAAGAAATTTTTTGAGATTATATAATAAACAGAACAGAAAGTGAGGTCTCTTCTGTCAGTTCAGAAACACTTTAGGTACAACTTAACTTACCTTGTCATATTCGTGCTGAGCTTTAGACAACATCTGTAAAATGTCTACATTTTTCGGTAAACTTTCTTCTTTTTCCAACATGCTGTCTGACTCTGAAGCTCTTCGTTGTCTCATGTCAGATTTCGCTCGATGGTAATCAATCGCCAACTGCAATAGACTGAAGAAAAACAAACCCATCTATAAAAAAAGTTTCATCAATTTTGCATGTGATCAAATGTTTGAAGTTTAATGCAAAAAGTGCAATTGATTTTCAATATTACTTTCCACTCTCCAATCAATGTGCAGATATATATTTTGAGATAAATGTGCAGGAAAGATATTGATCATTAGCAAATTAAACAAAATTCCACTTGCTTTCAATTACATGTGCACAGGGTAAACTTTTTATTCATACAGATTGTAATATTAGCTGAAAATTTAAATAAAACCATTAGTCTAACTGGGGTCTAAACCAAACTATGAGAAGCATTTACCGGGTAATTCATGTACAGTGTACTTTATATCTGACATAAGTCTATAATTAGAGCTAACAATTACATTTGGGAATTCAGCTAATAAAATGATCCCTTCAGTATTAATTTTTAAGAAGGACAACTAGCCACCCTGCACATTGTAGGGTGTAATGATCAATGTCAAAGGACATGTTGTATACAGACACGATGAGTGAATAACCCTAAAATACCAATCTTCTTAGTTCAGGCCCTACATGTAGGATGGGGCTTAGTTGGGCATACAAGGAAATACATAACATTCTCTTAAAATCTTCTTGAAAATTATAGGGGTGGATGTACTGTGAACGTGAGAACTTTGACAATGTGAAATCATGGACAAAATCACAGATTCCTAATTATCAAAATTTACACTCGTCAACTTTCACATTCCTGTACAACAGCATTGTGTGTTAAATACTGGTAGATTGTAAAAGTTTCAACTTGTCATCTTTCTAATATACTGAAATCATCAAACTTTCATCCCTTCAATATACTGTTAACCACTTTACAGTATCTTGTAGATCTTTTGCAACTCAACACTACAAATTCAATTGAGAGTGTTCATTTTTTCCCTTGCTCTATAAATTCTCATGAAAATATATGAACTGTTAGCAATTACTCTTAATGATTTCTTATTTAATCAATGCTTCATAATAGACCTGTCAATGCTTGAGGTAAACATCCTCTAATTTAGACACCATTGTTTAGTGGTCAGAGGTAACTGTCTTCCAACAGACAGCAGGGTTAAGTCTTCACAACAATAATCACTATGGCAAGTTGGGTGTTAAATATTTATTTTTTTTTAATAACATTTAAGGAACTGCTGTCTAGTTTGTTAGGTATGCAAGAGTTTTAAGGACGGTTGGAAAATATGCATAACCAATGAATAACCTCACCCAATTTTTGCTTTTTCCTCCTTCCTCCTAGAAGGACATAACCCTTTACTTGATCAATTATGAAACCCCTTTATCCAAGGATAATTTATGCCAAGTTTGGTTAAATTGGCCAAATAGCTCTAGAGAAGAAAAAAAATGTGTCAAGTTTACAGAAGCTAGACAATGGGTGATCCGAAAATCTCACTTTAGCTTACAGCTCAGGTCAGCTGTTTAATTTTCTTATTAATTGTGAACAATTCTGTAATATGATTTTTTGCTGCGCCAGCTTTGCTGCATGTTTTGACAGAAAACACTCAGATTCTGCCAGATCTTGCAGCAGCACATGTGGAACATCTGTTTTTCATGTGTCGCTTTTCTTCAATGAGAGTCAGAAAGAATAATGAAAAATATTTTTTTTATTCATAACATCAGAGGCGGATTTAAGGGGAGCACATCCCTACACCCCTCAAATTGTCGAAGTTAGCATAAAACATAGTTTCCTTGATACAATGTTAAAAATGTCTACTATAATCCAGGAGCTTCCAAGGGCTTTGCCTTTGGGCCCCCCTGCCTATTTTTTGCCCCCCCTCCCACCAACTTCAATTCCTGGAGTCGCACCTGAACATACATGCATATTTAAAAAATTATACTTTATCTACAAGCTTTCTCCTTTTTACAGATATGAGATCATATCAATTTTTGAGCAAGAAATGAGATATAGATATAATTTTTCCAAAAAGTCTATCATAAATATTATTTTTCTTATCTTTAAAAATAAAACCACCAAAAGTCTTCTTTTCTCATCAAAAATATTTCCTTGGTAAACAGGTTACAGGAGAAAACTACATCATTTGGCTGTTTGACAGTTTCACTTATATAACCATTTCTTAAAAACCATTTATCTGCATTACATTGCAGATATTTCTGCTTCTTGTTAGAACAGGATTTTTTAAGCTCAATTTCTTCATGTAAATTAATGTAGTTTTTCATAATTTATATCCAGTTTTCTTGATTAAACAAATTCCTTCAAACACCTACAGACAATTTTTTTTTAGAGCTGGTATCAAAACGATCTATCTGCTCAGAACACATATATAAGCATATGTTGTGCAGACAAGGTTTCCGATAGTGAAGACACTAATTACTCAGCCCGATTACGTCATGATAACACAGACACTGGTCCCGAAACTCTCACCTACCTATTCATTAACTGTCCAATCCGAGCGCACTCATCTTTATCATAGAACCAAATGCCATAGATCGCTGAAAACAAAAATAAAATATCATGAGTTTCTAAAACATTAGTACTTATTTCACGTACTTTTAAGATCTTGCTGAAATCGACTAAAATACTTTCAATGAGTTACCCAGCAGGATAATTACATATCAAGGAGGTGGGAAAATAATGCTTCTTTATGGCGTCAGCAAGTTTTCTGGGTAATTCATGACGAAAATCAGATATCTTCTTAACAGATAAAATATCATATAATTATGTAACCAATAGAGATGCCACTGCAGACCAATGAAAAACTATCATTCAGTACGTGTTGGACTAGTAGTGAAGTTTTTATTAATCGTTTTGGACCTGTTAATTGAAATGAAATACTTTTAAATGAAACCTTTTGAGGACTATTTCATAAATTATACTTTGAAACCAATTGAACACTATTTCCTGGAAATTGAGGATAAAATTGTGATTCAATTTTCTTTGATTTAAAATAACGACATACAATGGAAATTTAGTAAATAACATTGTGTACACAGTTCCTGAGGCTCTATGATAGACGTGTATCAGTTTCGGCTGTAAGCTGGGTGGTCAGGTGGTCAGTGATTTACTAGTCTATACAGTATCTTATCACAACAGATGGGTTTCATTCTTATCACAGAGATAGAGATTAGATTGAAAAAAGACACCTGCCTACCTATCATCATCACATGTCACTAGTCAAAATAACATGTTCAGCAAAACTTTGAATTTGGTTCTAGTAAAATAAAATTTTTTATGTATTTTGGAGAAACTACATGCAACTTTAATAAGTGTTTTTTGGGTAGCTTTACTTATTTTATTTGTAGTTTTCATGTTATGGATGACCTTGAACTTTGATTAATTGATTATTTAATGTTTTACATCCAAATTTTTTTCTCCTAAAGAGACATCACCAGATCTGGTGATAGACTTTAAGGAGGCTGGGCGGTCAACAAATTAACCACAAATTAACCACCAGATTTAACTTATTTTTTTAGATTCGGTATCTTAAGCTGTCAACTATCATTTGGCAAAGAAAAAATTCCTACATTTTAGTTTTAGAATTTGATCATTTTTGTATATCTTTATATGGAGCTCTTCTTTTAAAGGAGATCGAAATAGTCTAAAAATGGCTGCCACCCCCCAGCCTCTTTAAATGTAGATCTTAGTTTGCTCAGCACTCAGTGGCAATGACTACAGTGACACGGAATATACAATGAAGCACATTGAAGTCACTGTGATAAAATTTTTTGTTTGTGTGGAAAGTAAATTTGGGTGTTTCCAATTGAAATTCATTTGTTATATAATGACATGCCTATTTCTTTAGAAACGACAAAGAAAAATGCTTTAGTATACCCTACTCTTTGCAACTAGCAACATGAGTTACACTAAAATGGAGATTTTTAAAGTTATAAGAAAGAGTTGGAGAGTCACCGCTTCTGTGAAAAAAATGCATTGCAACGAATTTCTACATAAAGTTTGAATTTATCATGTTTATTGGAGTTACTAAAACATGTATCGGTGGAACACATGCTTACTAAGTGCTTATATCAACCGTTAATTGGCTATTATATTTATGAAATACCTGTTCCAGATATTCGAATGAACCATTTGACCCATTTTTTTTCTTTCTAAAGAAATGGGTGTGTCATTATATGACAATCAATCTAAAAATAGCTCAAAATGTTCCATTCAAATGGAAAACTTCAGCACTTGTGTTCTTCATTTTATGCTATAAACTGAAAAAATGTCCCCTCTCTGTCCACTTATCCTTTACCTTGGTTTTGTCAAACAGTGAAAACTCACGATACAATTTGTCGGAAACCCAAGGTCAATCTTGCATACACTTACAATGTATATTCAATAATAGAAGGCAAAATTGTCCGTAGGCTTCCGAAAAGGGATATAATTGATGTATATAATAAAAAAAAAATAGAATATTATACAGGAATATCTTTTTTTCAAGGCAAAAGGAAAAAAAGAGGCTTTAACTAGAAGGGCAACAAGTCAAAAGCTGTAGAAAGTTTATAAAGAAAACAAACTCAAAACTCTAATGATCTTTGCCCTTCGATAAAAAATAAAGAAGATTCCGTCTTGTATATCTGTTAGCTGACTGACACATTGGCTCCAATCACTGACCTTTGGTATTGCGATACAGAAGGAAGGGGTCCTGGAGCTGGAATTCCAAATCTTTTGTGATAGGCTCTATCAGGTTGTTCAACCCCAGCCGGTTCAGAATCATGAAGCCGTTGTTTGGAGAAGCCGACCTGTGACAGAAAAAGAAAGCAAACTGAAACAGCTCCCTCTCCAAGACAAGTGGGTTCAGCCACACAACACAAAGCAGACCCTGTGTTTCCCCTGTGTTCATATGGAGGGTTTATTAAGTGAAACAAACTCAAACTCTTTGCAATTGTCATAAAAACAAGGAAGTTTTTCTTTCATATTTTTTCCCCAGGGTTTCATTTTCATTTTAAGGAATTCGATCAAGGATGTTTTTTGTTTTGTTTTCTTAACAATCACTTATTTTTAGTGAGTGTGGGGGATTACACTTTTGGTAGATTGAAGAGACTCAATAATTCATATTGAGTCAAAATGTAAAATTTCAAAACAGGTAGCATTTGAACACTTAAATTCCCATGATCTGAGTCTGAAAATATGACCATCCACATTCCTTGCATTAGAATGTTTCTAATTCAGAGTTGTATGACCTCTGTTAACATCTCTTTTGTATGACCTTGACCTTTTGTAAACATCTCCTTTGTGCCAACTATAACCTTCTGAAATTCCTTCAATTTCAAAGTTTAATCATTCAGATTTAATACATGTATTTCAAAAACCTTTAAAAAAATCACATTCTGACTTGTATGACCTTGACCTTGTCTTAAGATCCTTTGTTCCTGACATTCCTGTAGTGATTTTATGAAATCAATCCATTGAAAAATTGAGCTATAGACAAGAATATTACACTTCTATCCTGATGAGTTTAACCTTGTCCAAATGACCACAGCACAGGACTGTTACACATCCTCTGGTCAGAAGCAACCTTTTTTGCCAGTAAAATCTTTAGGTATTCTCTTTTCTCTCCTCTTTGAGTTTGATCCTAGTCAAGAAGGAGAATGACAAGACCTTTATATTTTTAAATTTCTTTGACCTTAGTGAGATTCAGGACATTCCCTCATATCACAAGAAAATTTTTTTTCAAGAGTATGCTTTTATTGTTTCTCTATTTCAAAGTTTCTTGACCTTGTTCAAAATGACCTTGATACAAGGATAAAATACAGCTCTTGACACAGAGTCAATTTTCAAAGTTAATCTGACAAAACAAATGTTCATTCTTCATATGATATCATATCATTCATATCATATTATAATAATATAATGTATGGCCAAAAGAAAAACATTACAACACAGATGGAAATGATAACCCCAATATTTGTTTGCAAAGGTTAATATAAATCAGTAGCAATATGACACAGCTGTTGCCATCATTTCACGGAACCATTTCTGAGTAAGTGGCCACTAAAACAATGGGGCTGCTAGATAAGTCCAGAATGGATTGAAAAGTTAGAATGCTTTTTAAAAAATGGTACTGCTTTTTATCAAAGTAATTTCCATTGGATATAGCGTAACCTTGATCACAAAATAAGTACAATGGTACTCCATCTTGCTAGATAAAAAATTGAAACTAAAGGTCAATGTTCACTAAAAAATCAAACTTCAGAACATTCCACACATAGTGATAACACTGTACTTTCACATATCTTTCATACTTAAATTTTCTGACAGAATGATTCATAAAAAGTTTGATAATAAATATTGTCTGTTTCCAGGTCAATAAGATGATTTATCTACCTGAGGAGTATATATACAATATTTTTTGAGTATTGAGCCCAAAGGGATTATATGTGACCTAAACAGGTTTTATTCTCAAATGTTTGCTTTAGCAAAATGTCAAAAATATACTGTTCGTTAAATCATTAATTTTTATGAGAAATTTATTTTTGTTTTCATACATTTGTATAAAGAAACAATAACAAATTCATGGCCACCACATTTTTAAAAATATAAATATAAAAATTTGAAATGAAGACAAACATAAAACTTCATTTATTGAAAACCATGCATAAAATAAAATCTACAACCCCCCCCCAATTACACTTTTTTAAAACCATTTAATCCATGAAACTAAATGATATATTTTTTGTAATGCACACTTAGGTTGTAAACATTCAAATCAATTTTAACAAAAAATCTTAGCATTTATGCAGACTTTTTCTTGCACACACTTTTTTTCTGTTTATTTAACCCACCATGCTCGCTCTTTTGTACTGTTCAGAGAGTTTTTGTAACTAGCATTGAAAGGAAACAAAAAGTTATTGAATACTGACATCATTTTAGAGATCATGTAGTACAAATATTAAGGCAATTGATTATCTTATCTACTTCAGGAAAAAATTTTCGATCCTTAAATGTGTCTTTCACAAAAATCTCCAGTAGGAAGCAGGTCAAAACCATTGTATTAGGAGGCTCGTAAACAAAACCTGACTGATAATCACCCCCTACCACCAGCAGAAAGTTTTTTTTTGAAATTACGCATTCAACTAAAGAAAAAAAATAATTTTAAAACGAATTAGTCTAGAAACACCTCAAGTACATCTTTGCCTGCGTCTGGTGAATTGAATTTGCCCCCCCAAAAAATCAGGAAATATTTGTGCTGATTAATTGTTTTCCATTTGTCGGAATCCAAAAAAAAAAAAAAACCTGCTTGTGTTATGTAAACTCTTGACTCCCTGAACATTCGATAAGAGCTCAAACTGACAATACTGCAACACAATTTTTCCAATGCAAACATGCAGTTTACATACTTAGGGTTAAAGAGGGGAAGACGGAGAGGAGTCAGTTAGGTTTGTGTGAGTTACAGCTGTTCTACAGCTCCGCTGGTGTCTATACCTACACGCTAATTTACTTCAAAGTCATTTGTCGACTATAGTTATAGTTAGCTGCTCTAGTCTACATAATACTCTGTGTTTCCCTCGACATATATCTGGTAGCTCTGTGTGTGATACATTTCTCAGCTCTTGGAATTTTATTGCCAAATCGCTCAATCAATGGAATCGGACCTCAGAATGTGACACTGACCAGACAGCATGGAGGTTACACGTTGTCTGGCGATCCGCAGGTAAGATCTACCTTGAGGGGTATGCTGTTAATTACCAGGGTTACCATGGCAACCTCTGGCCCTTTGATGGACAGATCACTGTCCCTCTAACATTTCTTGACCTCTCTGTGACCCCAACAAGGGGGTGGAGGTATAAATGGAAAGACAATGCCTTTCCTTTGGTTTTCATGCACTTGCTGCAGATGGCTGTATGTTATGGAGATGGTCAATGATTTTTTGATAGAATTTTTCTGCATTGTAATGTTACATTAACACTTCTTTTTTATAATTTGTAACAGCTGGTGCTGACATGAATGGGGAAAATTTAAGATGTATTGAAAAGTATTTTTTATATAGCAATATAATTGTATCTTCATGCAAAGTAAAATTTTCCAGGTAATGTACGAAAGAATGTAACCATCATACAGAAATGAGAAAATCAACACGTCATGTTTATAAACTAGACATATGCCTGTCTTAATATGCAAGGATTATGGCTTTAGAACTTTTTTTTATTAAACTAAATCCAATAATCTCAGCAAAGGAAAACTCTGAGTTAATTAATGACAGACCACAGAGTGCATGCCTTGTATATAAGTATGAATATTAAACCCGTCACTGCGTGCAGAATTGAGGCGATGCTGCCACTACACATTAGGCTCATTCTCACACTTTGCCAAAGGGGGGACTTCTTACTGGCTGCCTGAGGGGGGCAGGTATTTCCCTCCAGATTCCAAACCCCCTCCAGGAATTTCTGAGTATACAAGTACTACCAAACTTTGTCACTCTGCAGACAAGTGCTTGCCTGAGAGAGAGGTATTGGACATATAGATCCATTATCTTACTGAAGCAATCTGAGGAATTAATTATGGTGAGAAATGAACACATTAAATACAAATCTTCTCTCTTCAATAACTTATACAAATGGATATACGGGATAAATGTGATGCATTAAATGAGTGGGTTATGTCTGGAATTTGTAATTCCATCAAAGACGGTATACCAAAACATTGGACATAATATATATAACTCAAATCTCTTCTCTTGGCAAACACTGTCATTTGCCAAGCAATCAATATATCTACCAATAGTTTTTTGGCTCTTAAATATGACCTCATTTTCTCCTATTCGTCATAGATGAAACATTTACCTGTATTGGTGGAAAAGAACAAAAACACATACTGTGTGTACTGGGGTATAATCTGGCACTCTAGTCAATCGCCTTAATTATTCTTCCAGAACCAAATCACTAGAGAAAATAATAAACCATACCATGTGTTACTGGCTTCTTGGCAGAAGCAGCCCTCTCTTCAGTGCTCCATAATTTCTCGTCTTGCAAAGAGTGTCTATACTTAGTAAACCGGCCTAGCTTTTTACACGTGGAGATGCAGCTGAAGTCTGTCAACATTTGCATTCTTTGCAGCACTTAGCAACAACTGTCAATGCACAACTGTATCAGTCCCATTCTTACCTCAAGAATGTTGCCATATTTTTCTTTTTTTATGAAATAAAAATCTGGTCAAAACATTCTTCTTTCTATATACATGCATTGAGTGAAATTTGATCAATAATAACATTCTTCTTTCTATATACATGCACTGAGTGAAATTTGATCAATAATATAAGCCCCATCCTACCCTAGGATCCATTATTTGAAAAAAAGAGGCCCATAGGCCACAAAAGTCACCTAAGCACTTCGTATTGAAAAGTTTGAAGATAAAGCTGGTTTTGAACTTTGATTTTCTATTGAGCCCTTCCCCCTTCCCCTAAGACATGATTTGAACACCTAAGAAAGCATGTTAATGGCCAATCATGGCACTTCTATACTTCCAAAGATTCCTATATTGTGGTCTCTACTGGGGTCATAACTTGCACGAATTTGGAACCGTCCTTAAGATTTTGTCAGAACAGGGGAATGTGTGGGTGTGACTGTAACACCTCCCCCATAAAATTTCCAGAAATGACTTGAAGATTTGACCAAAATAATAACCCCTTGTAACAATATTTTCCAGCTTAGGGAGAGAGTATCCGTTTGAGACTCTCTTCTGCAGCCATTTTTCTAGAAATCATGTGTCCATGTCATATCCATTCTATATATCAATATATCCATGATTTTTGATCAGGTAAGCTAAAAAGGCTAATATCTTGAAAATTTTCAGTTTCCATTTTTATAAAAACATATTCAAAATGAACATTGAACAATGACATACTGATCTGTATTCCTGACAAGATTTTTAAAACTTTGTTTCATAAATCATGTAAAAAAAAAATGATCAAGTGCTGATCGAGAAATTTGCTATCGAAAACTATTAAAATTGCACAAACCACAGAGAGTTTTACATTCTGTGAATCCGTTTCATTTGCTAAACTGCAGTTTGTGATAAAATTTTGCAATTTTATTGCATTTGTTCATGAATTGAAAAAAGTTCCAAAACCTGGGCAGCTGCAGATTGAATTTTCTCATGTTTACAATAAACTTTTAATTTCTTCACACCAGATACATATGTACTTCTGCGTATGCATGCACTTTTGGATTAAAAACTCGTTTTTCTGACAAGATACGGGAATCAGCTTGAATTAGAAATACATCATTCATAAGAACAATATGGGGGTCAGGCATTCTGATGGGTACAGTACAGCCCCCCTTATAACAGTTGTCTTCTCTCTTATCTGTGACTCCCTGGGAAGAAGCCCATTCTCTGATAATGAACCCTACTGTTCTATCTCCTCAGCCACTCACACTACCAGCACTTACCTCTTATATACAAATAACGATCCCTCAATGGAAGTCTTCTCCTGCAAGAAAATCAAATGAAAAACATTATTCCTTGCATCATAACCTTGTACTTTTCATTGAGTTAAAATCTAGTGCATACCATAGGGATAATGTCATGTGTATGTCACTTTATAATATCCCCCGCCTGAAATGCGGGAGGGTATATAGTAATCGGTATGTTTGTCCGTCCGTCCATCTGTTACGCTTTGGGGTACCCATCTCTTATCCGCAACTCCTCTCATACCACAGAATGAAATTTGATGAAACTTTCACAGAATCTTTATTACATATTGCCATTGTGACCTCCTATTTTACTTTTTGATCCAACACATATTTTGGGTTTGAACTTTTCTATAGCAAAACATGGACACTGCCATTATATTCATATGGGAGGCGGGGGGTATCACTTCGTGAGCTCATTGCTCACAGTACCTCTAGTTTAAATTTGTGTTGTACTCATCAGTCATCACACAAATCTCCGTAATATTTCAGTGACTTTGATCTTCTTGTGTAATTCTTGAGTCATATGTTGAAAGCACATCTTCTGACTGCTTATACAACCCTTGAAGTCATCCATCTGTCTTAATTTTCTGCCAGTGACCTTGAATGTAGCATCTTTTAACAGCCAGTCATACAACAGTTAAAATCATATGGATTTTTGATGTCAAGTATTACTTCCTACGTTTCTCTACCATAAACATATTGAGTGTACTCAAAATAACATATTGATCACATTTTTCTTTCTAAGACCTTGAACTTACCCATATGACCTTGGATAGAGAACAAAGACACCTTCAGATTATGCAAAATCTTTGTGTCTACTAAAGACTTTTTAAAGAAATCAGAAAGAAAAACTTAACCTTTGTATCTCCTTTATGATGTTTAACATTGAATACTTTAGAAATACTCACTTCAAAACAAAATTGGATTATCCTCTCCCTTTTAAGGTCACATTGGGTCATTCAGCAATACGTCAAGGGTCATTTAATACTCAGGTGACCATTAAGGCCCTTGAACCTCTTGTTTTTGGTTTATCAACAAACATAAACAGTTTTAATTAATACCACATCTCTTTTTACCATTGCCACCATTTGGGTCCATTTAAAAAATAAAAGAAACTGAACAGGATGCTTGTATTTGTAAAGTTTTGACTTGCTCTTTAATTGCACCCTTTTCTTCTAAATGTCATGAAATAAACTGTACACCGATGAATATCTATTGTAGTCTGTTAGTTCAGAAAAAGAGGACTGAATCTGGATAACTTGGATTAAATAAATTGTCAGTACAGAATTCAGAATTAGTTTATTATGCCCTACAGTTTGTGAATCCTATTAATAAAACTAGTTAGTATGTACCTATGATATAGTTTAGTTTTGTAAATTTGGATTCTAGCTAGAGTAATTTAACCTCAAACAGGGTGTAGATGCTAAAGTGGTATGAACTTTTTACAAGCTATTATATTTCAAATGGCCAGAATATACACCTGAAACAAGCAAATTACAAGCAACTTGAAAAGAGTAGGTGTTTTACATGTAAAATCTGCAAAGAGCTAAATAGTTTGAAGTGGGTTTTAGAGTGTTTTAAACCGAAAAATTAAGAACAGATCTTATAGACAAAAAATATCGATAGGTTTTAGAAGTCTCTACTGTCAAAAATGCTGATAACTCAATAATAATTCTTTGGAACGATTTGTGTCATTTCAAGTTAAAAGAGTGTCAGGCAATCTCAGACAGTGTAGTGTTTAATTTGGTTAACAAATGCTCTGAAAATTGACAACAGTTATTCAGGAAGCAGTATGGAAACATTAAAACACTCTCAAAGAAAAAAAAAAAATCCAACACCAACATGCAGACAAACAGAAAAAATTAAGGTTATATTCTTCTTGTAGACATACATCACCATGATCATGCCTATTCATAGAACCATTTATTTTTAAAAAGAAACTGTTCATCAATTGACATTTCTGATATACAACTCTGTTTTTGTTTTCGTGAGCTTTAGAGAAAATCTGAATGAATGCGAGTTCCCTGTCTACATCAGATTCAATAGGACTTAAATATCTGATGGATACAGAGCACCTGCTGAAAACATTAGAACTGCATCAATCCCTCAACCAGAATAGACTGGAGAGGAGAGAGAGGGGGCATAAAAAATAGCTCACCGGCTATTTATAAATGTAGTAAACAAGAAATATTAAATTAAAAGAGAAAGCACCAGGATATATTGACATGACAATAACAAGAACTGTCTGTCTGGAAAATCTTTTAACAGATGATATACAGTTAAACTTGTTTAGTACGAAAACGGATATTGTGAATTCACGGATATAGAATTTCTTAAACGAATTACTGATATAGCGAAGTAATTTATAAGTCCCAGTACTAGTGACTTTGTTAGAACTGAGTTTTACTGTACATATATCAATGAATCAGTGGAAACACTATTGTATATATCATCCTACACACAGTCTAACTTCTGTATCTTGAACCTCAAAATCTTCAGTAACATGGATATACTCAAGTGAAGTGAAGACCCAATCACTTTTTTCTCAAAGTACGGTATATAAATCCTTGTCATCTCACATCTACAATCTATTTCAAAGTCTTTCTTGGTCTCATTGAGTTCAAGATAATGAGTTTTGACTGTAATTATATGTTTTTCTTTATCAATGTTTTTCTGCTTTCTTAGCAAGCTTTCAGTTGAAGGGAAGTGTAATAAAAAAACATCTAAGTTAAAACAAGCATTCTAAGAGCATTCCAATTGCAAGACCTTTTTCTCCTACTGGCATATGTTGCCTAGATTCTGGTAGAAATTAAAACAGAAAAATGAACATTTTAGAATGTGATGAATCCAAGGGACATAATTCAATCAAAAATTAACAAACTAAACAAAATGTGAATTTGATTAGTATCCATTGAGGAAAGATTCTTCAAGTAGTATGGAAGACCTTTTAATATACTAAATTTTGTGAAAGTGTCATGATTCTATCAAATGTCATTGGGATGGCACAAAATACTAACGGTCTGTAATTCATGCACTTAACATAGATGTCTAAAACTAAAATCATTTTATTAATACATGTATTCAAAAATAATATTTATCATTAGAAAAAATACAAAAATTGAATGGACTGACAGTGTATGCAAAACAATGAACTTCTCCAGTTGGCATTTTACCATTTTATATTTATTTAGGCAGCTTGCTCATAAAAGTACATTAAACCAGACCATTGCTACCTGCATGTATAACAGAGTTATTCCTCTTTGACTTATGGTAAAAGTTCTAAGTATTATCTGTCAATGTCGAATGAGCTTTTTATCTGGAAACAGAATACCTGCTTTCTGAACACATCAATTTGTGAATGAAACAGGCAAATCCTTTAATATTTCTTAAACATACATGACATACTGGGAGATCTTCCAATATGAAAGGGACTTTTCATGTATGAAAGCATTCTGAACCTAAACCAAACCATTTAACAACTGTTAAACATAACCTTGAACAGCAATCAAAAAGGCAGAAGAGAGAAAACAATCATAAAAACTGTTTTGTTACGGTAATTATCAATCATACAAGATTCTTAAAAAAGAAAATTTCATTCATATGTGAAGGCTCTTTCCACAAAAAAATCAAACATGAAGGCCAAGTCTCTTTTTTATGCCTAATATATGTCACCAGATTTAAAGGTGTGTGAAAGTCAGACTATATATCGAATCTCAATAGCTCAGTGGTCAAAGTGCTGACATGTTGTGCCAGAGGCCCTAAGCTCGAGTCTTGGTTGACTTCATTTTTCACCATCTGTGACATTTGGCGCCCAATGTACAATACTCACTTTTCCCTAGGAACTTGCCTTATAGCATTTCCTTAAATCCTAGAATTCCAGGATAAATTTCTACAAAGAGGGGGAATATGTTACAGAGTTCACTGGTGTGTGAAAGTCAGTCAATATATTGAATCTCATTAACTCAGTGGTAAGAGTGCTGGCACAGTACACCAGAGACCCTGGATTTCGAGTCCCGGTGGAAACTTGATTTTTCACCACCTATGTCAGACATAAAGGAAATGCATAAGGACATGAGGGTGAATTTATTACTACAGGTTCTTTGTTTTTGCTAAGATTTTATGCTGACAGATTTTTTAATTTTATAAATCAATATTTTAAGCCAATTAATCCAATGTTGTCTATAAGAGTTTCTAGTGCAGGGTTTAACTATATTGTTCTAGTTTTTGGTGAGGTATCATGTCTGCTGGTTCAAGTGCCATATTTTTATGTATCCGGATCGAAAGATCCGAGGCGTATATTGTTTTTGTCTTGTCTGTCTGTCTGTCATTTTGTCCGCAAACTTTAACCTTCGCCATAACTTTTGAACCATGAATGAAAGAGACTTTATCTTTCTTGAGCATACTCTACTAATTAAACTCTTTCAAATGACACCAAGGTCAATGACCTTTGTGACTTTGACTGTTACCTGTATGCTAAAAATAGTTTTTTTCTGCAAACTTTAACCTTCGCCATAACTTTTGAACCATAAAAGATAAAGACTTCATATTTGGTATGCATAAAGCACTGATTAAGCTCTTTTAAATGACACCATAGTCAATGACCTTGTGACCTCAACTGTGACCTATACGCTAAATATCACTTTTTTGTTGGCAAACTTTAACCTTCGCCATAACTTTTGAATGAAGAAAGATAGTCTAAGAGACTTATTAATTGGCATGCATACTCCACTAATTAAGCCCTTTCACAAGACACCAAGGTAAATGACCTTGTGACCTTGACTGTGTCCTATATGCTAAAAATAGCTTTTTTGAATCTTCACCATAACTTTTGAACCATGAGAGATAGAGACTTCATATTTGGTACGCATTCTTCACTAATCAACTTCTTTCACATGACACCAAGATCAATGACCTTGTGACCTTGACTGTGACCTATATGCTAAAAATATGTCATTTTTAATTTTGTTGCCGCCAGGCGCATAGTGTTTCACAAACACATCTTGTTCATATTTTTTATGTCCCCATAATCGAAGATTGAGGGGTATATAGTTTTTGCCCTGTCCATCCATCTGTCTATCTATTTGTCTGCCAAAAATTTAATCTTGCCCATAACTTTTGAGTCGATGGGGCTATGGCTTTCATATTTCATAAGTGTATTCCTTGGGACAAGACCTTTCTTCGGATATCACCAAATTTTCCTCCTGACCTTACAGTTTAACCCACTTTTTCCGAAAAATTACCAAAATTAAATATTGTATGTGTATTCACTGTGACAAAACCTTTCAATGCGGTTATAAATATTTTTGACCATTTGACCCTGACCCTAGAATTTAACCCAGTTTTTAAAAACTTTAACCTTTATGTATATTGAAATAGAAGACTTTGTTAATAAGACATTTTAGGCTGGTTTTTGACAAACATTGTATACTATACCAGTAATTATCTTGTTCATTCTTACACAATGCACATGTTAAATATAATAACATACAGCACATACACTGCATACTGCACTGTTTCAAGACATATTCAATATAGATAAACCTCAGTGGTCAAGCCTTCAATAACAATTAATGTATAGTGACTAGAGTGATTCTCATTTGACATTTGTATCAGCCAATAGAACCACACCTTTTTGTACATGTAAAGTACTGTTCCGTTAACAGAATCACACTGTGCAATGCCTATAATGTATCCACTTTTTAAAGCCTCCCCCCTCCCCCTCCCACAACCCATCCTTGAATACAATACAGTATGTGTTATTTTATAGTTGACCCATTATTTTACAAATGGTTAAATTGAAAAAAAAAGTTAGCAACCTGAAAGAACTTATCAAAATATTAAGTTATGAGGAAAATTTTGATTGATTTTTTTCTTAAGGTCATTTAAATGTTGTCTTAATAGAAAGAATGGTGAATAGAGTGAATATGATTCAAGATTTTATAAATTCAATAATTTTTAAAAATTTATTCCGTATGTTTAATCACATACTTTTCTCTTTTAGATTTTGGTACATTTCTTAATACATGCTGAAAAAAATATTGGTTTTTTATAATTATAACACAGTTGTAAGATGCTCAAGTTCATATAAGAAGCATGTGATTCAAGTGCTGGAGGCTTTTACCTGCTATGTCTACATAATCTGTGCAGTTAAAACTAACATCAATATTACAAAAAAAATTCTTTATTTAAACTAAAGAACTTTAAAAAATGCAAATGGGGGAGTGGTTGCATAGATAATAGGGAAACAAAGTAATACTTCTACTGGCTCTAGTAGTTTGTTTAAACATTATCCTTTATAGGACTCACTTCAGAGGGAATTCATCGGGGAAAATAGTTGCCTTTGGGCTGTAAGTTTTGCTGTAAATTATCAGAAACGCTAAGTTTAAGTCCTTAAATTTCAACCATTTTTAATTTTAAATGAAAATGTATCAAGAACCTCTGGAAATATCTAGTTTTTTAAAAATGTCTTTGGGTTATCCGTAAGCCAAATAATAATGAGAATCACAGCAGGGCACATGCACCTATTTTCCTTTTTACTGACCAACCAATTGAATGTTCAATGACCCACAAAAAAGTCAAAGCCAAACTGCAAACATATTGAAGCTTATCACTGTGAGTGCTTTCCACATTGATCCAAATGAAATTATTTCTACAGTATTTTTAACCTATGGTCCAAACTCCAAAATGTTTTGCAACTTGTATCTCACTGCAAACTTTGTTCACGCTGTAGCATCAAAAGGTTCGATGAAAACTAAAATCACATCAATTATTAAATGGCTATTAAAGAAAAATAGATAATTGTTAAAATGATATTTACGGACCCGGTTTAACAATAGAATTCATTCTGTGTATACACAATGTAGCAAAATAAACATGGGCAATAACTCAAACTCAGTACATTTGCTACGAACAATCTAGAGAGTTCCGAATGTAACCATGGCTTGTAAATTTAAAGCGAGAAAAAACGTTGTGGTGAGACACAGATAGATTATTCTAGCTAAAGCTTTGGTTTGGTAATGCAACATACATATGATGCAATCAAATGTCATGTGCAGTTAGAAGAAAACTGCATAGGTATAGAACTGTGCTATAGATCTGTTGCACCATTAACATATTAGAGAGCGCAGCGAGCGTCGCAAAGCGACGCTGAAGCGAGCTCAATAGACTAACGTGTATGAACAGAGGAAATTCGGATTGAAATCTGTACATACGTCAGCCAAATTTCTCAGTGCAACATTCCCAGAATTCCTGCACTATCCAATGTCCTTTGCGCAAATAAATCAAAAATAGTAAAAAAAATTAAAGGAACATTGTTTCTTACCGAAATCTTAATGAAATGATTTTGCCTTACCTTATTCAAAAAAATACCCCCATGCCACAACACCGGCCTTCACCTTGCCCTTCGGAAATGATACAAATGACGTCACCGGAAACTTACAAATTTTGACGAAGTTATGTCGGTTGCTTCCGTGAAAGTCGGAAAACATGTTGCGGTGCATAGCAACATGGTGGCTAAAACATAGCAACAACTTACTTGAAAAGAACGATTTAATGCAATCTCTTTTCCAAAAACTAGCATTTGCGTCCTAAGTCAACAGAACTTTTTATCTGACGTCATACTTTTGTCACTTCAACGGTTCGGGTATTTCCGATTTTGTCAGAAACTTCCGAGAAGTTTGGAATCTCGATCCCGATGCTTGGGAAATGATTTCTTTTTATTGTTTTGTTTTATTCTTTTTGCTTTCTATTTCTTGAATGATAGACAGTACATGTGTAGGTTTATGATAGTAAATAAACTGCGCTCGCCCCAACGGTCACACCGTAAAACATATTACACAGAATATATATTATCATTACATGTATCATTATGAACTTTCTCCAAGTCTTTACACACCATTCTATACACAGGCACTGGAAGTTCAAGAAAATATTGAGTATGAGCATTTTTCTTACAAGAACATACTAAATATTTTCATTACCTCCCCATGTCTGTGATTCTTTACAACATAACCATCAACAACCAACAAGATCGACAAACGCAATAAATATTACATGCAATGTATAAAAATAGACTATCAAGAAGGGCATGTTTCATGCCATAAACACACATACAGGATGATTTTCATTACTTACCCATTGATTAGTTTTAGGATTAAAAGAATACAAAGCTACTTGTGTAGCAGTTTCGGCAATTTCGTTTATGTACGGATCTCTTTGCTGCAGTGCAGCCAAATTCATCCTACTCTCTTCCGCCATTGTTTTACAAATACAGGCTAGCAGCGAATAATATTCACTGCGCCACATGTGTCGAAAATAAATCTTAAAATAAAAAATAAATAAATATTTTTGCATTTTATTGATGATATTGAATTATTTTATGATGTTGAGCTTTATTTGAAATTCGATCCGATAAATGCTGGCACCAAAAAAATTGGTCAAGCGTAACCATCCGCGGTGAGCTGCTTGTCGATGGTTATCGGCTACTGAGCTCTGTCAGAAAACATACTCGCGATGTGTATGACTTGAAAAATTGTCGAGGAATTACACAGACAGTGAGGCTTGTTCAATTCCTATGACTAAACCATTTCTAGACTATATGTAGATTTATTATCATCATGATGGGTTTAAACCCCGGATGAATGATGCTGGAAGCTGCATTGAATAATGGGCGATATGAAAAATGCAGATTCTTGATATATAATTTGGGAATTGTTTTAACACATTGACGTTTAGGATGGCGTCTCCGGGCCCAGGTGAGTGTATTCAAGCTTTGTTTTCTTCCTTCTTTATTTAATTAAGTAGTAATCACGATGTTTTTTAAATTCCCTGTGCGAGAAAAAAAAATACAAAGCCGATATTCGATAAAGATGGCAGACTGTTGGGGATGCTGGATGCTTTGAATAGCTTTGCTTATCAATTTTGAACGAAGAACGTGTAATATTAAAATCAAGTGAAACAATGTCATTTCAAGTTGATTGTTACCTGGATGTATATTCAGCAGAATATAAATGCAAATAAGAGTGAGGTGTTGAAATATTTTCTGAAGGACACCTGTCAACATAAAATAAATCAGAGATGTTCAAGCTGAAAGAAATTGATTGTGTCAGTGTAAAACCAAAATTTTGTGGCCTAATATTACACGTGTAGTGGAGTAACCACATGCTGCAATTGTAGATGCTGAAGAAAATCAGCCCAAGGATATTTTAAAAAAAAAATCAACAAGTGATTTAACTCCCATTCTTGTTGCACAGTGACAGAATTAATTACCCCAAAAATTATTAATGTCTCTATGCTATGAATTTATAATGCTTAATTTTGAATACATTAAGTGTAAAGCAAGTTATTTTTGCATGGAGTATGAAATTTGTAATGCCATGGCCTTGAGGCAATTTAGGAAAGGTGAAAAAATTTCAACTTTTGAGGTTTTTCACCCGACAATAAAAAATTACATAGCCAGATGTTATAGTCAGCCACCCATGAAAAAACACCTTTATAATTGGCAGTGTTTCCCCCACCATTGGGGTGCTCTATCTAGATATAAAATAACATGACTTGGCCTGATTAATCCTGCAGATTGATCCTAGGGCTATGCACTAATTGAATCCTTCTTGGTCAGGAATGTCTACTAATGTCTGCAGCCTCTGGAACCTCTAATATTACCACTGAGGAACAGATGAAGCTTTTTCTCATTACCACTGGCCACTAAGCAAGTGTCAAGTAATGTATGGGCAATATTGGCTGACCAAGGCCACATACTGCACATAATGTTTCAATTATCACACAAACCCTCCCGTGATAGCTGTGCTAATTATGAACAGCAAACTATTGGGTGTCATATCATTAAAGAAAATCTTCAGGTACATACTGGAGATAAGCAAGACTTGCTTAATTATAAAATGAATTGTAAAACACATTTTAACAAAGGTGATATATAAATATCAATCATATGAATGAGTTCACAGAGTTTTCTTTTGGGGACTATTTGATGAGGACTGATTCCTTTTTGTAGCCCAATCTGGTAATGGTATATCAGAATATTGAATGTTAATGTGTGGTACTGATGGAAGGGGAATGGGGTGTAATGACCTTGATATTTGTGTCTGTGTAGTAATTAACACAAGAGCATATTAATGTCTGAGATTAATTATTTAGGAGAGAGCTTACTGTTCTTTGCTAAATTTATTTTAGTCCAATCGACTTGAAGAAGTTGAGTTGCTAAATATGTAATAACTTTAAAAAAAAAGATAGATAATCAAAAAAAATATTGAATTTTATATAATCAGTTTGAAAAAAATCCAGTTCAGAGAATCTTTGTCTTTTGCTAAAGAAAAAAAATTAACATGTTTAAAGAGGAAAAAATCCAAGGAAAAATGAAGATAGTTTTAAAGGAAACATGACCTGACGGCTTAAGTTTCTTGGCAAAATCAATTATAGAATTTTAAAAAGTGAAAAAACCAAGCATGCAGTATATGAATTTCTGACCTTCAGGCTTGTTCTTAGACCTCAAAATCAAAAAGGGTCATTTTGACTAAAGATTTTTTTTCTTTTCTTCAAAATCTAAATGATTACTAAAGTCATCAGCAGGAAACCATTTTTGCAAGCCATTTTTTTTTTTACCTTTGCCTTTTGACATACAATCAATGTAAAAATTTATTAGGTCTCTTCTTCAAATCATTGGGAGTTACAAGACTTTTTTTAAGAAGAAGGACAACTTAGGTATAAATCATCTTGAAACATTTTTTGGCAATGTATGAATTCTGACCTTGAACTTTAACTTTTTGACTTAAAAATATCCAGATATAGAATTTTGTATGAGACAGAATAAAATTCTATTGATGAGCTAAAGGAAAGAAAATAATTATGAACTATTTTGCAATGTTAAAATTTCTCACCTTGACTTTCCACTTTTTGATCTTTAAACCAATAAGAGTCATCTTTTTAGACCAGGCCAAAAATAAAAATAGTCTTGTTTCCTGCTACCCGACCTACCCTATTTTTTGGCACCCGACCCTAAAGTTTTTATTTAGTTTTTGAGGGAAAATTGAAAATTTTATGATCCAAAAGTGAAACATATATACATTCAAGTGGTATTTCATGAAATATATATGTTTTAAATATGGACCTGCATGAAAAACTACTTATTTTAAACGATAATATTGACCAATGACATGTTCAATTTGGTTTTGTAATATTCATATCCAACAAATACCATTGAAAAAAATAAAATAAAACAAAAAAATAAAATAATTTTCCGACCTACCTACCCTATTTTTTTCAGGCTGGTAGCAGGAAACAAGACTATTATTTTTTTTGGCCCCATAGAGAGTTGAAATATATTAGATTTTCATTGGAAAAGCTCAAAGGCTTTTTGCAATATCATCTGGAAAGAAACTGTTACACATGCAATCAGAAAGTATGAATTTTTGACTCTCACCTTTGACCTTTTGACCTCAAATTCATAAGGTTTCTTCTTTAAGGCATTGAGAGATGCAATATAAAATTTCATTGAAAAAACTCAATGAAAAGTAATCATCTTAAAAATAATTTTTTTTTGCAAGGTATAAGTTTCTGACCTTGACCTTTTGACCTAATAATCAATGGGACTTCTTTAGGCCACAGAGAGTTATGATGCCAAATTTCTGTGAAATTAAGTTCAATGTTTATTTTTGAGAAATATTTTGTGAAAATATTGCACATTAAGAATTTAGGGATTACTGACCTTGACCTTTGACCTCAGTATCAATTGGAGTCTTCCTTATGCCTTAGGAAGTTGGCTATAAATTTTTATAGCAAATTGCTCAAAGGCTCCTTTTTAGACATATTGTATATATGGAAATGAAAGTGTTATACAGACAGAATACAGACTGATGGACAAACCAAAATCCATGTACAGTGGACCTTCAGATATCCGGACCCCAGATATCCGGATGCTTCAGTATCCGGACGCTTTTTCATCGGGACAGAAATTTTAAATGTTATATTGTTTTGTTTAACTGGTGATTCAGGTATCCGGACGGTTCACATATCCGGACAAATTCACTGGGAACCAAAGCGTCCGGATAAATGAGGCTCCACTGTACTCCACTTCTAGGAACAACAATATTGTAGAGAAAAAATTTGAGTTATCTTAAAAACTTTTATTTCCAAATTCTGAATATGTATACTTGATAATGAATGAATTTGAAAATTAAGACCTCTCTTTATATGTGAAACATTAATTCTCAAATGGGATGTAAAACAATTAAAATACAATCAATCAATGAAATTTCGATAAATTTTGCGTACATGTATATTTATACCAGAACTTAGAAGCAATTCAGTTAAGACTGTATATCTTATTACACTGTGTAAACTTAGCATTATTTACAAACGCTTTAGACATTCTCATCTGTTCTATGGCAAACACTCCCTGATCTGAAATTCCGTACCATTGAGTTATTTCAGCTTATCCTCAGCAGTTGTCAAGTGTATAGGCATTAATATGTAATGAACTTAGTGCTTTTCTTGGTACATATACATGTTTACTTACAAATAAACAATGCAAAATATCAATCCAAATGTATTAAATATTTGTGTCCAATGTGATGGATAATACATATGAATAGCATTCATTTGACAATGTGATAATTCCCACCCACTCACCAAAGGCAGAGTGACTGAGTACATCAAGCCCTATTACATGTATATTGCTTTTACACTAAGATTTGAAAGACAAATTACATACCGAAATTGCTGATAGTAATTTTGGGGACATTTTGTTGTTGTAACATTCACATTAGGTCAGCCTAATGAATAAAATGTATCCTTCCAAGTTATTTAGAATGAACTCCATAAATGAACTTTATCAGATAGTACAACTACATGTAGTTAGATTCAAAGGAGGGGGGGGGGGACAATCACCAAATATGAACAAGTCATCATTTGTCTGTTACAAGTGAGGTCACATATATGTTAATGATTTGGTATATGAATATAGTTACCCAGATACCCTGCAACAACCCATGAAAACAAATACATGTAGTCGGTCATACTTAGAAAAGCAAGGCCATACATCTTCAAAAAATTCTTTGTTTGCCTCTTCTGACTGACTGACTAAAAGTGTTGCAACTCAAAGTTTTTTTTTCTGGAGAAAAGGTTTTGCCACCAGTACCTACAGACCCAATAATTTTAACCCGAGTCGAGAGAAGGTTTTAAAAGCAAACATTATATGAAAGATTACAGGTCCAAGTAATATGATTTTATTCTCTCGCAAGCTTAAAAAAAGATGAAAGTATTTATATGTTTTTAATGGCTTTTTAATCTACATTCCAGTCTACATAGGTCTTCAGATCTGTAGTAAAATGTGAGGAAAGATCTAAATGGAATTCCTTAAATCTGGTGTAAATGATGCAGGAAAGAACAAAAAGAAATGTAGACATTGTGATTTATGAATCCTGTTGAATACTCACCTCACTGAGTATAAGCTCGATCCACTCAGACTCTGTATCTCACTGAGTCAGCAGTTCCGCTCATGCTCAAGGTATCTCTTGTCAACTCCTGATTTTCACAAACGGATCTTTGATATTCTTTTTGTACTTTCCTTATAAACAACTTTTTCAAGTAAGGCCAAACAAAAAAATAGGTGAGGTTCTGGTTACACCTTCCAAACAATTAGGATAGGTAGGTAAGGATTAGGAATTTTTTTGTTTTTTTTTAACAAAATATTTTAATTTTTTCTTCGTAATACCTATCACTGCTTTGCAGTGGCATTTCAATGTGGCATGATAATATACTAGTCAACATTGATGGGTGCCTAGTTATGAAAATCCCCCCGTCATTATTCTCTAGGGGTCATTATTTGTCTTTACACTGGAAAGAGAGAAAGTTCTGGGAAAAAAAGAAGGAAATTGCCAAAAAAAAAAGTTTAGGGTCGGTGTGAAAAATAGGGAAGGTGGGTAACCGGAACCACACTTATTTTTTTATTTGGCCTAATAACAGAATCTAGCAAATTATTTAGTGATATAGTGATATATATACAAACGGTGACATCTCCATATGAGTGAAAAATTCTCGAGTGGGACGTTAAACAATACGCAATCAATCAATCATTTTGTTAGGAAGCAAAAACTGTTTTAAATTGATAGAGCTGCCTTATAAACTTGTGTTTTAGACTACCCGGTAAATGTTTTGTTGCAGCTCTCGGAAACAGTTCAAGATTGAAATTTATATCAGTGTTATCCAAATTGCATTGTGAGAGATGTAGTAGTACACCATTTTGTCTCAGGAACCTGAGACTGCTGATACCTGGTGATGGATTCCAGTAAATTCAGGGCCCCAGTGAATGAATTAGTGGAGAGCTTTATGAGAAGACTCTTACTTTACTGCATAATTGATGAAGTAGATGCCAGAAAAATTACTATTTGAACTGCAGATATATTGATCCCTAATTAATTTATCAGTATATTGCTGCAGAAATCCAGTTACCCTAATGTGGCATAAAAATAGGTATAGATTCTATAAAGCAGTCCTCAGATTTTATTGGGCAGTAATTCCTTTGTACAAGAAAGGTATTCCTAACGTTGTTGTTTGTACAAGCTTGTCTTTCCATGTTATAGTCAAATAAAAAGATAATTTGATCTTTCATTCTTAACTTGGTGCACAGAGAAACTTAATTTAGTCCAAAGATTTGGGGGGGGGGGTCAAAGGTCAATTGTTAAGGTCAAAGTCATAATAAGTTTTTGACATCTATAGATTTTTCAGTTTTACTTGCTAGATAAATTCTTTGTTAATCACCCAATGAACTGATGAATAAACAGAATTAATTCTTACACTGTCAAAAAGATCAGGTTCCAAAGATCATTAACCATTTTATATCTTAAAAGGCAGTCCTTCGTTAGTCCCTGAACCAAAGTGGGAAAGAAAATGTAATAATTTTGATCAAAGAGCAAACGTTTCTCAGTCAAATTTGTTTTTCAAAATGATCAGTAAGTGACCCACTGAGGGGCATATACTAAAGGAATGAAACAGTACTTATCGTGACACCATGGTAATTTTGTCGGTAATTGATGTGCAGTACAAGATTTTCATTTTCAGTTCGGATCACTTTTGGTTCTGAATCATAGTTCATTCACGTTTTGCATCATAGCGAGGACATGCGGTCACTGTGAGCTCAAGTAAAGCAAAGCCAGGGCGAAGAGAAAATTCGGACTTAGCACATTGATCCAAACAAAATCTTTCTGCTGTTACTTTGGACCCTCAATGCATCACTTGTTCAACCAATGTTCTCACGAAAATAGGGACAAAAGTTCAGCAAAAATGATTTAATGGATATATTGAAGAATAATAAGTACTTTAAGAATAAGGGGTTGGGAATTTTTTTCAAGTACACGTGTAAGAACTTTATTTAGCATGAAATAATTAAACAAAACTAATGAATTAAATTACTATAAACATATTTTTATGTCATGGTCTATACTAGATCAATGTATTTTCTCTTTGAAAATCCTGCATTATCTCCCTTCATTATCTTCCTGGATCAATAAACAGCACATGTTAAGTAATCACTCAATATCTACTAGATTATAAAGTTACTTTGTAGCCCAATATTCAATCAACTGGCTTGCAAAGAAATTTAATAGGTCACCATTGTTTAGAGTGTGATCAATAATGGATTCCCTGAGGTACTGCCTGCCAACAAAAGTCAGTCTGTACTAGCTGCCTGCTGCTGAAAACCACCTATCAGTCATTGTGTTCAGCAGTCAGACAACCTAAATAGCTCATGCTGCTACTGTCTATGTGAAGACATTCCAAAGCAGTATTGATTTTAACATATTTTTTCAATTTATTTACACTATAAGTCTATACATGGGTGCTGAGTGAAATTCAGCGGTAAGGGCTTCCGTATATTGATGTATCTGGTATAGATATTGGGCCTGTTATATAGGAGGCATTGTCGGCCATTGTTAGGCTTTAGTCCGTCACCTGCACTTAAACTAGCAGGTATCACAGTGTGGAGATCCCACAGCTTACCCCTGGGCAGTGACCGGTGTATGAGGATATAGCCTGACCGCTTCCTTATGGTGACCGTGAGGTTGGTACAGTTAGTTTGAGTAGAGCTTTGGTTTAGGTGACCAGAAGTGACTGGTAAAAATGACGGTACATTTACTGTCAGCTCTCAGTGTCAGAACTCCTGGGCTGCTGATAATCAATACTTTCATTGCCTGTGAAAGTTTAATATACCAAAGGTTGTTGTGTTGTAGCCGAGAGATTTTAATGTGTGAAACTGAGAATATCCCTCTATTGCCTAGACAAAATGTACAAATGAATTTCTGAAGTAATTTTTTTCGCTTGCCAATTGTCATGGGATTAAAATTGATTGTTTTAGAAGTTTCTGCATATAACATGTATAAGAACTTTTTAAAAAATATTGATATTTTTTATGTATCTATAGAGAAAAATGGGACAGGAGACTGATTTATTTCTTTTCCTTTGGCAAAATTTTTAAATATCACACTCACATATATAGTAATTAATTTAATGTAAAGGTAAATGAAAAAGCACAAATTCCAAATTTGATAAGCCAGGTATAAGGAGTAACATTGAGTCTTGGTCGCACTGTCAACTTCCTTATTGTCCACCCATTGTTGTTAGGTCCAACTATCGATAATCTTTATCACCAAGTGTTTGAAACATCAATGCACATGATGACATAGAATGCAATTAATTGAACTGATCTGCTGTAGACAATGAATTTAACCTTGAAGATGTGAAATCTTTTAATAAGGAAAAACAATTTATACATGTATTTTAACATGTAGTGAAATAACATGTTGCTGTACACTACAGCCCAAATGCAGGTTTTGGTACCTTTATTTTTGAAAATTTCCAAGCCCCTCCACCCCCATTTGTAGCCCCAGTAGCAGGAAGTGGAACCCCTTGTCCATACCTCATTACTTTGTGAATTAAAATTTGTGAGCACACAGACTTATCTTTCCTCTTAATTATTTGGTGTGTTGTTTAAAGTTTGTTAAAATGTATCAAGTATGTACACCTAGTAAATTCACAATGTATGACAGCTAGTGGCTGATTTGACATTTCTTCATATTTGTAGGAAGAAACAATGAGAATTTCAGTTCTCCCAGTGGAAACACTCATCAGGGGCCACACATCTACTCCAAGCCTCAGCCAGGAGGGGGGATCACCATCAGGACTGACTCTAACAACAAACCGCTTAGCTCTGCCTGGGCCGCCGCGCTCGGGGCTGCTACCGCCAACGTCGGAAACACCAGCACAATGACTCGAAAACGAGCACCACCACGAAAACAACAAAACCAAAATGTGAGGCCACCCAGGGCTTTGTTTTGTTTAACGTTGAAAAACCCTATACGAAAATTGTGTATCAGGATTGTGGAATGGAGATATCCTTTTGCATTTGTTAAATTCTTTGGAATTTATTTCAAACCAATTTCTTTTTGGGATTATACCATGGTTTGTATGGTCTCACTATAGCTCTGTTGCTTGGATGTATGGCTGAGGTTTGGTATAAAAGATTTTTCTGCCTGTAAACTTGAACCGGTAAAGGTAAGAAAAACGGCATCTAGTCATCAAGGCAGATTGATTTGTACTGGTTGTGCATGTCTCAAGGCGTCAGGTTTGGAATTATTGTAAATGTGTCAAATTTGAATGCCTTTTGTAGAATTTTGCTGATGGCTCTAATGTATATATTGATACCAGGCCTCAGAATATAATGTTGCAAAGCACTTAAGCTAAGTAGTGATAATATGTCCTATTCTGCAGAAAATTATGCAATATTCAACATTTGATACAATGGCTTTGTGGTCCTGTACACAAAACAGCAGTAGCAAATCAATGAGTAAAGCAGAGACATTCTGTTCAGCAGTAACCATTGGCAGTCTGTTAACGTGGTTAACATGGCAGCTGGTGGGGTCCCAGTGGACCAGTCCTGCTTTTGTCCAGCTTCTTGTCTGTCTAAAATTCCCATACATATTTATTTGAAGCTGACAAACCACATTATAGCTACTTTCTAGATTAGATCTATAAGGAGAAAGTTCATTGTCACTTTAAATTATTGCCAGCAAAGCTTTTCCAAACAAATTTTGTTTGTTTAACACCGTTGTTTGTTTGTAGACTTTGTTTTATTTAACACAGAGAGGGACAGTCTGACAAAACCTGTGACCTGGGAGAGGTCATATTCTGTAATGTTGCCAGTATAGATCTGTGGAAACTTAGTCAAAGTGGGGGCCAAATCTTATCTTCTTTTGTTTTATTTGATTGGCGTCAAAATCATACAGTTCATCAACACTTTGATGTAAGAATTGCATTTTACTTTAAAACGTTTCTAATCAAACTAATGGCTTTATATTTGTTGCATAGATCACATATAGATGGAGTTATTTAAGACATTTGCAGTTTTAGGGTCACTTAATAGTGGAAGGTCAAATTTAGAAAGAAAAAAAAACCCACACACACATACAGATACAGTATTTGCAATTATCATAAACACCTTTGTAGAGATGCATAATTTTGATATTTCGGAAAGACATAAGCAGTGGGCCCCTGTGGGGAGGGTTTCTGGTGGGCAACACAGGTCTATAGATCTTGTAGATTTTGGAATCAATTTATCTAAGCTAGTTCAAGGTCAAAGTTCAGAGTTCAAGCTTATTTGAGCATTTAATGATATGATGCCAGAACTTAATAAATTTCTTTTACCTTCTGACAGTCTGTACATTTTTTGTGCAGATAAAGAATAATTAGAGGAAGACATTATTGATTTTGTCTCTTGAGCAAAGGCCAAGGTCAAAGACTGAGAATACAATGTGGCGTTTACATATCTAGGTGATGCATTAACTCTGCTACAATAGTCAGGGAAAAACATACACATATATAGATCTTGAGGCTGACTTTACAGTCAGAAAGATGAAAGGGGGATGGGTGTTGTAGAAACAATTCATATACCCTCTTCACAATACAATACTTATTGCAAAACTTGCACCACAATACAATGTTTTCAATATCAGGGCTCTTGTATTGAACTTAGCATATTCTATGGAATGTTTCAGCCCAGCAAATATCTAGGTTAGTTAACTGTAAGTTAATATGCAATGCAAAAAAGGTATTAATTTTTTTCTTTGAATTTGAAAGAACGGTGTAAATTTCCCAATTTCCATAGCAAAATATTAATTAAAAAAAAAAAAATCCATGAAACTTAATCGCATAACCCCCCCCCCCCCAAAAAAAAACACACTTGCAAATGAAAGTGAAACAAACAAGTTTTATGTACGATTATTAATTAGTTCACGCCAAATGGATGCGTAAACTGGTTCGGGGAACCAGGTTATTGTTTTAACAGAAATGTGTAACTATGAGTGCAGAGTATCTTGTCATGAAAATCAACAAAAAAACATCATTTTTGTTTCAAAAATAGACATTTCATTTAAATATTAGTAAGTTACACCTAGAAACATACCCACGCTAAGGCATGTTCTATCTCGCGCTCTATTGGCAAGCAACGATGTCCATGTGATTGAGGAAATTCGGGACTGTGACTAGCGACTGTCACTCAGAAAGACAAATAACCGCAATTATCAACACTCAAAGATAATTATGACAAAGCTAATGTACTTTCATAAAGAGCCTACGTAGCCATGTTTGTTCTGTTTAATGGTTTATTCAAAACCAGAGTTAAATTGATGACAAAATTCTAAAAAAGCAAAATTTGAGGATTTTTTTAATGAATGTTGGTCATCCAACTTCTCCCAAAATGATGATAATTTTCCCAATTTGAACGGCCCTGGCCCCAGTCCCAAAAAGTGGTGTGAGAGCCCTGAATATGATGTATCTGTCATTGTATTGAACTTAACATATTCTTTGGAATGTTTCAGCCCAGCAAATATCTAGGTTAGTGAAATGTAAGTTAATATGCATATATAACCATAAGCTTATTAATTTTTTGTCTTTGAATTTGATTTATAGTTGGTCGATCTTTACCTAATATGTAGGAGTATAATTGACAATTCGTCACAAAGATGTCATATTTTGGTCACAACAAGCATTGCATGGTTCCACTATGTGAGAAAAATTTTAAGTTGTCTGAAGAAATTGATTTATAGCAACTTGTATTGTACCTAACTATGAAACATTAGTCTAGGTTTTTATTTGTGGACATGGGCAATTTAAGGAATAATCTTTAGTTGGAACCTTAATGACTCTGCATGCATACATTTAAGTCTCTCATCAGCATTTTTCAAGTCAGTTAAAATACAGTCAGAACTTTAGCTATTCCATAAGTGGTGAATAGATTAGTTCAAGTCCTATGGTTCAATTTTACTTGATTTTCACTTCATGGCAGTAGTTGTACAAGTGTTTTTCATACTTATTGTTAGGTCATTATATACACACTGATTGACCTGTGGACAGATTTTTCCTTTATTTCCTGATCATGACAAGAAGCACATGGCAGGTGTGACCTGTCGACAGGGGATGCTCACTCCTCCATGGCACCTGATCCCACCTCTGATGTTTTGTGTTTGCTCTGCTCCTATTTTGTAATGTTTAATTTACCTTTGAGCTTGAACACTGTTTGTTACCTCATATATTTCATGGGATTGTCCATTGTTTCTGATTATGATATATGTCAACTGTATCATTTTCATGATAATTAATATCAAATTTAATATGACAAATCTGTAGTGCATATGAAGAAAACTGATTCCTAAATTCTCTTGATTGAAATGCAGATATCAAATAAAATCCAGGGAAATATATATATATATCTAGATACTGACTCAAAGAAGAAGAAAGTCAAAATTAAAGGCTATTTTATGGCATTACTGTGCAATGTCATTGGTCTATCTTGATTTATTGACCAACGGACATAGACAATTATTCTGTTGGAGTTTATGTTATTTTACAATTTTAATTCCTGAAAAAAATTAAGGAAAATAATTCTATTCGGAAAAAAATTCCTCCCTTATATATGATAGAAAGTATTGATGGTATTGATTAGAACAGATCTTGGCTTATAGAATTCAATTATAAAGTAGTGTATGTATGTGATGAGTTGATTTTAAGTTGAAGGACGATATTGGATGCTAGCATAGAAATGGTTGGAAATCAATTGGCGGCCATGTGAAAATAAAACACCTGATAGCAACGAGAGAAAAATCAATGAGGCCGTCAATACGTTTTAGCGGGTAGAACCTGCTGGTCACAAAGATCGCCGTGTATTGCTAAAAATCTATACCCCATCAAAGTAACGAGACTCAGTAGACATGCTTTTTCATTCTACTGTTTTAGCCATATAGCCTTATTGCACATCATTTTATAAAAATGTGCATTAATATATATTGATTTTTGTCTTTCCATGGAAAATCACATCTTGTCGGAGGCTTTGATTTATAATCTTCTGTAGGAAAAAATACAGTCGTAGAAACTGTTAGATTTGTTTTTAAAACTGTTTTGTAAGTTCCCTATACAATTGATACAGAACAAAAATTCTGATAATGTCTATCAGAACTAGTTTATGACGTTATCTAGGTAATGTAAACATGCAGAAGTTATCTTCACATGACGTACTGACACTGCTTGAATCATTAAATTTAAAAACATAAAGATTAAGCAAGGTTTTATGTGTATGTCTGTGTGTGTTTTTGTGCATGCAGACATCAGATAAATGATCTCTTTTTTTCTCTCATTTCTTCAGCATGATGTTCTGCATTGCGCAATTATAGATTTATAAGGTTCATCTGTAACAATGCTCTTAATTTGATTTTTTGGGGAGGATTGGTTGAGAAGAGCTTAGGAGAAGTGATGCCTGCCAGTCATTGAGGAATCTGAAGCCCTGGCCCATCCATCACAGACAGGAGTGGCTATAGACAAGCGGTCCACACAATATAGGAATTTAGTGACTAAAATGATTTACTGAAGATACAGCAACATTGGCTTTATCCCATTATGTCTGGCTTTGTAAAGAATAGGTGCTCCACATTGAATGGGATACAGTCTAGTGTTATAATGTCTGGGGCTTCAACAGTGCTGGAATTATGGAAATCAAATAGATTATGAGGAGAAAAATGATGGCTTGTCAGTATGAAAAATAAAGGGAGGGAAAGTAGGGGTACTTTATCTCAGACACTTTCAGTTAATTTTCATTGTTTTAATTGTGATACTTTACTTAAATTTAGGGCAGGCAAAATTAGTTCCTTGCCTGTAAAAGACATTTTCAAATACAGGGTTAATTCGGACCAAGCTAAGTTACAAGCTATAGTTCTTTATGTCTGCAGAACATCGTTGGCCGAAATTCAAATGTCTGCAGAGTAAGAAATTGACCTTGCTTAATACATGTAGTTGAGGAAGCTGCACCTCACCACTGACAACACAATGATTCTGTCATGTATAA